TGATATGCGTGGGTGTTTATTTCTTTCATATGGGCTTCTGTGATTTATTTCAGATTTTTCCCTCATGATTTAAGGTTGTTTTGCACTTTCCGTGCTTTGTTTTGACCGGGCTCTTCCTTATTTGGACGGAAATTGGTCTTCGCGATCTGCCGAAGTGCGGATCTCGGTTCCGACGGCCGGTTCCCTGCGCATCGCCACCCTCACATGTCATTACACATGATGCGGATTTCTATATTCCCGTCATGGGTATAACTTCACAACGGCTGGACTGTTTGGGCTGGAAATTTGCATAACTATAGTTCCCCATTTTAAATAATTTCCTTGTAAATTTCGTTGTATGTTTTAATTATGGATCCTACGCAAACATCGTCTTTTCCCTAAGCTCGGACTTTTGATGTTACTAATCCCGTTATTGGATATCTCATTAACGCATGATCCTTTTATTATGAAAATTTTGGGAGGAGTAAGATTAGATCCCTTCCTTCCTAATGGGCTATCAGGCTTGTCTCGGTCGTTACTGGTTAATCTTCGCGCTTCCCTTTTAGGCATTGTCCTCGTTTTTGCAGGAGTTTTAGTCATATCTCCGTTGTTTATGAGTAGTTTCCCCTGTAATTACTCTCATTGGGTTCGTTTGGTGGACATCTATATTTCCTATTATAAACACGACTTTGAATTTTGCATTAGTTCCTGAGGAATCCTTGGCTACATGTGTGGATGTGGGAAAGTAGTTTCCGTGGAGGTTCTCTGATTGTTTTTATAGTCAAATCTTGGTCGATTGTCCTAATTCTTGGTTTAATATTTGCTATAAATTCCCCCGAGAATTCCGTCTCGTTGATGGTAAGCTTGAAGTATTTTTGCTATTTTTCTTTCTTTCGATTTATCGTGTGTAGTCATAATAATTCGTAAAAATTCGTAAAATTCGTTAAAATTCAAGTCCTTCTATTTTCTCATATCTACTTGTCATATGAGGTTGTGTGATTTATCTGGCATATTTCCATAATGGGTTTCCATAGTGTGGCCGTTATTTCTCCTACACCACGACCCGACTTGTCGGTAATATTCAGTCGGCTAATGTTTATCCCCGTTAGCTCCGCTCCGTTCGGCTCCGCCAATTGCGGACCTGTCTTCGCTGTAACCATATATATATCCCGCTTGTAGATAGGTTACACTCCAGTAATAAAATCAACTAGAGTTACCCCCCCTAGGTTCTGATTGCCAGTCAGTAAGTTAGGGCATGGACGTGTCACTAGGCACAGCGCTCTTGGCAGAAGTCGCTGAGGCCGAAGCCCTCCGCTACGGAGACACTCCCTCGTCTCGAATCCGGTCTCTGACAGAATGCCACACACCGGCCTTAATGGTGGGTGCCAGGCTGGACTTCAGTGCCCAAAAACAATGCCTTAAAGGACTTAAAAGGATGCCTGGTGTACAGGACTTAACAAATGCCACATGGGACTTAAGATATGGGGGATTGCCCCTGCCTCTGCTGAGGACTTATGAAGGTGGTCAACTGCACTTTGACCAACTGCTGCGAGAGTCGGGCGGACTTCCTTGATACCTAAGCTTGTCCAGGTGAGCCACCTGGGCTCATAACCTATAGAGAAAACCAAATTGAGGGCAGCTGGACGAGGATATGGTGGACTCTTTATTAGGAAGGTATATAATACAAATATATGTAAATATGGGTTTCAAGGTCGTTCTTCCAACATCAACAACAAAAACAAGCTGATCTGCTTGATAATGCTGACCCATATACTGCCTAAATGCGGCACGTAGTTCTTCATTGGGTTCAAAAGCCGGCTTTTGCTTGTAAGGAACAAACTCTTCAGAATGTTGAAAAATATCCACCTTTTTATACGTTGTAGGAATATAAAAGTTACAACACTAAAACAACCAGAAACCATCACAAAAAAATGGATAAAAATCATACAACCTCCACGGACCAGAAATAAAAATAGGAATAAAATCATAACTCAACAAAATGAATTGAAATAAAATATCGGAAAAATAATGAAGAACAGAGTCGATGGATTGAGTATCTACGCGAACTTTCAAGTCTAGGGATTAAAAGATGGTTCAGAAAATGAAGAAAAACAGCAAATAAACTCACATGAAAACAAAAACAAGGTTTCCTGTATCAAATAAAATATTAGAAATTCGTGGTAACGTGGGAAAATAGTTTTACGAACGTACGAAACGAATGACAAAGAGAAATCGGAAGGAAATCAAGGCATTCATATAATGAAAAATGGTCAGGTACGAGGAAAAGATGAAAGAATTGGAAATATTTATATGAGGAAAATAGGAAAAAATATGAATCTTTGTCGGTCTTAAAGAGTTGAAGTATAGGTCTGTGTACGAAAAGATTTCATGTTAAAATCTGAAGAATTGAGGGAGAAACGAATTTAACAAGATTAAAACACACTTTCAGAGAAGACTGGCTCAAACATCCTGAGTTTGTGGTTAAAACGGATGAGCTAGAAATGCGAAACTAAAGAGTTTGAGTCCAGGAACAAGGCATAATTTATTCAGAATTAATCGTAGGAAAATGGATGAGCTAATGCCAAAGCAATCTGGAGAACCTCAAAATTAAATTTTGAAAAATTCATATCTTCATAAATAATCCTCGTAGTTTACTGTTGTTTATACCGACGGAAAGCTACACTCTTAAGCTAACAAATAACCCCATGACATGTGACCTAGAATAAAGTGAGTAAACAAGGGTAAACAAGGTCATGATGGGTGTTAGGCAATGCAATTGGCTAATTCCCACACCAAAACTTCCAGAAAGTTCTAGAAGCAGAATGGGATGCTGATCGCTTACATAAGAGGATTGCTAAGCTCAATATAAGATTACTCAGCAATGTAAATAGTAAAGTGACATGTGAAAACAGAGCCCTTAGGAAAGGTATAAAAGACCGCATTTCTGGTCTGACCCCTCTTCCTTCTTTACTCCTCTCCCCTACGTGCTCTGGCTCATAGGTCATAAGGCGTCCTAATAAAAATTAAGTTTTATTAGTATAAGTGTGCAGTTCAGATCACATCTGAGTAAAAGTGATCAACCCTCAGTAAAAAGTTAAGAAGAAGTTAAGAAACAGTGATGTTGAGTCAAGTCGGTTGGAGTCGCTCCGAGTTAAAAGTGACAAGACAGAGGTGAAACGACTGAAAATAGTAGGTCTATAGCGCAATTTTCATGTGGAACAATCAGGTAGACAAGTGAATTGAACCCTGAGAATTTCATACACACACAAATAATCAGTAACACATACAAATATCAATACACAAAGCAACCAAAACGCTACAGTGGTTGAGTTAAAGTACCAATACTAACATATAAGTATCAGAAGAAAGAACAGCCTTTTATAGGATTTCTGTTCTCCTCCTTCAACGTGAAATCTCACTGCTTCAGGCTGTACTCTGGAAGACAAAGCTGCGGTGGTATGTCTCTTTGTAGTTCATGGAGGTGGCACAGATCTGGCTCAAGCTCAAGGTGACCTTGTAGGAGATTTAGAGCTTTCTCAAAGGGGATTCCTTGAGTATGAGACAGTAAACCGCATGCTTGCTGAGTTGGGCAGCCATTTGGTAGAGAGGGTTTGGGACATTAGGGTAATGTGGCGCTTCACCTCTGGAGTAGTATGTTTGGTAATGAGTTGATGTGTGGAGGTCCAGAGCCAAGCAGTATGTCTATGTGGTTCATCAGTGCTGCAGTCTTCATCAATGAACACCAATGGGGAACGCAGAATGGCAGTGCAGCGCTAATGTACTATATTACAATACAATCCTAACTGTATTGAAAATAAAAAATCCCCGAAATTTGATCATTTTCGAGCTGATTTCTGACAAACATATTGATACCCCATTCACTTGGAAATTGACAGATTCCCTCAAAAACGCAGTAAGATATGTGGGACACATGAAACCTCCGTTAAGTCTGTCCGGGGTTACGGCTTAACTGTAACACATTGGCCTTAATAGGAGGGCTAACGCGGAAGCTATAGTACAAGTAAGTAATGTAACTAGTAACTAAAACTAATGATACTGACCTCAGTCTCCATAAATGAAGAACTGAAGGGAAAAAGAAAATAGACCCAAACAATTACCTATATACAAAGCAGTCACGGTATCAATACAACGGAAACGAAAAGTAAGATCATGTGAGTTTGGTTAGTGAGTCACGCGTCGTTGTAACTCCAACAGGCCTCCCCCCCAATTTCTCCATAGGCGAGGTGATCTATTCCTCTATCTCTTGTCCTTAGCCGAGAGTACCGTACTTCTATAAGTTCTACTTCCACGTCTCCGCACTATAGCTGGCTCAGAGACTACATCATGTCTGGATGTCGCCGTTTGATGAACGACATACAGTACAAGCACTATCGGTCGGCAAAACGTCCTCACGGTGTCTCATTTTAGTCGTAGAGCTGTTTCGGTGCCGACTGTGATGTTTACTTGGTTGTCGATTGTTGCCGCAGCATACACTTTCCCATCATTTCACGTCATTTTACAACACCACGCATGGTTCGCACTCCCCTATATAGCACACAGTGTGTGACCGGACTGGGATCGTATTCACACACTCAATTCGCAAGGGTGGCTCACCTTAGCTTCTGAACGTCCGAGAATGCTAAGAATATCAAAAGTGTGAATTCAACTATCGTTATCCATCGGAGGAGAGCAGCCACGGATCGGGGATGACCTCACATAATTCCATATACCAGCGTGATCCACTTCCTAAGCGATACATCTTCTTATTGGCTAACCCTAATTATTTTCTCCAGCGAGAATGGACATCGCATCATCCACACGACCAGCGCTGGCACCACCATCTCACCCGAACGCATGCAGGATTGACAGAAACCAAGGGAAGATAGAATGAAATGAAATGACGACGAGGGCTTGAAAAACGAACCCAAAAACTGAGTGAGATCGGATAATTTGAATGTTGGCACGTATGTGTGTGTGTGCGACCCGGCCATGAGCGAAAATTAAGGGTGCGTGACAGCGAACGGTGAATAGAGCAGAGCAATGATGGGGAGGGCAATTTGGGTGCGTGAGTCAGACTATAGGAGCTGATGAAGCAATTACGGGCATAAAGACGGGTTTGACGTCACTGTAGTATGTAGCCCCCAACAGCAGGCTAATGTCCAAATCAAGTCCGAACATCTCGACATTCAACTGGCGGTTCTCGGCTGTCAGGCAAGAAAAACAAACCCCTTTCCAAGTTTGTTGCCGTGCCTGGACAGGTGCGTACTCTCTATCTATAGAGGCTGGTATCCTGCCTAGGCGCGGACAAGGGTGGGGGGTTCCATGCGAATATGGCTTGCAACGAGCGTCCCACCTTTCATGGGGAAAAGTGGACGAGCTTCAGTCCATGAGCCAGGCCATCTTAGACCTTGGATTGAAAGTGGGTGTGAAGTGGGTTGTGATGTTATTGTCACTAGTGCCGGGTCTGGAAGGAAGAACCGAGCCAAATCGAGTCCAGTACGTCGGCATATGATGATTCCGGCATCTCTAAGCACATTAATACTATGCCATATCGCCTCTTTCACCGCTGCGAAATCGAGTTACGCACATAAGTATATGTGTCGTATCAGTCACTTGAGTCAAGCTAGAAGATCAACCAAAATCACCATCATTAGCCCGAACCAAAAAAAAAATATGGAACGAAAACTTACTGGGAAGCATTCAATCTCGCCTGCGAAAACCTCTACACATTAAACTTGGCCTGCCATATCCCTCCCGTCCCTGCCCGTATACTCCTCTAGCTGCTCAAACCCCTCACATTCCGCCGCTCGCTCACATCCTCATTGGTCCTACACCTGCACTCCCACTCCGCCTTCCCGCACCACTAGCATTCCCACCGCCCTGTCCCTCCGCTACAGCCTCGTCCACGATCTTCTCCATAGACATCCTTGTTCAAAGAGTATGATATAGGTCGAAAAAAAATGGCACCTTGAATTTACGACGGAATCGAACAGTACAAGGGGACTCCAACCAATTCTGAGCACGATCCTCTGCAGGTTGGTCGATGAAGTTGGTGGTGGTGGTATATGGGCTATTCGAATAGAAACGGTTGATGTGGGGAATGCGCCGAGTTTGCCGAATCGAGTCCGACACTCGTGAAGTGCGCCACGGTTGTCGTCACTTGAGCAGGATCCCAGCCTCTACTAGTCATCACCACAACTCTATTGATGTCCCACACTTGCTCCATGTGGCGACGATTCGACCCGTGTATTGCTTGTCAAAGTGTTAAGTCAAAGCTTGACGTGTCTCTTACGTATTGGAGTTGGACATCCCTAAGCGGTCACTGCACACTGTTATGCTTCCACTCGATTTTCACGCGATACATCGGACAGTGTCGACCTGTCGTCGGTTTTGTCCCCCTATTGTGCCAACATGCATCATCGATCGATCGAAACCTCAACGTCGTTGGTTAGTATGCAGAAACAGAGATCAGTACATCAGCGATGAGCGATACGAGAAAGGAATGAATACGATATTAGAATCGAAAGATACGGCTGCGATTTGTTATGGGTGTAGCGCAGCTAGTGAACTCTGTAAATGTTTTACCAATAGTTTTCAATCAAAAAATTGAGGTTGGTGTTCTCGAGCCAAATATCCAATTAAAGCTTGCCTGGTATGTGCAGGTAGTAAAGTGGCCGATACGATGACGAGTCCAGCATGCTCAAATGTGGATCCTTTGTGCCTCGGAATGGCGTCCTAGATTGGAGAGAGCGTCACGTAGAGTCTCAACTGATTTGGTCAATTTAGGGGTGTATGCTCCTGGGTTAACAGCAACTAGTTGGCGCCGGATTTTGACACATTCTTCGATAGATGGGAGCGCCTCCGAGTGCCGTCCCAGATTGGAAAGAGCCCAATATTGATTGTTGAGTGACATGGCCAAATCCGGGGTGTATGATCCTGAGTGAACAGCAACTAGCTGGCGGTAGAGTTTCACGCTTTCTTCAATGAATGGGAGTGCCTCGGAGTACCGTCCGAGATTGGAAAAAGCCAAATATTGATTGTTGAGTGATATGGCCAAATCCGGGGTGTATGATTCTGGGTGAACAGTAACCACCTATCGGTAGAGTTTGACACTTTCTTCGATGAATCCGAGTGCCTCCGAGTGCCGTCCGAGATTGGAAAGAGCATTATATAGATTGTTGAGTGACATCGCCAAATCCGGGGTGTTCGGTCCTGGCTGAACAGCAACTAGCTGGCGGTAAAGTTTGACACTTTCTTCGATGAAGGGGAGTGCCTCTGAGTGCCGTCCGAGATCCGAAAGAGCATTACGTAGATTGTTGAGTGACATGGCCAGATACGGGGTGTATGATCCTGGGTTAATGGCAACTAGTTGACGGTAGAGTTGGACGCTTTCTTCGATGAATGGGAGTGCCTCCGAGTGCCGTCCGAGTATGGAAAGAGCATTACGTAGATTGTTGAGTGACCCAGTCAAACCCGGGGTGTATAATCCTGGTTTAACAGCAACCAACTGGTGCCGGAGTTTGACGCATTCTTCGATGATCGAGAGTGCCTCCAAGTGCTGTCCAAGTTCGTAAAGGGCATAATATAGACTGTTAAGTGACACGGCCAAATCCAGGGTATAGGAACCTGAATCCACAGAAAAAAGGTAACGGCAGAGTACCACAGAATCATTTGCTGCCTCATATGCCTCCTGGAATCTTGAAAAAAACTCCAGGTTCCATGGAAGCCGGCTAAGCACTTTAGCCAGTGTGCTAACAGCACTGTGGTCAACAGTCAACTAGAAGACCATGAGGTAGTTTCTTTAACAAGATTGATGACCCATACCTTAGCCCACTCAGGAAGCAACAAGATACTAACATAGCTTTCCATTCTCACACAGACTTCCACCCACCGAGTTGCTCCCCGACTCAGAAACATACCAACTGACACAGCAAGCTCCTCTGATGGTTCCTCGACTCCACTGAGGTGATGGACGAAGTGGTGACATGCATAACGAAAGTGCTCAGATAACTCCTTTGAAGGAATGCAGGGCATTTCGTCTTTTTCGTCCAAATTTTCAATCTGTCCTAGGCCCCTTACAGAGCAGAGACCCTCATTCAAAATCTCGGTACATCGAAAGGCGACCCTCGCATTCTCCACCCCCACAGCCACGGGAGTGCAACGAGAGCTGATCATTTGGGGATGGATCCGATCGAGGATAAAATCACGGAAAGACTGGTGTAAGATGCGAACCGGAATGTGGGAATCCTCAACTCCTGAGAGCAGAGGTGCGAGTTCAGCTAACGCATATTGAACAGAAGAATTGAGGAAAGGGAACAAAATTGCGTCCCAGGCTGTGACGGACAGGGGCTGCCGAGCAACGAAGATTGCTCCCATCACAATTGGGTAATCGTGCGCAAAATCTTCATCATCCCAAGCACACTTCTTCAAAACGCTTGTATACAAATCTTCCATCATCTTCTCGGCAAGGACCTCTGGTCGTTTGGCACCAGTGTCAAGCAGACTTTCGAGTGTCCTCATGGGATCTTTGTTGGCCATCTTCATGTAGCGAAAGATGGTGCTGATCCAGATAAACAAACCATTTGCTCGTCCCGAGATTTCTTGTACCATTTTATCCTCATCCTGAAGATTGCGCTGTAAATTCCGATGCAACTTCTTTAGCTTTTTCAGCTGGAAGCATATGAATTTAGCACAGTCCTGCACATTTGCCCCATCCAAGAGATCAATAGTGAGACGATCAATAGGGTAATCGGGGGAGAGGTAGCGATTCACGAGATCATATTGTCTCGATGTGATGAAGAATTTAACGGAAGATGGTAGCCTGGGCACTTCGTCCCCAAGAATTTCGGCAAGAGATTCAAACACTTCTTTGTCACATTCATCCAAAGCATCAATGATGATCACCATAGGACGGTCGGAAGGTGGAGGTTTATGGAGCAGAGGTGAAGCCACTAATTCCTTGAACTGCATCGTGAATGGAGCTGTTGAGAGGGTGGGGTCTTTTCGAAGGGCAGAGATAATGAAGGTGCGATAATCTGCATCACTATTTGCTAGAGCCTGAGCAATGCCGCTGAACAAACAGTCCGGCCGTGACTGTTCACCAACTCTGAAGAAAAAGCATAGCAATAGGATAGCCTCCCTGTTACATCTATCTGCAATTGTGTGCACAATCAAAGTCTTGCCAGCGCCGGCCACAGAGGTCAGTAGCATCAGCTGGTTCTCGTTATCCCCAGTGTTACGACACCAGTTCATGATACGCTCCGTGAGATCGACCCTGGTACCTTCTAAGCATGCCTCTGTTGAATCATGGTGGGCGATTTGAGGGTATCGGAGACTGCTAAGGATGTTAGAAGTTAGGAAGGAATATCAACGTCCCATATTTTGGGCGCACGGACCTGCAGCCGCCAGAGATTTTCCTTTATTCCTTTCTTGTCTTTCTTGTAGATCGACGTCGCTTTAGGCTTAAAAGCCACTGGACGCGACCTCTTTTGTTTCCCTCAGTTCTACTTTCGTGAACTGAGGTGAGGTCTACCTTTCTTGCGCGACTACTCTTACTAAAGACTGTTGTGTATTCTACTTAGCGCTAATCCTACGCTAGGTACACTAATATCATTCTAGTTCTACTTTCGTGAACTGAGCGCTAATCCTACGCTAGTTCTCTCACAGGTTATGAGCCCAGTGAACTCCGTACCCATCCACCTCACCCCTCTCCATGTCTTCCACTGCCATATCTACTGATGGTTCTCGTTATTCCATAAAACCCCTTGATAACGAAGGAAAGAATTACCGAGTTTGGGCATCTAGGATGAAACTCATCCTCGAGGCTGGAAATGTTTGGGAAGTTGTCGACCCCTCTTCTAACGGTGCTGTTATGCCAAAGGGGCTCGACGCCAATGACCCATTGCTTCTTGAATGGACAAAAAAGGATAAGTTAGCCATGACTCAACTAAAACTCTATATCGATGACGAACCTATGATGTCCGTTGAAGAGCAAACTTCTGCTCGAGGAGTCTGGCAAGCTTTGTCTGATAAGTACAATGGTCTCGGTTCTCATGACGCTGGCATCCTTACCTCCAAGCTACATCGCTTCCAACTTGACGACTCTAAACCACTCCAACCCCAGATCAACGCCATGCAACAAATACGTAGCCAACTGGCTGTACTTGGTCAACCCGTCTCTGATTCTGGCTTTGCAATCGCTATCTCCGAGGCCCTTCCCACTTCATATGAGGTCTTTAAGACCCTGACTGTTGCAACTGTCGATGACTCCTCCCAACTGAATACTGCCACACTTCTTCGCCAAATCTACCGTGAAGAAAAACATAAAGAACATTCTTCCGGTATTGCCGCTATGGTGGCTAAAACGCCAAAACCTGATCGGAATAACTCACCGAAACCAAGCGGTCAAAAACCCAACACTCCCAAGTCTAACGTTCAGTGTACTAATCCCAAGTGTGGAAAACTTGGTCATACGTTTGAGCGATGCTGGGCAGAGGGCAGAGGATCAGAAGGAAAGGGACCAAGAAGAGCGAAGGCTAAGCGAACGCCACCTGCAGGACCCTCTAGAGAGTCTGCTAAAGTCGCCACGTCCGACACAAAAGTTGAAATGCTGTTAGCTTCTGCGGAAAAAACATATTCCGGTCAAGAACGCCACACAGAGTGGGTAGTTGATTCCGGCGCTACGGTGCACTTATGCAGGAATTGAGAATGGTTTACCGCTTATCGCCCCCTTCATCCTCCTCGAGAGATAATCCTTGGAAACAAAAAATCGATTCTTGCACCTGGAATTGGTCAGATCGAAGTCGAGATCAGAATCGGAGACTCTTCTCGACTCACCACCATCCGTAACGTCCTTCATTGTCCAAAAATCGCCCACAATCTCCTTTCTGTCCCGCAACTCTCTTCCTCCGGTGCCCAAGTACGATTCCTTGACAAGACTTGCCACATCCTCAACTCGTCTAATGAGCTAATCGCCATAGCCACCCTTGACAACGGCCTATTCCGACTACCTGTAACAGTTGTTGGTACAGAAAAGGCCTTCATATCCACTATCAACACACCAGAAAACGCCAATCTGGCACGATCTGTAACAGCCAGCGTGTCACTTGACATCTGGCATACGCGCTTAGGCCACATATCAAAGGAATCTATCCTTAATATGATGTGCAGTGGAATGGTAAAAGGGATGGACGTACTAGGGAAAAGATCACCCGAAGAACCAACTTTCTGCCAAGGTTGCGAAGCGTCTTCCCACCATCGCAACCCGATCCCATCCAAAACACATACCAGAGCCGACCAAGTTCTTGGACGCGTCTTCTCCGACGTCTGTGAAGTCCGAACTAAGACGAGAGAAGGATATAAGTACTTTATTACCTTCGTAGACGACTATAGTCGCTACCTTACCGTCTATCCCATGAAGAACAAGAGTGACGCTCTGGAACGGTTCAAGGAATACCTTGCTGAAGCGGAAAGGCAAACCGGGCAGAAGTTGAAGACCCTGCGGACAGATGGAGGAGGCGAGTATTTCTCGAATGACTTCATCACATTCTTGAAGGGTATGGGAATTCTCCATGAAAAGACTAACCCTCAGACTCCGCAAGAGAATGGGGTAGCAGAACGAGTTAATAGAACGTTGGTCAGCATGGCTATCGCGATGATGAAAGGAGTTGAGTCTCAGATCGGACGTACCTCCTGGCCCTATGCCCTTCGACATGCCGCTCTCATCAAAAATGTCTCTCCCCATTCATCACTTCCCAATGGCATCTCTCCTCACGAACGCTATACAGGGAACAAACCTACTGTCTCCACTATCCGAACTTTTGGCTGTAAAGCCACACTCCACATCCCAAAAGATCAACGAGGTAAACTTGATGATCGCTCACTCACCGGGATTCATATTGGCATTGCCCAAGGCAAAAAGGCCTTCTTGATATATGATCCCACATCACGCAAAGTCCTCGAGTCTAGGGATGTGCATTTCTTTGAAGGGGTCGCCGACTCGGAGCGAGTAACGATTGAAGTGCCGATTGTGGAGTCGAGGGGGCATGTTGTGGCGACAACGGAAGAAGAAGAGAAGGACGAGGACGAGGGAAGGGAAGACGTGAGAGAGGAATCAGGTAATGACGAGACACCCGAGGAACTCACCGAACTCCCTCGACGATCGACTTGACTACGACACGCTCCCATTCCAGATGATGACGACCGATATAACGTCAGTTCCTACAACAAAAAGAAGATACCAGAGTCAGTGGGGGCAGCATGGGCGATGACTGCCACAGGGAATGAACCGCGCACCTACAATGAGGCGATGAACCGACCCGACTCAGACTCCTGGTTGGAAGCGTGCTTGAATGAACTCAAGGCACTAAGGGAAACCAAAACGTATGTGCCAGTTAATCGAAAAGATGTTGACGCTTCGAATATCGTTGGATGCCGATGGATATTCGCACTGAAACGAGGATCCAATGGCGAGATCAAACGCTACAAGGCTCGAATCGTTGCCAAAGGTTTTAGTCAAGTCTATGAGATCGATTATAACGAAACATTCGCACCTGTCGTGAAATGGTCATCAATATGAATTCTCCTTGCCCTGGCTGCGCATTGCAAGAGGGCTCGCGGCTCTCTATGCCGACTAAGCTCGTGGGGCCTAACTCTCCAAAACCTCTACTTTCTCTCTTGACTTCGCTATGCTCGATCCTAAAACTCCGTGGTGGGTTCTCCAGGATTCCGCAAGGTCCGGGCTCAACTAATCTACTACCCACTCGTTGTGGGCTAGACAGTTGCCCTTATTCCTACTGTTGGATTCCACACACTCACTCCAACTCTAGCACGTCCTAGAGAATTTTGGGGGAGGGGAGAACTTCTATTCCAAAATCCGGTATGTACAGGATATAAGGAACAATTATTTTTAGAATAATTGATGAGAAATATTGGTACCATATGGCACCTGCATACCTTATTAGGCGAAATAATAAAAAAGGGTAACAGTAACAATAAAAGAATATCAATCAATATCTGAAATGATGGCAAAATATGAAAATATAAGGAAATAAGCGATTTCTCAGCGGATTTACGGAATTAAGATCCGAAATTGGAAATGTAGCTGAATAGAACTATTACGCAGCCAATGAGCATTTTTACCAATTTATTAGACGCCGTGGGAACGAGTGAGGCTGGAATTCTGGGTTGCCGCTTGAGATTCCCACGCCCGCACATGCCCGTGCCTAACTTGCCCAACATAGAACTCCGTCAAATCTCCACCGATTAGGACGTTCTTGATACCGTCGGAATCGTAAGAATTAGGACTATTTTTAGATACCGAATCCGTATCGAGTTGTCGCATGAATGGAAGGGGTTTTCTAATCGTAGAAGCGGGTATCCGAGCCGGCTCTGCACGTGGGCGATTATCCCGCCTACAGCATCGCGACCTTGAAGTTCATCAGATGGACGTCACCACGGCTTTTTTGAATGGAGAACTGGAGCACGAGATCTATATGCAACCTCCACCAGGAAGTGCAGACTTCGGGAGACCAGGTATTGTCTGGAAGTTACAAAAGAGTCTTTATGGGTTGAAGCAGGCTTCGCGAGCATGGTACATGAAGGCGAAGGAAGAGTTGATGAAGATCGGATTTGTCCGATGCGATTCAGATCATGCGGTATTCATTTGCTCAAAACGGCAACATATCTGCATCATCGCGCTGTACGTCGATGACCTTATGATCCTGTCTGACGACCTCTCTCTCCTTCGAAGAAAGAAGAAACTTCTCATGTCTACCTTCAAGATGAAGGATCTCGACGAAATTCACTGGTTTCTCGGGCTTGAAATCACTCGAGATCGAGCTCGGCGCCTAATCCATATCTCCCAGAAACGCTATGTCGAAGACGTACTGCAACGTTTCAGCTTTCTTAACTCACGTCATACTTACACACCTGTCGCACTCGGTCTCAAATTACCTCGCTATGAAATTCCCCAAACCGATACACGACAATATCAATCTCGCCTTGGATCCGTTATGTACGCCATGTTGGGAAGTAGACCCGACATCAGCTATGCGATCACTCTTCTCAGCCAATACTCGGCTAACCCAGGACAAGAACACCTAACGTCGATCAATCGACTTTTACGTTACTTATCGCTTACTCGCGATTGCGGTTTAACTTACAACGGATACTCAAAGGACGACGACACGATGGCATACTCAGATTCAGATTGGGCAGGAGATCCTCGTGATTGTCGCTCGATATCTGGATTCGTTTTTAAGATGGCTGGAGCTGCCGTTAGTTGGAGTTCGAAGAAACAAGCGTCAGTAGCCCTATCTAGTACAGAGGGCGAATACATGGCTTCAACACACGCTGCGAAGGAAGCCATCTGGATTCGACGCTTCCTCAGTGACCTTGGTGTGTCCATTCCTACCCCGATTACTTTGCTCATCGACAATCAAGGTGCTATTGCACTCGCAAACAACCCTGCTTTTCACACGCGAACAAAACACATCGGGATTCGACATCATTTCATCTGAGAATGTGTCGACAACAAGTTAATCGAACTTGAATATGTGTCTACAAACAATCAACTCGCCGACATCTTTACGAAAGCATTGGGAAGTGATAAATTCGACAAGTTCGCTGAGGCTTTGGGATTACAAGGGAAGGATACGTTTTTCCGGAGATCGGATGGTACGTCGAGTGGGGGTGTTAGAAGTTAGGAAGGAATATCAACATCCCATATTTTGGGCGCACGGACCTGCAGCCGCCAGAGATTTTCCTTTATTCCTTTCTTGTCTTTCTTGTAGATCGACGTCGCTTTAGGCTTAAAAGCCACTGGACGCGACCTCTTTTGTTTCCCTCAGTTCTACTTTTGTGAACTGAGGTGAGGTCTACCTTTCTTGCGCGACTACTCTTACTAAAGACTGTTGTGTATTCTACTTAGCGCTAATCCTACGCTAGGTACACTAATATCATTCTAGTTCTACTTTCGTGAACTGAGCGCTAATCCTATGCTAGTTCTCTCACAAAGGATCGGGTCATTCTCCAGGCGGTCTAAGCTGTCCTCTATGGTCGATAATTTGACACCAATTGTTAAATTCGTCCTAAGCTGCATCGACCGAAAATCAGAATGATTATGGAACAAATGCTGTGGGGAAAGCTACCTGAAACGATGCCAACGCTTTGTCAAAATCTCTCTTTAGGCCCTCAATTCTTCCTGGGTCTTTCGAGTAAGTCCATGCATTTCTTACAGCTGAGCGTTCCTCCAATTTTCTAAGTCTTCGTTCGATTTCGGACTGGATCTCCTGTAGTGCACTGGTACTGGACGTAAGAATGATATCGGAAACCACCAAAAACCAACACAAAGTACCTCCCAAGCTCTGTGATGCCCTCCACCCATGATGTTGCCTCTTTCGCTGACACATCATAAGACTTTATGGCTGAGACTACCTTGGCCGTAGTGCTAGCTATGTATTCACCAAAATTAGTCCATTGCTCCTTGTTCTCCTTGAACTTCTACGTGGCGCAAAGTAGCGTGAGCTTTCTTTCATAATCAAGCTTGGATCATTACCAACGTTAATCTCGTCGAGGATGGAGAGTGCACCGCCAGTGGCCATTTTGAGAGGGGGACACCAGTCAGCGGTAGCATTGACGACCCTGAGAATTGGAACCGCTATGTCAATTCCCGCCACAAGGAGACTATCGATCGTTTGCCTGAGAGCTTCAGCCTTTTGCTGCAGTGACATGGTCGACAGCTAAGTAGATGGAGCAGTGTTGGGCAGACATGGTCCCAAATGGTCACATGGTCCGAAGTCCGAAGGTCTGATTCAGTAGACAACGTCTTTCCCATGGTCCGAATTGTCCCATCAGTTGTCTGTCGGCTAAAGCCGGGGCCTCGCTAGTTCAATGTCGGCAGTGTCGGCAACGAGTTTCGCGGAAATAGCCGCAAGGTGATCACATGAGGCTCGGGTTATCCCTCGTCTGGTTGGAAATCGGCTGCTTCCGTATTTCGGACCTTGAGACAATGGACCCTTGTCGGAAGCACAATCAGACCAAAAATGGTCTGATTGGTGGTCTGATCGTGTCAATGCCAACACTGAGATGGAGAGAGCTTTGGGCGCGCAACGCACGTGTGAACCCCTAAACGTTCAGAAGCTAGAGTCACGAGCCCTCCGTCTGATTATGGAAGGTTGAGGAAGGATATGATATGCCCAATCACTTTCTGGTGGACACCATACGGACCTCCGATCCAGGATCAGCGGCGAATTCTAGCGGTAGCATGACCCGGACTAGTTAGGTGGTACGAATGATGACATTACTGTAAGTAAACTGCACGAGATGCCGCCCAGAACTGGAAGCAGGATGAATGTGACTTGGAATAAGAACTAGATATGAACGAGCACGCAGGATGACCGGGTGCAGGCTTTCCGCTCGTTGGTGCATAAGAAATGGGTCTCAGACAAGTATAGTGGCTTGATACGAATCGCTACGTTACTTGTTCTAATCTTATTGTAGCTCTTCGGAACGTCCATATCCTGAATGGAGGGACAGTGCTGGCAACAGTGAACACGCGATGAAGGATGCTTTGGACAGAGGCAGGTGTCATTTCGCTACCTATACACCCTAAGAAGCAGTGGTCAGAACCACGGGGACGACAGCGTCGGAACTTCTCGCACACAAACCATAAAAGGTGAAATGGCCCGACTGCCAGACCTTGGCTGCGCACATGGTGTTAAGGATGAATGTGAGAAGGAGGCTAACGAATTGGAATGATACCGAAACGAGGAGGTTTCCCATCATAAAGGAGAACACGCTCCCAATAGGAACGATTGACCATGTCGCCGTCCATTGATGCAACAATGATGTTTCTCAATGCTGAGGAATGGCGTCCGCTTTGGACCGTGTGGTAATACTGTGTCCACACGTTGGGATAGGAATAGCAGGTGGCCCTCCAGACTCGGCAACGACGCTAGCTGTCAAATACTCCACCATTCCCTAGGACCTCCTCGAGTATCACGCGTACAGTAGGCAGACAGGACAGTACCAGAGGTTTTCGAATAATCCAAGCCATCGAATGGCCACGAGAGCTAGTGTTAGATCATTCGTGTTGCCGTACGAGTTTGGGAGTGCAAGGGCCATCAGCCAAAGTATATAGCGATCCTGGAAAGCATGTTGGCGCAATAACATCCGAAACAATAGCCTCCAGAAACAGAGCGAGTTGGAGAACGAGGAGAAAGGGTATGCAAAGCGTTGTGTGAGCTAGGATTGCACTTTTACAAACAAGAGCACGGCAGGATATCCGCCAAGGTTGTCCTTGATCAAACGCCAAGCGACTGATGCCATCGAGTAGCGATTATCACGGCGGTTTCGTGCCGAGTAATATTACATAAGTGACGGGGCAAACATTAATATTATCGCATTCTACCACCGCTGACATAAGTGCTACATTAGCGCGCTTCCTCATTCACTCTAGAGTGTTAATTCATGCTGATCGATTCACGAAGATCGACATAGTAGTAATCGACATTAATTTCTTGAGTATGATCCGGGTGGTGCACAGTCGCGGAGCCGGTCCATTGATCGTGAGGACCAACCTTATTTAGACGTCATGTATGAACAATGAATTCGCATGATTCGCGTCCCCCTATACAGCACACCGTACTGGAACTGTATTCACACTCAGTTCGCAAAGTAGCTTCTGAACTAATCACCACTTTGCATGCTGCGTGCATGCATAAACGGCCTCAGGCTCCCAGAAAGACGAAAGGAAACAGAAGTTCAAGCAAGAAAGACAAATGGGATGGAATATAATGGAAAGGAACGTCCGAAAGCACCAAGAATATCGAAAGTATGAGTTCAACTATCGTTTCCCGGCGCCGGAGGAAAGCAGCCGCCGCGGGTCGGGGATAAAAGGAGAAGGCGGGAAATGATGAGAATGAAGAGTGAGGGTTAAAATGTACGTGCATTCGCGAGGCTGATTTAATAGAAGTAGTGCATGGGGACGTTATATTGGGAGCGAAGGGAAGCCGAGTGAGAGGTGTCTGATGGGGAGACTATGTAGGCAGCTCATTACAATCCGATCAGTTGTGAACGTACCTCGGCGGAGCACATCAGACTCGGACCCAGTCGTTCCAGGGGAACGACTGGTGGAAAACATTGCATCCGGGATGATGTAAGCGCTACATGTGACTATACCGACGTTGGTTCAATGTATATCACTATTTACACCTACTTCGATGTAAACTCGAGAACGGCATGGCCACCGACTCCATCGCACCCATATGTTGAGCCAACGGAAGATACAATAAGGAGAAATGTCGCTGACGTCTTTGGGAAGACTCTTTGTGGTTTCCAATTGAGAGCAGTCGTTGCCCAGATCCATCGGAGGGATTTGCTCTTGACAGCTCTGGCAAAACTTGGTGCCATTGCTGTATAATGGCGGAAGGATAAGACTGTAATCCTTACAATGAGTAGGAGTGCAACCTGCCGCTTCTCACTACGGGAACGGCTCCTTTGAGACGAAGGTGGGAGGCCACTAGAATCTAACCAGCAATCATCATCGTCATTATTTTCGTTTTCCAAATCGTCAATGTCCTCCCATTTATCCAGTTCAACAATTTCCCCAGGGGTAAATGTCGCCGAAAGGAGACAGCCAATAAAATGCCACAAAGTAGGAGCTTTATGGGAGAATTTCTTCGCTGTCCGCTGAATAGACGGAAATTTAACTTCCTTGTGTGTCATTGATGAAGCTGAGAAATGGAAGCCAGAGGCTATGTCTGTTAGGCAATCGAGCTCATTCGTGAGTTGTTGGCGAGTGTAAAGGAGCACTGAAGCGAGAAACAGGGTAGGATCCAGCGAGTAGAGCATTTAGAGACACTTTCCCTTTCAATAATGAGACCAACAAGCGTAGGGAGAGACCCCTTGATTTTATGGAGATTTGTGGGGTTGTGACGCAGATCATCGCTAAGGCAAGCGTCGAGAAATTCATACAATATCAGACCATTTGCTTCGAAGGAGTTAAGCACAGCCTCTACACACGCTCTCTTCGGCACTTGAAGGGGTAAAGGAAGTGGGGACTCATCATATCGGACAGTGAGATCAGTTGCGCAATAATATTCTTGTTTGTTCGATTCAATATGCACAAATAACAGTATACGGCTGTCGTGGGAAAATGTTTTCCACCAGCCGTTCTGACAAGATAAACAAGCATAAACAGAACGGCTGGGTACGAGCCTGGGAGCACATGCACTTTCGTGCTTTCCCCACACCAAATCTCAAACCCCAACGTGAACTCCAGTTCGATCTAATCGGCCGAGTCCCACGCCAACCCGATTCTGGTCCCTCCACCCTCAGCCTCACAACTCCAGATACCAGCATCCACTTTCCAAGCAATCCATCTTCTCTGATCTCTCCCTCACTTACAAGCGAGAATGGATCAAAAAAAGAAATTAGATCGACCTGCGCCAGCGCCAGCACTTCCATCTCACCCGGACGCAGGACAGAACTGAGAATATAATGGAGTGAAACGACAACGAGGTTAATTGAAAAACGAAAACGAAAACGAAAAATAAAATGAGATGGGATAATTTGGAGATTTCCTGTTGACGCATGTGAGTATGCGACCTGGTCATGAGTAAGAGTTAATAATGCGTGACGGCGAACGATGAATAGTGGAAAGAAATGACGCGGGGAGGGGCAACTTGCATGGGCCCGTGAGTCAGATTATAGTTGATGATCAAGCAATTAGAAGGACCCGAGAGCGGAAGCATAGACGGGTTCACTTGACGTCACCATAGCCCCTCATCGGCAGGCTAATGTCCAAACTAGGTCGAACATCTCGAGATTCAAGTGGCGGAACTCGGCTATCAGGCAAGAAAAAAAAAACGCTTGCCAAGTTTGTTGCCTGTGCCTGGCAGTTAAGGATGGACGGGTGCGGACAAGGGGGGTTCCATGCGAAGATGGCTTGCAACGCGAGCATTCATCCCTTCATAGAAAGGAAATTGCAACGCGCGAGAAAAAAGTGGACAAGCTTCAATCCACGAGCCAGGTCATCACAGGCGTTGGATCGGAAGCGGGAGGTGCAGAGGGAGGTGATGTTACTGTTATGTACTAGAGGGTCTGGAAGAAAGAACGGAGCCAAGTCGAGTCCAGGATGATCCCGGCATTTCAGAGCACATTATCACCTCCACCGCTACGAAAACGAGTTACGCTCGTATCAATCATTTGAGTCAAGTGCTCTAGAAGACCAACCGGAGTCACCATCATTAGCCCTGTACAAAACAAAACAAAAAAAACTGTGGAACGAAAACTTACTGAGAAATACTCAACCTCGCGCTGTTCGCCTGCGAAAACCTCCACATGCAAAATAAACTTGGCCTGCCTTGTTCCTCCCGTCCCTGCCGGTATACTCCGCATACATACTCTAGCTGCTCGAACCCCTCACACCCCGCTGCTCGCTCTCAACCATCCTCATTGGCCCTACACTCGCACTCGCACTCCGCCTTCCCGCACCACTGGCATCCCCGGGCCCCACCGCCCCGCCCCACCGCTACAGCCTTGTCCCATTATTCAAAGAGTATGATATGCGTCGAGAAGAACCTGGCACCTTGAATTTACCACGGAATCGAACAGTACAAGGGGGCTCCATCCGATTCTGAGCAGGATTCTCTGCAGATTGGTCGATGAAGTTGGCGGTGGGTAATCTGAGTAGAAACGGTTGGTGCGCCAAGTTTTCCAAATCGAGTCCGACACTCGTGAAGCCCGCCACGGTTAATTGTCGTCACCACAACTCCATTACATACTTCGGACTTGGTGCTCCATTCGAAGACAGGTTTCGACACGTGTACTGCTTATCGAGGTCATAAGGCAAAACTTGATGTCTCTTTTAGTGTTGGACTTTCCCAAGCTGTCGCTGCACACCGTTATGCTATCACTGGTTCTCGACTTGCACGTCCCTAACGCGATACACCGGACAGTGTCGACCTGTCGTCGATTTCGACTTTCCATTGTGCCAACATATTGCATCATCGATCGATCGAGACCTCGACATCATCAGTTAGTACGCAGAAACAGAGATCAGTACCTCAGTGATGATGATGAGGGATGCGAGAGAAAATGTGTTAGAGAAAGAAATGGATACGATATTAGAATTGAAAGAGGCGACTGTGATTTAGTGAACTCTGTAAATGTTTTATCAATGGTTTGCAATCAAAAATTGAGGTTGGTGTTCTCGAGCCGAATATCCAATTCAAGCTTGCCTGCCATGTGGGGGTAGTAAAGTGGCCGATGCAATGATAAGGATAGCATGTTCAGATGTGGACCATTTGTGCCTCGGAATGACGTCCGAGGTTGGAGAGAGCATTACGTAGATTCTCAACTGATTTGGCCAATTGAGGAGTGTGTGCTCCTGGGTTAACAGCAACTAGCTGGCGCCGGATTTTGACACATTCTTCGATGAATGGCAGCCCCTCCAAGTGTCGTCCGAGATTGGAAAGAGTAATATGTAGATTGTTGAGTGACCTGGCCAAATCCGGGGTGTATAATCCTGGGTTAACGGCAACTAGCTGGCGCCGGATTTTGACACATTCTTCGATGAATGGGAGTGCTTCCGAGTGCCGTCCGAGATCTGAAAGAGTAATATGTAGATTGTTGAGTGAGCTGGCCAAATCCGGGGTGTATAATCCTGGGTTAACGACAACTAGCTGGCGCCAGATTTTGGCACATTCTTCGATGAATGGGAGTGCTTCTGAGTGCCGTCCAAAATTGGAAAGAGCATGATATAAACTGTGGAGTGACTTGGCCAAATCCAGGGTGTATAATCCCGGGTTGACGGCAACTAGCTGGCGCCGGATTTTGGCACGTTCTTCGATGAATGGGAGCGCCTCCTCGTGCCGTCCGAGATTGGAAAGAGTAATATGTAGATTCTTGAGTGAGCTGGCCAAATTCGGGGTGTATGATCCTGGGTTAATGGCAACTAGTTGACGGTAGAGTTTGACGCTTTCTTCGATGAATGAGAGTGCCTCTGAGTGCTGTCTGAGATTGGCATGAGCATTATGTAGACTGTTGAGAGACATGGCCAAATCCGCGGTGTATGATCTTGGGTTAACGGCAACTAGCTGGCGGCAGAGTTTGATACTTTCTTCAATGAATGGGAGCGCCTCCGAGTGCCGTCCGAGGTCCGACAGAGTAACACATAGATTTTGTAGTGAGCCAGCCAGATTCGGGGCATATGATCCTGGGTTAACGGCAACTAGCTGGCGACGGAGTTTGATGCATTCTTCGATGAATGCAAGGCCCTCTGAGTGCCGTCCGAGATCCGAAAGAGCATTAGACAGATTGTGGAGTAAGCTGGCCAGAGTCGGGGCATATAATCCTGGGTTAACGGCAACTAGCTGGCGACAGAGTTTGACGCTTTCTTCGATAAATGCAAGCATCTCCGAGTGCCGTCCAAGATCCGAAAGAGCATTAGATAGATTGCTGAGTGAGATGGCCAAATCCAGGGTGTACGATCCTGGGTTAACGGTAACTAGCTGGCGGTAGAGTTTGATGCTTTCTTCGATGAATCCGAGTGCCTCCGAGTGCTGTCCAAGTTTGGCTAGGGTGACATACAGACTGTTGAGTGAATGGGCCAAACCCAGGGTGTAGGAACTTGAGTCCACAACAAGGCAACGGTAGAGTAGGACAGAATCATTTGCTGTCTCATATGCTTCCTGGAATCTTGAAAAAAATACCAAGTTTGGTGGAAGCCTGGCAAGCACCTTAGCCAGTGCATAAACAGCCCTGTGGTCAACAGCCAACTGGAAGACCATGAGATAGTTTCTTTGACAAAATTTATAACCCATACCTTAGCCCACCCAGGGAGCAACAAGATACTGACGTAGCGTTCCATTCGCACACAAACTTCCACCCACCGAGGTGCTTCCTGACCCAGAAACATACCAACTGACCCAGCAAGCTCCTCTGATGGTTCGTGGACCTCACTGAGGTGATGGATGATGTGGTAACATGCATAACGAAAGTGCTCAGATAACTCCTTTGGAGGAATGCACGGCATTTCATCCTTTTCGGTCAAGTTTCCAATCTGTCCTAAGCCCTTTACAGAGCAGAGACCCTCGTTCAAAATCTCGGTACATCGCAGGGCAACCCTGGCATTCTCCACCCCCACCGCTATGGGAGCGGAATGAGAGCTGATTGTTTGGGGATGCATCCGATCAACGATAAAATCGTGGAAAGACTGGTGTAATATGCGAACTGGAATGTGGGGATCCTCAGCTCCTGAGAGCAGAGGAGCAATTTCGGCAAACACATATTGAACAGAAGAATTGAGGAAAGGCGACAATATTGCATCCCAGGCTGTGACAGACAGAGGCTGCTGAGCAACGAAAATCGCTCCCATCACAATCGGGTAGTCGTGTGCGAAATCTTCATCCTCCCAATCAAACTTCTTCAAAATCCTCGTATATAGGTCATCCATCATCTTCTCAGTGGGCACCTTTGATCGTTTCGTGCCGGTGTCGAGCAGGCCCGATAGTGTTCTCATAGGATTCTTCTTAGGATTCTTCATGTAACGAAAGATGGTGCTGATCCAAATAAACAAGCCACCCGCTCGATCCAAGATCTTCTGTACCGCACTATCCTCATTTTGGAGTTTATGCGCTAAATTAGGATGCCAATTCTTAAGCTCTTGTAGCTGGAAACGGATGTACGCAGCACAGTCGTGCATATTTGTGTCATCCAGGAGATCGATGGTGAGGTGATTGATAGGGAAATGGCGTGAGAGGGAGCGATTAACAAGATCAACATGTCTCGAAGTAACGAAAAACTTTATGGAAGATGGTAACTTGGGTACTTCCTCGCAGAGAATCTTAGCAAGGGGTTGATATGCTTCTTCGTCACATTCGTCTAAAGCATCGATAATGACCACCATAGGATGGCTGGGACGCCGAAGGATATGGAGAGGTGAAGCCACCAATTCCTCGAACTGCATCGTGAACGGAGCTGTTGAGAGGGTGGGGTCTTTTCGAAGGGCAGAGATAATGAAGGCGCGGTAATCTGCATCACGGCTTGCTAGAGCTTGAGCAATGCCGCTGAATAAACAGTCCGGCTGTGGCTGTTCGCCAACTCTGAAGAAAAAGCACAGCAATAAGATAGCCTCCCTGTTACATCTATCTGCAATTGTGTGCACGATTGAAGTCTTGCCAGCGCCAGCGACAGAGGTCAGGAGCATCAGCCGGTTCTCATTATCCCCGGTGTTACGACACCAGTTCATAATACGCTCCGTGAGATCGACCCTGGTGCCTTCTAGGCACGCCACTGTTGAATCATGGTGGGCGATTTGAGGGTATCAGAGACTACTAAGGATTGGGTCACTCTCCAGACGGTCTAAGCTGTCCTCTATGGTCGATAATTTGACACCAATTGTTAAATTCGTCCTAAACTGCACCGGTCGAAATTCAGAATGATTATGGAGCAACACCGTGAGGAAAGCTACCTGAAACGATACCAATGCTTTGTCAAAACCTCTCTTTAGGCCCTCAATTCTTCCTGGATCTTTCAAGTGGGACCATGCATTTCTTACAGCTGACCGTTCCTCTAGTTTTCTAAGTCTTTGTTCGATTTCGGACTGGATCTCGTGTAATGCGCTGGTACTGGACGTAAGTATGATATCTGAAACCAACAACCAGTACAACATGCCTCCCAAGCTCGGTGACGCCCTCCATCCATGACGTTGCTTCTTTCGCTGACGTGTCATAAGACTTGATGGCTGAAACTACCTTGGCCATAGTGCTAGCTACGTATTCACCAAAATTGGTCCATTGCTCCTTGTTCTCCTTGAACTTCTACGTGGAGCAAACTGGCGTGAGCTTTCATTCACAATCAAGCTCGACTCAATACCGACTTTAACCTCGTCAAGGATAGCGAGTGCACCGCCAGTGGCCATCTTTAGAGGGGGGCACCAATCAGCCGTAGCATTCACAACCCTGAGAATTGGAACCGCCATGTCAACCCCCGCCACGAGATTATCGACCGTCTGCCTGAGAGTTTCAGCCTTTTTCCGTAGCGACATGGTTGATAGCGAGCAAGTGGATGGAGAGAGAGCTTTGGGCGCGCAATACACGTGTGAGCCCCTAAACGCTCAGAAGATAGAGCCGTCTGATTATGGAAGGTCAAGTAAGAATATGATATATCATTAACTATTTGGTCAACACCATATGGACCTCTGATCCACTATCAGCGGCAAATTTTAGCGGTGGCATGACCCGGGCTAGTTAGGCAATTGGTATGTACGGATGATAAGTACGCACAGCGCTAAATCCTACTGGACGAGAACCAGTATTACAGTGCCGCCTAGAACTGGAAGCAGGATGAATGTGATTAGGAGCGAGAACTAGATATGAACGAGCAAGGACCATGTAGTATGGGGGGTGCTGGTTGCGGCGCTCGCTTCGTACAGAGAGCCGGCGGTAATACGCGAAGCACGACATGGGGGTTGTGATCCAGTCTGACCTTTCATCAGGATCAGTTGGAGTGCTATCAGCTTTCACATGAGCATCACTAGGATGCCGGTAAGTAGCCGGGCACCGACTTTGCACGCCTAAGAAATGGGTCTCGGACAATCATAGAGGCTTGATACTTGTCGTTACATTACCGCTCTAATCTCATTATCAACCGCGCAGCTAAAAACAAACCTGACAATTGATGCAATAGCAAAAAAAATCAGGATCAGTTGACACGTGAAGTAGAAAATTTCTCGATGATCCCATTGTCGCCCACCAAGATTCAACTTGGAAGGCACCAGGACTGCTCGGGCGTGTCATGACGTGGTGTCAGCAACATGGAGGATAGCGAGAAACGTGAATCGCTGTTTACGGCCGCGTCTCGGCCGGTGCCGGTCAACATCCCTGAACCCGCCACTCTTCCCGCCGTTTGGCGCACTTTATTTTCGCCACAGATACAACGTGTACAGGCAGCACCACGAACACTCTTCGAATAACACTCTTAAAGCACATCCTCTTTGATGCTTCAGATTCTTTGTCACCTCTGACCTCGTTGATCGCTACCTCTCACTTCCTTGATCGCGTCAGCATTAGTCTCTCGGGTGGTGCTAATGTGCAGTACTGCAATATCTACATCTATGCAGATTGAAGGATATGCATCCCCAACTAAAATGATCAACTCGATAAATTGGCTCGAGACATATCAGAACGAGCGGGTGGCTTGTTCATTTGGATCAGTACCGTGTCTCACTGCTAGATGAGGGAGACTGGTTGTTCTCCTGACAGAATTCTTTGATGGTAGTGCGAATCGATCGAAGGCTTCCGCTGAGAAAGCGACGGATAGCCTATATATTGGAGAAGTGTGATTGGAACGATGAGTACCCGATTGTGACGGGAGCTTTCTCAATGGCACAGCAACCACTGTCTGTTGCGGCTTGGGATGTTGTTCTGCCACCATTCCTGGAATCGGACATCTGGCTGAACTTGCACCCCTCATCTCGGGGGTTGGGGACTATGACATGCCGATTCGTACTCCATATCAATTCTTTCATGGCGTTCTGATGGACAGAATCTCACCGCACCTCGTTTCTCAGTGTATACGAGGAGAGAGAATGCCAGAGCAGCCCTGTGCTGCGTCGAAATCCTGCACAAGCACCTTTTTTGCTTTATGAAGGATTTAGGACCGATCGACGATTTGTCCCGGAAAGAAGCTACGTTGCCAATTCCATTCCTCGAGAGATGCTATCTAAGCAAGTTCTATTACGCAATGTTGGCATCTCGTGTATCACCTCAACCAGCGGCTAGAAGCGCTTTATGTGCCAATCCACACATCCCCCCCCGTCAGCAAATAATGCACTGGGTTGGAAGTCCGCGTGAGAACGGAAGGGCACAATTGGTATTTCATCGATCGTTCCCTTGTATGAATCGTCGACAGCGATCATGAGGCGCTCTTATTCAGTCTCATGTTCCTTCAGTTGACCGTTGATCGGACTTTCAAAGCAGTCATTCAGATTTGGGTCAAATACATGTATATGAGCGGTAATCTTGGATTTGCCAAATAATTCTGTTGCGCTCTGTCGTTGGCCTTGTGCAGAGTCCTACACCCAGAAATTAGCCCTCAAGTGCTCCATAGTCTTTAAAGTACCACTTTCGGAACCTTGGGCAGCACTCCGAGACGCTCCGTCTGATTAAAGAAAGTGTTTTGACTCTGACATGGGCATCTACCCACATTGTACACCCCGAACTTGGCCCCAAGCGCTCCATATATTCACTCGGGAGTCTTAGGAGGCATTCCGAGGCGCTCTCTGTGATCGAAGCAAATGTTAAACTCTGGCGTGGGCTAGTCGCCATCCATGCACCCCGGAGCTAGCTCGAGCGCTCAGACACCTCTCAACTATCTGCGAAGCGCTCCCCATGATCGAAGAATATGTCGGACTCTGGCGCGAGTTAGACGTCATCCATCCGACATCATACACCCTGGAACTGGCTGATGACGCTCTCAAAGGGGTCTCAACATATCATTCAAAAAAAAACTTGGGGTGGCCGTCCCGACGCGCTCGCCCCGTGATCGACATGATTGGACGGCAGTGAAACCGGTGAGGCCACGTTTTGCCTCGCGTGCGCATGCAGTTCCTAAAGATGAGTGGCCGGGAGTGGGATATACCTTGCAGAGCGCGAGTTGAACCCGACTGTTCCCAAAAAAGGAATATATGGGCTGTTGCGTATATACTTTCGGGCTAGTGCTGCGAAGGTTACAGGGGATTGATTTAGCCAGCATACATATATGGAAGCAGTGAGTCGGATCCCCGTAAGGACAGTGGAGTGGGCAGACATACAGGGGAGGCCCAAGTTGGTCAATGTCCCCTGTGGCTCGCGTAGATATCCGCGACATAACATCGAAGCCATCCGATCGTGTGTTGCTCGAGTATGTGGGAAAATGAAGAGAAAAAAATATAGGCGTGGACCGATGCAGAGGGCGCCTCTGGGTGATTGCCACGAGGACTAGGTGACAGGGGGGGAATGTCCTTTTCTTTCGTCAAGGCGTCAACCACCCGTTCCTATGAAGAGTTTGGGAGGAAAGACAGGCAGGGGGCCCGATGCATCCCTGGAATGCCTCAGTTGTACTGTAATCGCTTGAAACGCCCCACAATGAGGATAAGTCCTATTGAAGGATAAATTGAAAGACGAGTGATCATTCCTCGACGCACCTGGCGCCTCACGTCCATCTTCCCAATTAATAAATGCCAAAATTCGTAGAAGAGAACTTGATCAATTGTAACTCATGAGCGTGAACAGTAGCGAAAGGATGCCCAGCCTTGGAATATTACTTCAGGCTTCGGGTGAAAATTGATTCTGTCTGTCTCGCCACGGTCCTCGCCGCGCAGTACTATGGGGCGCATGCATACATTATTGGTGCAATGATGAATTGTCGTTGTGTTAGCGTCGGTTCTGAGAAATTTGCGGGACGTCTGACACGATCCGCTCTGTCGGTACGACATGATAAAGCATCAAACGGAACGATATGATCAACCGTCTTACACAACAAGGATCAATGTGCGGAGCATCAATCGAGGGATTGGGGATGTTGCGCGCTTAAGTGATTGTGGATGGTGTGATGGAGCAATTACGTAATATTATCCAACTGATAGGCGCCGCTTGCGCGCCTATTAACGAACCGAGCGCGTGAATTTGATGGGATGCATATGAACGGAGGCATTTATCATATGCATGTAACCGCGCCACCCAGTGGAGATGCATGTGCATATGGGCTACCTAATTAGTACTAACTGCCAACGATGGCCGAGCCAACTCTTGACGTTTGTGTATCCTTATTTTGTAATGGGCGATCATCCCTGAGCTTATGGGATCAACCTAGTATTCATGGCTGTGGCTGAGGAATACATCACACTTGGGGCGGCTTCTTCTTTCTACTTTAGTAGTGGCTTAGGATTCTACTTAAACATCAACGGAAGAAAGAAGGGGCTGAGCAAAGGAGCGACCCCTTCCTTCAACATTGGCCTCCCCCCCCCAATTTCTCCTTAGGCGAGGTGATCTATTCCTCTATCTCTTGTCCTTAGCCGAGAGTACCGTACTTCTATAAGTTCTGCCTCCACGTCTCCGTACTATAGCTAGCTCCTGGTGCCACCCACCACCAAACATACCAGAGACTAGCTCAGTAGCACTTTGCAACCGCTCCCTTCGTCAGACACCAACACAGACGAATACCAATCATGTCGGAAGATCTGGAAATAAAATCTTCGCTTGATCATTCTCCTCATCTTCGAATGAAAGACTCGGAGGAGCAAGCAAAGGTGGAGATGATTGAGGAAGAGCTCGAGTTGCATACACTTCACCGTGGATTGAAGTGAGTTATCACTTCCCCTCCCCCCCTCTTCTTCCTCCTGGGCCTGTCTCTCTACCTTGCTGGTTTGAGCGGGGAAAGGTTGTGTGGATGTCTGGGCATCTGTTTCGTGGTGATCGTCCTCCCGTCCTCCGGCCCCGCCCCTTCCCTATCCCTCCAAGTGCCGTTCGCAGCTTGGGGATGGGTTCAGAGCTGTCCGTGCTTCTGGTCTAGTAGTAGACTCCATGACTGCTTCTCTTTCCCCGGCCAATGATAAACAAATTAGATCCAATCCTAACTGCCCCCCTTTTTTTTCCACTATGTTAGAGCGCGTCAAATCTCGATGATTGCGTAAGTTAATTATCCTACTTAATTATGAGTCCATTTTTTGAACTCTTCATGATTTAGACTCGGTAACGAACAAAATAATATCTCTCAAGATGAAAGTCTAATTTTTAATAATTGCATTCTATTCTCCCCGATGTAACATTCCCGTACAACTCTGCAAACGTCAACAACACACACACACCCGCACGATACGATAACTTGACGAATGGGACTTCTTACGCCACGCTGAACCCTACTAGGGGGTGCAATTGGTGCGTAACTGTCAATGACTTTCTTCACATTCAGCTCCCGTCTTCATCCCTCTCCAACCCGTTCCATTTCGTCATGAATAACAACAATGTTATTGACGAAACAATATTATCCAGGAACTGGATTGATCATTGGTTCTGGAACGGCTCTCAGAAGAGGAGGGCCCCTTGGTGCGTCGACGTCGTCAATCGGGTTCCTAAAGCGCTCGTTCATCCTTCTCACATATGTGTGCGCGCGTTGTCCTTTTTTTTTTATACTGATCGTAGGTATATTAATTGGGTACTCATACGTTGGGTGAGTGATTTCCAACACTTTTTCTCTCTACTGCTTCCTCGGCTGTTCGATTTGCGTCTTAACCCTCCTTCCCCCTTTCTTCTTTTTTTTTTTCTTGCTGTAGGTTTATTTGGTCAGTGCACACAAGCTCGTTCTACCCTTCGAATAACGGAATCTATCTAAACACTTTGAACGGTATTGTTTTTATTATTGTTTTGTTTTTTTTTTTTTTTTTTTAAATAGCTATATGGTGATGGTTAGCTTGGGAGAGGTAAGTACGAGTTCAGTTCCCCCATCCTCTCCTCCTTCTGATGATTATGTTACATACAAGATGTCGGCATACCTACCCAACAAGAAAGGTTTTGCAGGCTATGTAAGTCGATTCTCGTCTCTCTAAATTCTCTTCATTCCCCCCTTCTCGCCTTTGGCGTGTATATAACTGACCGTTCCCATTCTTTTTTTATTTATGGTTCCATTTATGTAGGCAAGCCGATTCGTCGATCCTGCGTACGTCACGTCCCACCTCTCGGACATTCTACTACTTGGAGACGATGAAATTATTCAAATATTGCATTCATTGTAGACTCGGATTCGCGTTGGGATATAATTACCTGTTCAAATACCTTATCGTCACGTAAGCTAAAATGCTCTTACCCTGCCCTTCTTCCTTCGTACAACGTTCGCTCACTCTCGTTTTGCTTTTGCTTTTTTCTTTTCTTTTCTTTTCAGGCCAAATAATATTAATGCTGCGGGAGTCGTGATTCGGTATTGGGACACTCACCTTCGAGTTCACATTGCCGTTTGGATGGTCATCTTTATTTCTCTCGGTAAGTCCACTCCGTTTCTTTTCCTTTTTTTTGGTGGCGGTGGAGGTCAAAACATCTTCTCACTCTCTCCTCTTTTTTCTCTTCTCAAAAAGTCTTTTTGGTGAATATGCTTGGCGTGCGCGTATTTGGGGAGTTGGAATTCTGGCTATCGAGGTGAGTTCGGATTTATTTATTTTTTTGGTCGCCATGGGGTGGTGGTGGTGGTGGTGGTTGCGCCCGCGCGAAAAAATGAATCCTTACCACCAACTTGTAGTATCAAAGTGATAACGCTTACTGGGTTGATACTGTTCGGTATTATCGTCGATTTGGGAGGGAATCCTAAACATGATCGGATTGGTGAGAGAGAGTTTCACCCTTTTTTGCCTGCCTCCTTTGTTCGGGCACGCGCTTGTAATATGGGGATGCTCATGTTGGGGGTGAACATATTTCAATATTTAGGATTCCGACATTGGCATAGCCCGGATGGACCGATGGGACAGTATCTGAAGGACGGTAGTTTGGGTACCTTCCTTGGATTTTGGTATGTAGGCATTTTTCCTGTCACCCCCCTTTCTTCCTGCTTTCGCTCCTAACTATTATGCAAATGTGGCAAAATCTGATGGATTCCCTCCTTCGTTTCTCCTAGGTCGGTCGTAAGTGGATTATGCCATACGTATACGCACACCCAATGACTTAGTACGGTAACGGCGCGTACGGTGACACGTCGGACGTAGATGATCAATGCTCTGTTTGCATATATGGGTACCGAGCTCATCGGTGTCACCGTTGGGGAAGCTCAAAATCCAAGGGAGAACATTCCAAAAGTGAGGCGTCATTTATATATATATATATTGTTAGCAAAAAGATTGCTCACCGGCTGGCATTGGCCCTTTGCCCCTTGACAGGCAATCAGGAGGACGTTCTGGCGTATCGTGATTTTCTAGTGGGTTCATCATTTTTTTTATGGGTTATTTCAAAGGATTTGGATCCCGGGTTTTACTGATGTCGGTTTCTTTTCTTTTCTTTTCTTTTTTTTTGGCTCTTGCGTATTTTCTTGGTTTCGTGATATCGTGCAGCATCGGGAGTGTGTTTGTTATTGGGTTGATTGTCCCTAGGACAAGCCAAGCCCTTTTCATCGCTACTAAGAAATCGGTAAGTGAGAGAGATATGTATAAAGGACCGGCAGAGGAACATTTATGAATGGTCGGTTTTGGAATTGGGTTCGGATGCTTTTTTTTTCAGACTGGAGCTTCTGCTTCGCCTTTCATCGTTGGTATGCCACTCGCTCCTGGTGGGCCATGCACTGAATCTGACTGACCCCGTCGTCCCTGCCTACAGCTGCTGACCTTCTTGGGATTCATGCACTCGGACACATCATCAATGCATGCATCCTCATTTTTGTTTTGGTATGCAGCATGCCTCACGCTTTGACTGTAAATAATCACTAAATTGGGGACGTTTTCCTCCTGCTCTAATAGTCCGCTGCGAACAGTGATTTGTACATTGGGTACGTACCCTCTATCCCCCTCTTTATGCAGATTGCCTTTATTAACGAGCCTTCCTTTCTCTCTCAGCTCGCGTACCCTCTTCGCTCTCGCCGCAGAGGGGAAAGCACCTTCTATCTTCAAACGCGTGAATGGATTGGGCGTGCCATGGCCTTCCCTTATCCTGTGCACGACCTTTTGCAGCTTGACGTTTTTGAACGTCACGAAATCCGCAGCTCAGGGTGAGTTGTGACCGGGTTCTCTCCCACACTTCAAAGCGGATAACTGATAAATGTGGTGGCTGTGTGTAGTCTTTGGGTATTTCACTAATCTTGTGACTTTGTTTGGTGCTTTCACTTGGAGTACGTTGTCCCTTATTCCTGTGTCGTTTCCCATCGATACTGATGCCCGATTCTTTCCCCCCTCTTCAATTGGTCCAGTGTGTATTCTGTACTCACACATGTGAGTGAGAAGATGCGCTCCCCACTTTCTAATCTTATCGTCCGTGCATGTCTGCAGTCGGTTCATGAGAGCACTAAAAGTTCAAGGGATCTCGAGGGAGCGTCTACCTTACAAAGCACCCTTCCAACCTTGGGGAAATTACTTTGCTCTCGTTAGCACTGTGATCATTACTTTCTTCAAAGGATTTGATACGTTCATTCCTTGGGATAAAAGTGAGTGGATTATCCCCCATAGAATGTTGATTCCCAATTCTGATGCCTTTATCCATCGTTTTCAGCCAACTTCATAACGTACGTCCACAGTAGGAGGTTCTCCGCGTTGCGACACTGGGAGTAACTCGATCATAACAGTTCTTACATTGGCGCACCAATTTTCTTCATCTTGTGGCTCGTACGTGTCCCATTCCCAAGCACTTATATAAACCAACGAACTCTAACCCTTTTTTTTCCCCTTAGGGCTACAAATTTTTCTACAGAACTCAAGTCGTTCCTCTCGCCGAAGTCGACTTGATATCTGGGAAGCGTCAAATCGATGAGGCTGAAGCTCGGTACAAGGTTGAGGTGGATGCTAGAGGTCCAATGACGGGGTGGCAGAAGTTCGTGGCTGCTTTGTGAAAACGTTCCTTATGGACAGCTGGAGAGTCTCCACGATGGGCAATCGATTTTCAGTACTCAGGGACTGAAACTGTTTGTTGCGTAAAAACAAATTATTTTGCGATCCAGCCTCCTATCGAAACATCAGTTCGGTGTAAAACCCCGACAATTCTTTCTTTCCCTCAATGACTTCACCCTGATAATGCAATGTACATATATATTTATGTGGGCTCATTAGAGATGTTTCTTGAACAAGGATTTTGCAATGAATTGCCAGTATTCAATGCGCGGCGAATAACGCGCGCTTGCATGCGGCGCAAGCCCAGCCACAGTCGCGTTGAAGATCCATTATGTAAGCCATGGCAATAAGGTTGGCTTATTTGCAAGGGTGCAAAGGCAAGAGATGAGGGGCTCCCTGGACTCGACATTGCGCAAGCGTTTGAAAGCATGTACAAGTGCCTACTTTTGAATTGTTCCTCAAGTGCTCGTGACCTTGAGCTCATGGATTGACTAAGTAGTGCGGGAGCTGTTCCGCTCCAGAACCACAGGTCTGATTCTTAATAATAGACCCTCTTCGAAATATTCTGCGTGAGGGCCGCACCAGTACTGATCAGTTTCACTAGCTGGGAACCTACTTCCTGCTTGTATACAAGAAACTTGAACCTTGGGAAATTAACGCGCTACTCTCTGCGCAGACACACACGCATACGGATAACCTCTTCCCCACACCCTCTTCCAATTGGGTAACCGGCGTTGGTAGAAAATGTTTGCCCTCGCTACCCGCCTTAGGCCTTACGGGGATTTGGGGACGGCGAACCTGCCAGGTACCGATGGAATTAATATTCATGCACGGACGGAGGGGCTGCTGCTATCGTAAGTCCCGCTTTGTGTATCCATCCATGCTGCAGCTCTTCCAGACCTCTCATCATGTTTATTTCATTTTGTCTCTCCCAAATATATCAGGCGAGCGACGAGCGATTCCAACGGGGGAGCGACTTCAAACAACACCGGGCGTGTCATATTCTTCTCTTTCGTCGGAATCGCTGTTCTCATTGTCATAGCGGTCAGTTTACGCAAAAGGGCTCAGATGCATCGAAATAATCCGTCGGGAATTGTCCCCCCTGGGAGCTCGTACTGGTCTCGCTCTACTATGAATAATGATCGTCCCGGGGTGGGTCAGAGGAGTCCGGACGGCGATGGTGCTGCGGCACGATCTTGGTCCGAAAGAGAACGATCGTATCCTCTCGAGGAACAGCCACTCCCTCCCCCCTACGCTAGCCATCACCGTCGCTCTAGCAGAGAGGATTCCTATCTACCATTTCCTCACCTTCCACTTGGCGCTCGTACCCGTCAGCCTCGCGTGTCGCCTGACTACCCTATCGATTTTCTTTTCATGGATCTGTATACAACCCGCATGCGAGGTTTCGAAAGATCGTCATCGCCTGTTCCTTCGTACGAGGAACCGAAACTTTATTCTGGTACCTCAATAACCGTCACCCATTCACCGGAAACGGAAGAACCTGAGCCTGATCAAGCAGACAGTAAGGAATTCGACATTTTGCCACTAGCCTCACCATCTTCGAAGGAAAAGGAAACGAACGAATGCCCCATATGTTTCGAAGGTTTCTCGCTTGAGCGCCCGGCGGTTATAGGTGCACCGTGTGGTCATATCCTATGTAAACGATGCTGGAGGCTCATCGTGGATGCTTCTAAACAAGCTACTGTTGCCTCCAGGAGGTATAGCAGTAGGAGTATTATGGGGAGTGGGAGTGGGAGTGGGAGCGAGGTGGGAGCGAGATGTCATGCGTGTAGAATGCCTTACATTCGGAAGAGACATGACTCGCAAAAGATGGGTAAAGATGGAAAGAGTGAAGGTGGGGACGACCGTGGAGAGGCAAGATGATGGCGTCACTTTCTCTCTGATGCAATTGCCGTTCTGAGGCTCGGAGCCTGCGCATTCCGCCTTCTCTCATCTTCTGTACCTCATCCTCTGCCAAAAACTCCATGCTGCACATCCAACTCTTGCTCAGCTTCCCCCTTCTCATACACCTGTGTCACGAATCAGAACGAGTTATGTGTGTCCATGTTGGTTGCACAATATTTTTGATTTAACTTTGTATATATCTGTATTTCACGAACTGCCTTGTCTCTACCTACATAGTGTACTTTTTTGTTTTGCTCCATCTACATATCGTCACTTGTACATATCATGGCCAGTTCCGATTATATTCGCATTATTGATTTCGGGACTCCACTGATGACTGCAAATAACATTCCAGGAACAATGACTTTCCGTATTGGAGCACCGTTAGACAGACGCACACTAATTTACACGAGGCCGTGGTGACAGGAGTTGCACAGCGATTGACTCGATGCCGCCGGGTATCGTAATGACAGTTATTATTATAATTATGCAGATTCCAATAGACTTCGCCTACCTGAGAAAGACTGACGATGAACACATACACGAGGAGGGTGGTGTGTCCTATCTTACAAGGGCACACACCAAAAGGGTAAATTCCGTTCAATCTACGAGACGACCCCGTTTCATTTATTTGTTTTATTCTGGAGAATATACATGCTTAGCCTGAAAGGTGCAAGCTCTATCCAGTGTTCCGTCCAACCCTCAAGTACATAAAAGCCTCGGATCATTGCCTGCAACTGGCGATTCTTTAATTGCCATGCATGGCTTCGGATCTTGCCTAGACAGTGTCCAAAAGGGGGAAGGTAGTCCCACCACTCAAAGCGGGTGTCACCCCTTGCAAACCATCTCATCGCTCAAGCAGCCATCAGTGCTCGCTCAGGCGACCAGAAGCAAAGTCATGGCCAGAGTCGGGGAAAGGGTATCGCTCTCGTTGCAAGACCGATTATGTAAGCGTATCCGCCGATCAGTCACGAGCGCCCACTGACATTTGACATAGCGAAAGTAACGGCACAGCCCAAGACACACCTCTTTTTGGGAGTGTCAAGATGCCCGCTAAGAGAACCGTTTCGTGTTTTCGCGTGACCCTTACCTTCTCACTTGTTCACTCTTATACCGCAAGCCGCTTCAACTTTTTTCTTTCCTCTCCAACGTAAAAAGTTCACGCCCGACCGCTTCCTTGTGGATCCTCGTACTTTCTCGAGTGGTCCTGGTATTGTCGAAGAATGGTTACCCTTGTTGATCGCCCAAATTACGGTGGGGACCCAGCTATAGGTGGAGGAACTCCAGAAGGGCGTTTACTGCCGTAAGTCTTGTGAAACCCAGTTGCAATCACAATGGTTCTTTCGACCTGATGCTTTCCATCTCCATCGAACTCCTCTTTGGGTGTTACCCCTTACCATGTCGGCTGTCACACTCGCAGGCGGGGATCGCATCAAGTTGCTCCGCCTAGTACAGGATGGATAGTTTTCTTCTGTTTCGTCGTTGTGGCCGTCCTGATCGTCATAGCAGTAAGTATATGCAGAAGGGGTCGGATGCATCGAAATTACCCGTTGGGAATCTCCCCACCTGGGCACACATATTGGTCTCGCTCTGCTTTGTATGATGGGGATCAGACTACTGGGTCGAGGACGATGCGTGGGATGAGTGGCGTAACTACTGCAGGTGGTACCGCAGGTGAAGCGAACGGGGAAGCACACCCATATTACATCACTGCGCAGCTCTTTCCCGGAGCACATCGATCATCTGCTTACGAAGACCCGTCCCCTCTCTTCATGGATCAACAACATCACCCCGGCAGTTACCGTCTACCGTTCCCTATTCCTCCACATAGCGCTCGCACTCGTCAACCTCGCATATCATCCAACTTTCCAGTGGAGTTTCTTTTCTCTGGTCGGTACACCCTTCCGCTGCTAGAGGTAGGGAGAGCACCATCACCGGTCCCTTCATACGAGGAACCGAAATTCTATACTGGCGCTTCAATAAATGCTGCTCATCCCCCCGCCACGGCGTCCGACGAACTGGAGAGCCAGCCACTTACGTCATCATCATCAGAGGAAGGAGGAATAGACGAATGTCCTATATGTTTCGAAGGCTTCTCACCTGACCGCCCAGCGGTCGTGGGCGCACCATGTGGCCATACCCTCTGTAAACGATGCTGGGATTTGATCGTGGAGGACTCTAAACAAGCCATGAGGCATAGCTTCAGAGGTGTTACTGCGGGTGAGATTGGGGAGGAGGCAGGAGCGAGATGTCATGCGTGCAGGATGCCCTATGTTAGGAAGAAGAGGGACGAGATGCAAACTTCGAGTGAAATTTATAAGGGTGGAAAGGGATACGCTAGCGGAGGAGAGACAGAGGAAGAAGGGGAGAGAAAAGAGGAATCCTGATCAAGGTAAGAATATATTTTTCGTTCTCCATTCTTGCTGGTGTTTAAAGCAACTATGTCCCAGTGTTCGACCTCTGCACGCACGACCTCCGAATCCATCTTCACGCCTCAAAACATTAAAACTGGCCGACGATCTATTTTCATTTGCTCCTAATTCCTCATATCCCCACCCTTATTGTTATATCGTGATATCGTCCTCAAGTTTCAAGTGTATTTCTAGTGTGTGAGTCGTTTGTTCAAACTTGTTTCGGGATCTGTGTTGTACACTGTTTTGCGGGCCACTTTGTTTCCGGTTGCACCGAATAAACTTTCTGCCAAGGCCCCAAGCTGGGGGATACACCTGATTCGGCGTCTCCAGTCCCTGCGAAAGTGCGTTAATGACTACCGGTTAGAGATCAGTGCCCATTATACAAGGCACAAGTCTCAATGAGTTCTTGAATCTCAGCACAATGAAGTAAATGTCTCAGGTAGGAGCGGGCGGTTCGTGACCGATTGTGCCTAAACAATTTATGCTCCGAAAATCTGGGCGAGATGGGCAACCAGTGGGATCCTTGTGGGGTGATGCAGGGTCGCATCTGATCACACCTCGTTCAGGGTATCTCCTCCATTTGTTATCTTGCTGGAAAGGTGGAGCCGGGCGACGGAAGGGGGGACTGGCAAAATGTGTTGACTCTGTTGTGTTGGATTCCTTCGCAGGAGTTCAGGGCTAGAACACAGCGCAATAATGCTGTATTTTGATTACTTCCAAACTAGCATTCATCATGGATGATTACATTCCAACCCTTTGCCGTCATAGCTTAGTGAGTATTCCGTTTCATTCCACACCTGCGCAATTGGCGCTTGCTGTTCTATAGGCTGCTTCGCCTGTCGATTCGAACGATTTCCTCAAATGAAGTACGGGGCACACGCCAGTCCAACATCGGCCCAAGCTTTGTCAACTGCCTCCACTACTTCTTGGGCCAGTGGGCCTTTGGCACTAAATACAAAGCTCGGTGAGTTTCACGAAGATAAGAGCAAGTGACAAGATGTACCTATCTTCGAGGTTCTGCCTGAGTTGAGCAGCGCTGCTGGCCCCAAGAATAACGCCGTCCTCCGGTTTCAGGATGCTGTGGTGCTGAACCCATCTAAGCGCGATTTCGGTTAGTCGCAACCCATGTTTCTCCTGCAGTGAAATCAATAAATGTGAGCATTTGCAAGTGATCGAGGGAGGAAACTAAGACGGGAGTTGAGCACTGGAACATCATTACTCACCGCTACAGGCTTCAGACCTTCGAGTGCGCTCAGATATGCATTCTTGAGGTAACGAGCACGATACCTAGGTCCTAAGCCAGAGACTGGATGAAAGCGACCGCCTTTTTCTCCTTCGTCCGTCACACTCGTAAGCTTTCCAGCGAAGAAACCACCTAGGCATCGATGAGCAGAATAAGTAAAACGAAAAAGAGATGTGTTACTGATAAAGATACGAATCAACCATACCTGCCAACGGATTATAGATTACGAGACGAATGTTGTACTTTCGAAGGCAAGGCACAAGTTCTGGTTCAATGGAACGAGTGATTCCATTGTATATCGCTTGATAGATTCCTGGGAGGACCCAGTCATTCGCTTTGCAGATCCCGACTATTTCAGCGACCTTGCATAGTGTTAAGATTTGCGCCTACGTCAAGATGCTAAATTAGGGCTTACCTCCCACGCTGCGAAATTTGACAGACCAAAAATTTCGCTAACAGAGACTCGCCTTTAGAGCCCAGAATCAGGTGTTCATTACTTGGCTACTCACAATAACCCTTCTTGGTATAGTTTGTTGATCTCGCCAACGGTTTCCTCGAATGGGACACTGTGATCAGGAGCATGTAGATACAGCACTCGAACCTTGCTGCGACCAAGCGCGGCAAGAGAAGCTTTGAAGGTCTCGCGAAGCTTCTCGGGCTTATGATCTCCCGGTGTGAAAGGGAAGACTTTAGTATCGATGGTGGCATTTCCAAGATTTAACTTGGATAGGTACTACAAAACGGCCCCAAGGTTGGTCAATCCCGCCAAACGGAAAAACAAGGCTGCCCATCGTGTGGCGTGGGAATGCAGCGGCACCCACCTCCTCTGTCGTTCCTTTCCCATAGGCTCGGGCGGTGTCCAATTCGGTGTATCCTTCGCCAAGAAACACGTCAATGATGGTTTGCGCTTCTTCAAGAGTGAAAGTCCGCGTCCCGTTCTTCCCTTCCTCCCCAATCGTCATCGTTCCGAAAATGAGAGGAATGCCTATGAGAGGAGAGCGCCGGAGACCGTCAGCATTATTCGTCGCGAGATATCCATGATGGGCATGGCCCCAACTCTTACGTGGCATCTTGGATGAGTGATTATGGTGGCTACTGCTGCTGCTACTCTAGGTGTATTTATACTATAACCAGTTATCCTCCACCTCCACATCGAATTGATAGGGGCGTGCGTAACCACAGAATAGCTAGCCGATGCCGATGCCGTCCACCTCCGCATCGATCCGTCGCTAGTAATACGTGTACCTGCAGTAGAGCGCGGTTCCATGTGTCCACACCAGTTGAAAAGCGTGGGAGAATCTGTTGGGGCAATCACGTGTTTTGTGGCAGAGGATTCAGAATCTGAATCAATTTGACAGCTCGATTGCTCCTCATGGCAAATGGTTCAAAACGACAGAAGGCCAAAAGGATACTCAAATCCCTCCCAAACAGCGACTCAGGGGCCGTGGAGCTCGATAACGCTGAACTTGTAGATGAACTAATCGCAAAACTCGAAGACCAAGACGCGCAAGCTCCACAAGAAGCAACTGGCGCGTCACAAGAAGTGAACGGTGGACAAAACGCGACCATCCCTAAAAGTGGGACTCCCGCACCGAAAACTACCGGGAAACTTGTGAAAAGCAAGCAGCAGAAGGCCAGGGTACGACAAGTGAGTTCGATTTCATCATCTGGTGGAGCAAGCAGTCAATGTTCCGGGGATTCGTCAGGCGCGGAGGGCTCGAGCCCAGGCCGAGATTCGGAGTGAAGAGGATGTACGAATATTGCAGGAGGTAAAAGCCGAGGCGGAAAGCATAAATAGATCATGCGAAGAGTTTGGTGTTGAGATATACGAGGTTCGTTAGCAGCTGAGGATCCTGACGTTTCTACCTCATTGGTTCCTCGTCTCCTCGTCTCTAGGTGAACCCAGACGGTCACTGTCTATTTTCGGCCATCGCAGACCAATTATCATTATTGGAGATACTGCCCAAATCATCTATGCCTCAGTTTGCCATCACTCGCAGAGCAGCTGCCTCTTACATGCGTGCACACGACGACGATTTCATCCCGTTTATACCATCAATAGAGGGCGAAGACGCTTTAGATGCAGCAACAGACACAGGACTTCTGACACCCGAGAAATTCGTAGAGTATTGTAATGCAGTGGCGAGCACCGCTCTCTGGGGAGGCGAACCCGAAATTCTGGCCTTGGCAAGAAAGTATGAAATCAAAATAGTCGTAGTGCAGGCTGGGCCCCCGGCGGTAGTTGTTCATAGCCCCCATCCAGGAGTAGACGAGGATCCATACGGACGAGCAGTTCGTATTAGCTATCATAGAAGAATGTATGGACTTGGCGAAGTATGAGTCACCCGTCCTCCTCCATATTCACATAACTAATGCCGCTCCCACCCCCAGCACTATAACTCGCTACGGCCGAAGACATCCACAATCGATAGGCTCGAAAGTCTCCTTTAAAATACTGCCATCATCACATATACCTTGCTCCGCATTCCCTCATTGTTTACACAAGAAACGTACAGTCTCATTCGCGCGGCGGTGCCGAAGGAATGAATGACGATAGAACCACTAGATGCGAATATCCTATATATATGACTTCTTTGGGTTTACCTATCCTATGAATAGTTTGGGATGGATTCAAGACATTAATCCGATTTGGGTAAACTAATGACGTACAACAGGATGATTAAGGGAGACATCTATAGTTAAGAGAAACAATAAACTATCCAACGAAAGGCACTAGTCATCATGATAAAGTCGGGGAAGGTCCTCCAACTGAAAGCCCCCTAGCAGTCTGTAACATACTTGCCAAATCGACGCCAATTAGTCGATTGGGGCCCCCATCCACGCTAAAGTCTGAGAAGACGATATCATATCCGCCCCGGCTGGGAGGAACCTGCACTGAGCGGAGGTGTGTCAGGAGTAGATGAGCCATCCACCAGTACGGCATGGCATCATGGGCGAAAATCTTTGGATCGTTCTTTGGAGCCTCAGACACGATGTCTGGGCCCCAATTCGCCTGGTTGCACAATGAGTCCCGGTCCCAACCAATCTTCCACTAAGGCGGAAAAATGAACAAGAGGATGCGGTGAGAATGAAACACGAAACATACTCTCTCAAGAGCCAAAGCAAAAATAGTTAGTATCCGCCCGTGGGTCTCCTCTGTGTCGGGATTAAACACATTAGCACTCCACCATGCGTCCCCTCCTTGAACCACCCATCGTTGAATGACATATCCACCTCTGGATTTACCTTCACCATACTCAATCAAACCTCTAGCAACTGTGATGAGCGCGATGAGTCTGGCAAACGGACCAAGGTCTACAACGTCAAGGAGGGACAGAGGAACCGATTTTGCGTCCACTTCTTCCGTCTCAAAATCGAAGAGTTTCCCCATAATAAAATCGAGTGGGAATGGGACTCCTTCGGAGCGATATTGAAATCGAAGCCAGTCTTGTGCAGACCTTGCTCCCCACGCCGATTGTGGGGCTGGAACCGGAAGATGTTCCACATCCCTGGGTGACACAAGAGGAGCAGCAGCCACCTCTAGGGAAGCCATGAAATCCAGAAGGTACACTAGCCATGCAGTCCTTGCAACACATTGTCAACAACGCATGTTACGCAGCTCAGATACAACCCATACCTTCGATATTCCTCATATCGGATCCAGCGTTCCAGTCCCTCTCAATGTTGCCACTATACTTAAGTGTCCAATTCGCAAAATCCTTTTTGGGTCGAACAATCCAAACATACGTGAGACCTGTGCGAATCCCATTGTGACCATCAACACCGTGTTACGAAGGAAGTGCAGTAAGCGGCGTACCTTCAATATTGTATCCAGGAAGTGTTCGCTGATCAAGCGATCCAGAAAGTTCTCTGACAGGAACGAATGCGCATCGTAAATCAGAAGAGCTTGAATTGCCGCCATGCAATCAGCCTGTTCCAGTTTTGCCCGGTCCCTCGAGAGTGCCCTCAAAACCTTCTAGTTTTCTAAGTCATTCGTAAGCGAACGAACAGGTGCATAAAGCGCGTATAACGATATACCTCCTTCCGTACGATTGGCTGAACTGCATCCCATGGTTCGGCAGTGTCAAGTTGGGTTGAGCCAATGTAATATTTGCGATGTCCCGCGGCCGTGCATATGGCATATGCTAGCCAGCCATGTAGCTTCTGCAGAATGTGGGCATTGAATGAAGAAATCGGGCAACAAATGGAGGAAAGGAGGGACATACGAAGAGTTGAAAGGTTGGTTCATGTATGATGTCAAGATGGTTGAGTATATTGTGGAATGTACCCCGGGCGAACTCTGAAAGTCGTGGCAAGGGAGGGAGAAGCCAATGTGGTACGGTATAACATGCCTGGATTATGCGGGGGGAAATACTGAATCATAAACATTGGTAATATTGCTTTGAAGGAAAATGAAGGCGTGGCACTCACGAAAAGCGGTTCGCTGGGTCGAATGGTTGAGTATAGGTATATTCCCCTGAACGGTGATCTCGTACCACTGCCTCGGAATCAATCATCGTGATTTCTCGTCGTAAAGCCGGTTCAATTAGGTCCCGAAAGTCAACTGTCCCATCATTCGCAGCGATGAAAGGTCTGAGAGCTCGGACCCGTTCCCGATCTGTAATTTTCCCCGCATTTGGAAGTGTTCCAAGAGATGAGGGCAGCTCGGTAGAGGTAGGGGGAAACGAATACTGAGGATGGACGTCACAAAGTAAATGACGCCATGCTGATGAGGATAAGCTCGGAAACCAGGTGCTTACCCAAGTAATCACAGAATCCTCATTCTTGGGCGTTGGATCTACGTCGGACGGCACCGTGTCGAACACCCACGATCCAGGTCCCTCTTCATTATTCGCGATCGATAAAGTTCTCGGTGATGGAGGGCGTCAGAAATCTCACTTGTGCCATTGCTGTTGGGGGGAGACGGCGGACGGAAAGCAGATGATGGTAATCGGGTGTCAGGAATGGAATTATCGGGCATAGGCGCAGACTGAAATGCGAATTGGATGGGGTCCATATAAGCAGATGAAGATTGGGACAGAGGTGTTGAGTAAGCTAAGTCATTACTCGATGTGTGAAAGGGCCACACAGAGCTTGAAGAGGACGTCACTTCGTTTGAGCTAACAATGAGCGGGAGGGATGAGATCATCAGGTTGGCAGGAGGACTTGATGACGAGCCAAGTAGCCCACTTCCTGGCTGTAGTCCTTGATCTGTCGATGATCCTCGAACGTACGACAGATTATCAAGAGCATTAGATGGACCAGCTTCTTCTCCTGCTCGAGGCGCATTGGGCTCAGGGGTAGGTAGTGTAGAGTTCTGATCCGACTAGTGTTTATCAGGTAAAGACCCGGGTACACACTACATGACTCACGGGTCTTGTTGCACGAGGAGGATATGGTCGATGTGCATTACGATTTCTTGGTCGGGCGGATTTCTTGAGACCTACCGCGGTCCCAGGGGCTTTCACTGCTTCCGTAAAGCAGCTTCCTCGGGATGGCATCTCCGGCGATGCCTCAGAAGAACGTCACTGGTATGATGTCTTCAGTATTGCAATAAGTCCGAATGAATCGTTTTTATACCTTCGACCGAACGTTTTTGGACAATCTTCACAAACAAAAGGGCGCGTTTCGGTGTGCTATCATAACGAAACAACCCATCAAAAAAACCCCCCTCTGCTTGGGCGTATCTGAAAAACGACCTACTTTGCGTTCATGTCGCCGCAAATACTCAGCACGGCTGTATGCTTGTTGACAAGTGGGGCAAATGAAAGTTGGTTTCTCTACACCCCCCTCGTCTTCAATTCTTGAAGTCATGACAGCAAACTTCGAAGGGAAACCGCCTATCCAATCGAAAGAAAGTTCGCAAATGGCGTAAGCTACTGCAACAAGCGGTCGCAATTCAACGGTGCTTCCCGTGAAGCCTTTTCCCGATCTTTGGATTCTATGTTAACTGTGATCGTCTAAACCTTAGAACGGCGGCGTACGTAATGTTCTGCGTAGCGAGGTGGCTCACTCAAGATGAAGTCCATACCATTGCAGCATAGGCGCGCCAGCCGTACACACATCGACCCGGGGCAAAAGCCCTTCTAGCTGCTCTATCCATCACCCTGAACTTTCTGATGCAGACAATATCGCACTAGGGGACATCGTTCCCGGACGGCTGGGTATGGACCTACATCACAGCACACAAATTGTTCTCAACACTCCGTGATTGGACTTCAGAGTTCCAATAATGGGTCGAATTGTTTTGTTATTTTATCACACAATCTCCTAATATGCTGCATTCCTTGTTATAAGCAGTGAGAGCAACCACATCCGCATGCGAGAACTGTGACTCGTGCCTGACCACCAGGCGAAACAATATCCTGTTAATTCGTACTATTGCATGCTTTGCGCAAGGGTTCATCCCAACATCATTCTCTACTTTTCTTTCCGCCAAGTCTGTCGTCTCTATTTTCGCTTTTGGGAGGTGCGGGGATTTAGTAGATAGCTTCGTATTTGCTTGACACTGAAACATCGTTGATGTTGGCGGCTTCCTGCGGGTGGCGACGGTGATAATCTTGACTGACACATCTTGGTACTCGCCAATCAGACCTTTTCCCCTCTTTCGGATTTCCTGTATTCGCTCGTAATCTGATCGTGGAGTTATCCACAAGAAATTGGAAGTTTCTACTTCGGAATGGAATATTCTAAGGAAAAAATTCTAGGTGATATTACAAGCGTACGGTGCGCCTCAGTGCACAAGCATATCAATATGTCCCAGACATGTTACATATGACTGTGCATAGCGTGGTGAAGGGGGAGAATGGATGAGATTTGACTCAATATATAACTTCGCGTGGCCAGTTGTGGCTCCAGGGTTAAAGTTGAATCTCACCGACGCAATTCAATTCCCAACAACATCAAACTTCATCCGTCCATCTTCCAAAACCGTTACCTTTAAACTTTCCATCGTGTCCAAGACATAATGAGCACCCAACCCCAAGATCTTCTCCCTCGTATGAGAGGTGCACAACGCAACAACCGTCGCACCAGATGCAACGCCGGCTTTGATCCCCGAGGGCGAATCTTCAAAGACAACACATTCCGATGCGGGGAAGCCGAGTTCGGCGGCGGCGAGAAGGAAAGGGTCTGGATGAGGTTTACCGTTCTTGAGACGAGGGTCGTCGGCTGTGATGGTAATTGGGGGAGGAATGATGTTAACGCGGGACATGGCGCCGTAGGCTATGGAGAAAAAAAAACAAAAATGTATTGGAGAAGTGATTCAGTCAGAACATCTGAAACTGATCCACAACAAACAAAAATAGAAGTGACGTACCGTATGTCTTGGCGCCACTTGTCGCAACGGCGTACCTTCCTTCAGGAGAGAATCGATCATCTTCCTGACACCAGGTAAGATTCGAACCGATCGATTCACAACTTCCTCTTCCAACTCCCAGGCAGCATCCCAATCCTCCGCGAACCTATCTCCCTGCATTTCGTCATCATCCTCGAGTATAACGGCTGTTCGTTCGACAAGGAGGATGATGATGTCGAAGCCGCCCCCAGTGGGGGCACGATACAAGTCACCCCAGCAGACCTGCATTCCTCCCCCGAAACCAAAGTTGAAGCTCGATTTGCGTGAATCGACAGCACTCGAATACCTCGAACCAGCTTCGCTTCCACTGGCACTGCTGATGCTTACTCTCCCGGGAGTCATGAATCCACTCGAAGACAGCAAAGAAACCGACGAGGCACGCCTCTTACGTTCCTCCTGTTTCAAAAGATACTCATCTGCAAAAGCAAGGATGGTTTCTTCGAATGCCTGTACTTCAGCGGGTAGGGCGTGCTGTGGAATATGTGGTTTGAATTGGGCAAGATTGTCGATAGCTCGTTTTCCGTGCGTGGCGGCAATCACGTACTCGGGGTCCTGGCTAGGATGCCAGGAGGAGGGGGCAGAAGCAAATATCAGAGCCTGTCCGAGGTCAGAAATAGAAACGTACCCAATGTCTAGGGCAACCTTTCCCCAAGCGGCCTCGACAGCGGCAATGGAATCAACAAGAGTACCATCCATATCGAACAACACGGCATGAGCGACGAAGCTCTTCGGTGCTCCTGGCTGAACAACAACATCTGGAAGGAGGGTGTCAAGCATCTTATGGTCGCTCGTTGGTGGAGTACGGAATTTGAATCTCTGTAGGTGTTGCTGAAGCAAACAGGATAGTGTACACCTTGTAGCCAGGAGAAGCAGTACCAAGAGGCAACTGAGTGACTCCCCTTTTCTGCAATCCATAGTTTTATACGCTATTCCCCAAGTCAGTGTCAACTCACTTCACTTCAGTTCAACACCACACCCACCCCCCCCCTCCCGTAAATGAGACAACTGGGGCAATACCCACGCATGTATGACCCTAACTCGGTCCTCTTGTCTAATTTTTCGATCCTTCGATCCGTTTCGAGCGACTCAAAAATCTCATCTCTGCGATTTTTGTTTCGATAATCAATTTACAGTAAATTGCATTTCTTTTTGCCGGGGCGTGTGAATTTTTTAGTTTATATTCATTGACTGTCGTCTCTAAAAATTCCATATTGAGGATGACTTTGCTTCAGTTTCACACAGTTCCATTCCGCAAATTTCTGGATCCATTTCCATCTCCTTCTCCTCACACCAAAACAAAAAATAACGAGAGGCCCATGCTCCGATAGCAGGGATAAAATTTTTGATTTGTTCACGAAACGAAAGTTTAAAATTGGAATACCCCTTCGATTCTCCAATTTCCCTGCTCCACAGTCTGCATTACCGTAACATCCGCGCGCGTAAGCCCCAACACCGATCTATTGATCAATTTCGCAACGCCTTGAACCCATTATAAAGTGGTCTCCTTGCACTTGCAGATGCAATATCAATCATCTGAGCCATGCAGGTTGTACGGGGAAATCACCTTAACACGAGTTGCTCGTAATGCCATGAACAGATCCCTAGGCTTGCACAAAACGACGCACAGATAAACTGTGCGCAATATATATACGTTGATCATAGATAACTATTACAGTGAACAATATTTGTGTGAAGCTGATCTGCGTATCAATCAACCGGCTCTGGACGGATACAGACCCGATTTCACGTATCTCTGCCATCCACCGCGATTCTCCATCAATCTTCGCAATCTTCAATCTCTCTTCCCCAACTCGGCACCGCGGAACCCCATCGAGAAGCAGGACAAGACCTGACCCTGATCACAGCACTGCGATCCCTGGTCATTCCGCCCGGCGGAGTAAACATGCCAAGTGCCAAGACTCAATGTGGAGGCAACGAGGAGTTGTTGCACATGCAAGGAGGCACCCCGATGTCGTGGGTCGACAGCGCCCATTCCGTGTCACGACAGCGATAATCAACGGCCCGTGCCGCGTCCTCTGCATTAGGACTATGAGTGGCGGAACAGGGGTGAAATAGAGTTTTCCAAGAAGAAGCAAACTAAGATCGTCAGTTACATATAGGGACGCCACGCGGACCAGTCGCCGCGATGTCCAACGAATGAGTGGTCAAATGCAAGATGCCAGATCCAATAATACTTCTCAGCTCCACAGGAGCATTCGCGACAGGGTCTCCTACCCTGTAATCCAACGGACACAGTTGCTGACGGCCACAGAATGGATATGGTATTCTAGACCCTCAAAAACGGGGGCCATCCACATAGCTCGCATGGAGTGATCGGGGCTAATGAGTTTGGAGTTGAACAAAGAAAGGAATCTGCACCCAGAGGCTTGTTGGAGGGGTGGAGAGAGAAGACGGATGGAATAACAGGGTACACACGGGTAGCAACAGGTGGAGCATATCGCTGCTTTCGGGCCGGGTAGAAATATTAATTCCGCAGTGTGTTGCCTCCCTGTCGTCAGGAAGAAGCCCTAGGAAAGGAACAGAGTGCGCGGGCTCACCAATGAAGCTGGTGATACAACTATAGGGTGGAAGTGATCCATCGATGCCCCATGAAATGAGGGTTTACTTATTCGCAATTTCACGATTACCATGTTTTGCCGGCACCGGCCGCGGCCGTAAGTAGCGATTCACGTTTCCGTGTTGCTGACATTACGTCATGACACGCCTCCTGGTGCCAACCGATCCAATTGTCATGTTTGTTTTTTAGCTACGTGGTCGATAATGAATGAGAGCGGTAACCTTACGATAAGTATCAAGCCTCTATACTCGTCCGAGACCCATTTCTTTGGCGCAAAGCCGGCGCCCGGCTGCTTAACGGCATCCCAGTAATGCTAATGCCCTTTCCAATCTCAGACGGCACTCCCACTCATCGAAGAAAGTGTCAAATCTGGCGCCAGCTAGTTGCCGTTAACACAGGAGCGTACACCCCAAAATTGGCCAAATCAGCTGAGAATCTACGTAATGAGTGCTCTCTCCAATCTCGGACGCCATTCCGAGGCACAAATGGTTCACATTTGAGTATGCTCTCCTCGTCATTTGCGCATCGGCCACTTTGCTAGCTACACATGGCAGGCAAGCATGAATTGGATATTCGGCTCGAGAACACCAACAAATCCAACCTCAATTTTTGGATTGAAAACTATTGATAAAATACTTGCAGAGTTCACTGGTCGCGCTTGCCACAATATCGTATTCATTCCTTTCTCTAACATATTTTTCCTCGCATCGCTCATCGCTGATGTACTGATCTCTGTTTCTGCATACTAATCGATGACGTCGAGCCTGTCTGGAAATCTGTTGGCACAGTGGAAAGACGAAATCGACGACAGGTCGACACTGTCCGGCGTATTGCGTTAGGGAGTGAAAGTCGAGAATCGGTGAAAGCATAATCGTGTGCAGTGACGGGTGATGGAGTCCAACTCCAATACGTAAGGGATTGAAAAAGACAGCCAAGTTTATTTTGTGGAGGTTTTCGCAGGCGAGGCTGAGTAAGTTTTTCATTCCACATTTTTTTTTTTTGTTCGGTCTCATATAGGGCTAATGATGGTGATTTTTTGGTTGGTCTTCTAGCTCGACTCAAAGTGACTGATACAACATATCTGCGTAACTGGTTATCACTTGTTTCATAGTATGCATGTCGCTGATGCCCCGGGCCGGTGAATGTCAGTTCTTGACCCCCCGCTTTCGATCCAGGGTTTAAGATGACCTGGCTCATGGATTGAAGCTTGTCCACTTTTTTCTCTTTCGCGCGTTGCAATCTTCTTCCCATGAAAGGCCGAATGCTCATTGCAAAGCCATAGTATTCGCATGGAACCTTGTCCACACCCGTCCTTCCTTAACTGCCAGGCACAGGCAACGGAACTTGGTAAGGATTCTTTTCTTTTGCCTAATAGCTGAGTTCCGCCACTTGACTGTCGAGACGTTCGACTTAATTTGGACATTGGCCTGCCGATGGGGGGGGGGGGCTACGGTGACGTCAACTCATCCCGTTTCTGCTTCCACTCTCGGTCATTCTTATGCCCCTAATTGCTTATTATCACCTATGGTCCGATGACTCATGAGCCCATGCAAGTTACGACCCTTCCTGTCACATTCCCATCATCGTCGCCATCACGCATTAAACTCACTATGACCAGGTCGCACACGTCAACCGAAAATCTTCAAATATTATATCACTACTCGATGGCGCGAGTCGCTTGGCGTCTAATCAAGGACAACTTGGCAGATATCCTGCCGTGGTCTTGTTTATAAAAGTGCAATCCTCAGTCCCACTAGCTCAGACAACGCTTTGCATACCCTTTCTCCTCGTTCTTAAACTCGCTCTGTTTCCGGAGGCTATCGTTTCAGAGATTATTGAGCCAACCTGCTTTCCAAAATCGCTACTTTGGCTGATGGCGCTTGCACTCCCAAATTCGTACGGCAACACGAATGACCCAACACCGACCATTTGATGTCTTGATTATTCTGAAACCCTTTGGTACTATCCTATCTACCTACTATGCGCGTGATACTCGTAGAGGTCTGGTGGAGTATTCGACAGCGTCGTTGCTGAGTCTAGAGGGCCACCTGCTATTGCTATCCCAACCTGTGGACACAGTATCACCACACAGTCCAAAGCGGACGCCGTTCCTCAACATCATTATTGCATCAATGGACAGCGACGTGATCAATCGTTCCTGTTGGGGGCGTGTTCTCCTTCATGATGTGGAACCTCCTTGTTTTGGGGTGATTCCAATTCGTTGGCCTCCTTCTCACATCCGTCCTTCATGGCGCCATGTGCACAGTCAAGTCTGGCAGTCGGGGGGCATGGGTTGACCCAGGAAGCGAAATGATACTTGCCTCTGTCTAGAGCATCCTTCCTCGCATATTCACTGTTGCCAGCACTGTCCCTCCACCTAGGAGAATTGGCTATACGGACGTTCCATCCGAAGAGCGTCGTCTCTGGTGTAAATCGAAAATATTGGGCTGATGGTCCGAATGGACCTCAAAGAATCGAAGCCTTCGGTAATTAGTTTGATTTCAGGGCCAGTTTCGTTCAGGCGCAATCATAAATGCGGGAATAAAATGCTGGGATGAAATTGGTCGGTCAGCAGAAATGATTGCACGATTCCGAAGTCAAAACAAGGGTCCCAGACGACACTTCCTATATCATTCATTTAAAAGAGCGATGCGAAGCGGATAGCTATTGGCCTGTGAAGTTTCGCCTATGAAGTTTCGTTGGGGAGAGGCGAGGATTTGGCTGACATTGGGCGCCTATCTTGTGCGGTACGTTTGCCGAAGTAGCATGAGAGCATCCGGTAGCCGAAGGCCATCGAATAGACTGTTGTGAAAGCATTGGTTGAGACTTCTCCCGATAGAGGTTACGCAAAAGCTGGTGCGAAACTGGTGCCACCGATGTATCAGCGCATCGACAAAGCCTATCAACCAAATATATTGAAACGCATCGCCAAACTGTCCAAGCCCCTTATAGAAGGATAGAGCGGGTACCGGGTGGTGGCCACCCGCCTAGGCTCGCGCGATGCTAGAGATCGAGCCATCCCGCTGAACAAATGGTCCGGCCGCGATCGCTCGCCCGCCCTGGAAAAAAATGCTCAATGGCAATATTCTTCCCCTTTCACATTCTTCTGCAATCGAACATGCGATGGATGTTTTGCTGGCACCGGCCACGGCCGTAAGCAGCAATTCACGTTTCCCATTTTGCGACACCACGTCATGACACACTCGATCACGTCAATCCACCACCAATTGTCAAGTGCCATGTGGTTGATAATGGGGTTATATAGAGCGGTAACTTAACGATAGGGCATCAAGCCCCTCTGTACTTGTCCGAGTCCTTAGGCACCAACGAGCGAAAAGCTTGCACCCAATCACTTACCGGCATCCTACTAGCGAGGCTCACATGAACCCTGATTGCACTCCAAGACCCTGATGAAAGGCTAGACCGGATCCCAGCTCCATTGACGTGCGTCACCTACGCGTACCGGCGCTTACCGCGGGCTCTTTGTACGAAGCAGAATGAATGTTATTAGGAATAAGAAGAACTAGATATGAACGAGCGCATCCAGTTCTAGGCGGCACCGATTCACCGATTACCCAACGAGTTCGGGTGATGCCGCCGCTAGAATCCGCACTTGGATCAGAGGTCTGTGCGTTAAAGCTCACTCTCCTCCATCCACTCGTCCGCTATTAATCATGTCGTCGCGGCAAAAGGCTGACACTCTCAGACAAACGATCGATAATCTCCTCATGGCGGGAGTTGACATGACGGTTCCGATTCTCAGGGTCGTCAATGCTACCGCTGATTGGTGTCCCCCTCTAAAGCTGGCGACTGGCGGTGCACTCTCCATCTTCGATGAGGTTAAAGTTGGTAATGATTCAAGCTTGATTATGAATGAAAGCTCACGCTAGTTTTCCCCACGCAGAAGTTCAAGGAGGACAAGCAGCAATGGGTTAATTTTGGTGAATACGTAGCTAGCACTACAGCCAAGGTAGTTTCAGCCATAAAGTCTTATGATATGTCAGCGGGGGAGGCAGGGTCATGGGTGGAGGGTGTCGCGGAGCTTGGGAGGTACATTGTATTGTTTTTGGTCGTTTCCGATATCATACTTATGTCCAGTACCAGCGCGCTACAGGAGATCGAGTCCGAAATCAAACAAAGACTCAAAAAACTAGAGGAACGGTCGGCTGTAAGAAATGCATGGTCCCACTATCGAGACCCTGGAAGAATTGAGGGCCTAAAGAGGAATTTTGACAAAGCGTTGGCATCGTTTCAGGTAGCTTTCCTCACAGCATTGTTCCATAATCACTCTGAATGTCGACCGGTGCAGCTTAGGACGAATTTGACAATTGGTGTCAAATTATCGACCATAGAGGACAGCTTAGACCGTCTAGAGAGTGACCCAATCCTCGGTAGTCTCCGATACCCTCAAATTGCCCACCATGATTCAACAGTGGCGTGCCTAGAAGGCACCAGGGTCGATCTCACGGAGCGTATTATGAACTGGTGTCGTAATACCGGGGATAATGAAAACCGGCTGATGCTACTGACCTCTGTGGCCGGCGCTGGCAAGACTTCGATTGTGCACACAGTTGCAGATAGATGTAACAGGGAGGCTATCTTGTTGCTGTGCTTCTTCTTCAGAATTGGCGAACAGCCACGGCCGGACTGTTTATTCAGCGGCATTGCTCAAGCTCTAGCAAATCGTGACGCAGATTACCGCACCTTCATTATCTCTGCCCTTCGAAAAGACCCCACCCTCTCAACAGCTCCATTCACGATGCAGTTCAAGGAATTAGTGGCTTCGCCTCTGCTCCATAAGCCTCCGCCTTCCGACCGTCCTATGGTGATCATCATCGACGCTTTGGACGAATGTGACAAAGAGGTGTTCGAATCCCTTGCCGAAATTCTTGGGGACGAAGTGCCCAGGCTACCATCTTCCGTCAAATTCTTCATCACATCGAGACAATATGATCTCGTGAATCGCTACCTCTCCCCCGATTACCCTATTGATCGTCTCACTATCGATCTCTTGGATGGGGCGAATGTGCAGGACTGTGCTAGATTCATACGCTTCCAACTGCAAAAGCTGAAGAGGTTACATCGGGATTTACAGTGTAATCTTCAGGACGAGGATAAAATGGTACAGGAGATCTCGGAACGAGCAAATGGTTTGTTTATCTGGATCAGCACCATCTTTCGCTACATGAAGATGACCAACCAGGATCCTATGAGGACACTAAAAAGTCTACTCGACACTGGTGCCAAACGACCAGAGGTCCCTGCCGAGAAAATGATGGAAGACCTGTATACCAGCATTTTGAAGAAGTGTGCTTGGGAGGATGAAATTTTTGCGCACGATTACCCAATCGTGATGGGAGCAATCTTCATTGCTCAGCACCCTCTGTCCATTACAGCCTGGGATGCAATTTTGTTCCCTTTCCTCAAGTCTTCTGTTCGATATGCGTTGGCCGAACTTGCTCCTCTGCTCTCAGGAGCTGAGGGTTCCCACATTCCGGTTCGCATCTTACATCAATCTTTCCGCGATTTTATCGTCGATCGGATCAATCCTCAAACAATCAACTCTCGTTGCACTCCCGTAGTAGTGGGGGTGGAAAATGCCAGGGTTGCCCTGCGATGTACCAAGATTTTGAATGAGGGACTCTGCTCTGTAAAGGGCTTAGGACAGATCGAAAACTTGTCCGAAGAAGTTGAAATGCCGCGCATTTCTCCGAATGAGTTATCTGAGCACTTTCGTTATGCATGTTGCCACATCATCTACCACCTCAGTGGAGTCCGGGAACCATCAGAGGAGCTTGCTGGGTCAGTTGGTATGTTTCTGAGTCAAGAGGCAACTCGGTGGGTGGAAGTCTGTGTGAGAATGAAAAGCTATGTCAATATCTCATTACTCCCCGAATGGGCTAAGGTATGGATTATCGATTGTGTTAAAGAAACTACCTCATAGTCTTGAAGTCGGCTGTTGAACCCAGGGCTGTCGGTGCATTGGTTAATGTGCTTACCCAGCTTGGGTGGCACCTGCAATTTTTTTCAAGATTCCAGGAGGCATATGAGGCAGCAAATGATTCTGTTTTACTCTGCCGTTACCTTTTTTCTGTGGACTCAAGTTCCTACACCCTGCATTTGGCCGAATCACTCAACGGCCTAAATTGTGCCCTTTGCAGACTCAGACGGCACTCGGAGGCACTCCCATTCATTGAAGAAAGTGTCAAACTCCGCCGCCAGCTGGTTGCCATTGACCCAGGATCATACACCCTGGATTTGGCCGTGTCACTTCACAATCTATATAATACTCTTTCCAATCTCGGACGGCACTCGAATGCACTCCCATTCATCGAAGAAAGCCTCAAGCTCCACCACCAGCTAGTTGCTGTTAACCCAGGATCATACACCCCAGATTTAGCCTCATCACTCTACAGTCTATCCAATGCTCTTTCCAATCTCGGATGGCACTCGGAGGCACTTCCATTCATCGAAGAAAGCGTCAAACTCCGGCGCCAGTTAGTTGCCGTTAGCCCAGGATCATATATGCCGGATTTGGCCATGTCACTCAACCATCAATATTTGACTCTTTCCAAGCTTGGACGGCACTCGGAAGCCCTCCCATTCGTCGAAGAAAGCATCAAACTCTACCACCAACTAGTTACCGTTCACCCAGGATCATACACCCCGGATTTGGCCATGTCACTCAACAATCTACATAATGCTCTTTCGGGTCTCGGACAGCACTTGGAGGCACTCCCATTCATCGAAGAAAGCGTCAAACTCTACCGCCAGCTAGTTGCCGTTAACCCAGGATCATACACCCCGGATTTGGCCATCTCACTCAACAATTTATGTATTGCACTTTCCAATCTCGGGCGGCACTCGGAGGTTCTTCCATTCATCAAAGAAAGCGTCAAACTCCAGTGCCAGTTAGTTGCCGTTAACCCAGAATCATACATGCCGGGCTTGGCCATGTCACTCAACAATCAATATTTGGCTCTTTCCAATCTCGGACGGCACTTGGAGGCACTCCCATTCATCGAGGAAAGTGTCAAACTCCGGCGCCAGCTAGTTGCCATTAATCCAGGATCATACACCCTGAATTTGGCCATGTCACTCAACAATCTATGTAACGCTCTTTCGGATCTCGGACAGCACTCAGAGGCGGTCCCATTCATCGAAGAAAGCGTCAAACTCTGCCGCCAGCTAGTTGCCATTAACCCAGAATCATACACCCCGGATTTGGCTATGTCACTCAACAATCTATCCATTTCATTTTCCGACCTCGGACGGTACTCGGAGGCGCTCCCGTTCATCAAAGAAAGTGTCAAACTCCAGCGCCAGCTAGTTGCCGTTCACCCAGGATCATACACCCCTGATTTGGCCGCATCACTCAACAATCTATACACTGTTCTTTCGGGTCTCGGACAGCACTCGGAGGCGCTTCTATTCATCAAAGAAAGCGTCAAACTCTACCGCCAGCTAGTCGCCGTTAATCCAGGATCATACATGCCGGATTTGGCCATGTCACTCAACAATCAATATTTGGCTCTTTCCAATCTTGGACAGCACTCGGAGGCGCTTCCATTCATTGAAGAAAGCGTCAAGCTCTACCGCCAGCTGGTTGCTGTTAACCCAGGAGCATACACCCCGGATTTGGCCAACTCACTCGAAAATCTACGTAATGCCCTTTCCAATCTCGGACGTCATTCCGAGGCACAAATGGTCCACATTTGAGCGCATTCTCCTTGTCATCGTATTCACCACTTTGCTGCCTGCCCACGCTCGAGAATACTCACAAATCCAACCTCATTCTTGATTGCAAACTATCGACAAAATATTTACAGAGTTCACTGGCTCCGCTACACCCCTGACCAATCACAGTCGTATCTTCCAATTCTTTATTTCTTGCATCACTGTACTTGATCTATGTTTCTGCATAACCGATGACGTCAAGGTTTGGATGGCATGTCGGCACAATGGAAAGACGAAATCGACAGGTGTCCGGTGTATCGCGTTAGGGGAGTGAAAGTCGAGATCCAGTGAAAGCATAACGGTGTGCAGTAACAGCTTGGGAATGTTCAACTCCCTTATGTTAAAGAAACATCAAGCTTTGACTTCACACTGTTATCTCGATAAGCAGTACACGTGTCGAATCGCCACATGTGTTCGAATGGAGCACCAAAGTCGTCCGGGCTTCACGACTTGATTTGGCAAACTTCGGCGCATTCCCATCGACCGTTCCTGTTCAGATTACCTGCGTACCACACCAACCTCAACGACCAACTACATAGTAGTCTACCCAGAATCCTGCTCAGAATCGGATGAAGGAGCCCCCCTGTGCTGTTCGATTCCGTGGTAAATTCAAAGTAGTTTTCGACACGTATCATACTCTGTTTGAATAAGGATGTATTTATCAAGATCGCGCGCAAGGCTGTAGCAGATGGACAGAGCGTGGGAATGCGGGTGGTCCGGGTAGGCGGAGAGGGAGTGCGGAGGTAGCATGGGAGCATGTTTCCAGGCTCCCTCTAGCTATTTAGTATTAAATCAGCCTCGCAAATGCATGGGCATCTCAACCCTCGCGCGCTCTTCATTTTCATCCTCAGTCAGTTGAACTGAGTGTGAATACAGCTCCAGTTACGGCTACACACTGTGCTTGTACAGGAGAACGCGAATCATGCGTAGTGTTGGATTGAAGAGAATCCTAGATGGAAGAAGTTTGAAGTTCCGTAGTCACGGAATGGATGTTTTAGTGTCAACCCATGCGATCGTTGCCCAACCCAACCCATAGGGCATGATGCATGGGGCCGGGGATAGTCAAGGTCGTAAAGGTCAAACACCCGGGCATGCGAAAAAATTAACACTTTATATATTACTCCGAACATTAGAGTACATGAGCTTCATTTTGTTGACGCAGTTATGGATATCCATAATGCCCATATGTGGCCGTTTTTCCCTTCATATTCCGCCACTGTCCCACGATCCTTGTGCCTTATGCTGTGTCTAAGCACATTAATATCGTCAAACCCATTCCTTTGGGACTCGCAACACTTCCAAGATCTTGCTTTCCTCAGTACCGTCTACGCCTTTCCCATCTTCGCCATACTCCAGCTCGTTCATATACTCCCACCTTGCCGTCTCTGGTAAACTCATTAATATACTCTCAATTCTTGCACCTGGCGTTTGGAGCCCAAATTTAGTGCCCCGGTCGTAAATGAGGTTGAATTCGACGTAGCGACCACGCCTGAGCAGTTGCCATCGTCGAAGGCGCGAGGTAGGGAGGGTATAAGGGATGGGAAGTGGCTCGTTGAGTGGATAATGATCAGGAGGTGGGGTCATGAACGGAGACGACGGGTCGAAAGGGGGCGATGAGCGAAGTTTGAGGATGGGAATGTAAGATGGCAGGAATGCATCTCCACATGAGCGGACAAAAGCAAAGATGTCGTCTGCCGTTTTCGGACGGTCGGATTTCTCGACGCTACTGGCACCATCGCCGTCGAGTCGCTTATGATGCGCGGTGGAGAGATCATCAAAGAAGATCCCGCCTACGCCTCTGCTTTCTTTTCTGTGAGGAATGTAGAAATACTCGTCGCACCATTTCTTGAAGGTGGGGTAAATCGAGCTTCCGTGTGTATCGCATGCGGATTTGAGCGTGTTGTGGAAATGTTTCGCGTCCTCTTCGAGTAAGTAGGTCGGAGTAAGGTCAGAGCCGCCACCAAACCACCAGGCCAAGATTTTACCCCCTTCTGGTATTGATTCGTCACTCGATTCCGTTTGACTTCCATCAACCTCGTTATGAGGAACATCATCGCTGATTTCAAAGTAGCGGTAGTTGGCGTGAACGGTGGGTGCGAGTGGGTGTTGTGGATGGATAACAAGTGAAATACCAGCAGCGAAGAAGGGTAAGCTTTTCCCGCTCTCAGGGTCATACGGGATCTCGGAATGATCGGCTCTCATCTGTTTGATGGCGGGTGGAGGAAGCTTTCCATAGACGACCGAGATGTTTACGCCAGCCTTCTCAAGGACCTTCCCTGCGCAGACGGTCGCGGAGATCCCAAGCCCTCCTTCTTTTCGGTTCCATTTATCTCGTTTGAATGGTGCGTTGGGATCGAGAGACTCAAAGGCTTCAATTATCCGATTTTGGAGATGAATGATGTAGGCTTTCATACGGTTGCGCATGGGGAGGTCCTTATTAAAGAAAGTATCTTCGGATACGGGTTCAAGGGTGTACTAGACGTCGGAGGCGCAGATCGATGTGAATCGTAAACGTAATTATGGTGGTTGGCGGCGGAGATCGACTCACTTTTGACATTGCGCTGGCACAAGGTGCAGCCTCTGTAACTGTGCAAATATTAGATAAGGCTCGGATGGTCTATGCGGATTCATACGTTGCTGTGGCTTATATAATCAATAAGATCGAGAAGGGGGTTTCCGGGTCTTTTTGTCGCTTGCTATATCTGTCATTGACAAAATTAAATTCGCGCTTGTAGTTTGGGAAAAAGGAGGGAAGTAACAGAGAGCCAAAAACAACCAAAACAAATAAATTAAAATATAAACTGTAGCACTCAGGATTCCCATGTAGTCCCCTATCATGGTACTAACTAAGCGGTACTCGGCTTAACTTCGCAGATCAAACGGGATGCGGTGCTTTCCGAGTCCTATGGCCACAGATGGTAGTACTCGCATTCCCACCTCTGATGAAGAATAAGTCTGCTCAGGGTTGACAGACTAAGGTAATTGATTGAGGCATAAGAGTAAGGATATATCGTGAATTGCTTTTGCTTCCGACGTGATGTCAGTACGACGTCAAAGTTCGCTCTAATGAGGGGTCAGAAAGACTTCATCCTCATCTTGGCTAACAGTGAGTCATTCCGCAATTTTGCCATTTCGGATCACCTTCAGTCTCTCATCCATGGTGCCGTGAGTACATGTCGCAAATCCATTCACGGCTTAATCTGTTCATCCTTTAAATATGTAATTGGTATCGAACATCGTGAAATCAAGCGATGACCTGTACAGGTGCTGCAATAGGTGAATAGTAAAAGTTCTTCCAGCGATTCGTGGAAGGAATCAGAATCGTGACGGGAGAGTTAAGGGCCAATTTGGACTGTGCGTAATGAGCAATTCTGGGCAGAACATACTGCAGGCTGGTACATGCCAGTAGCAAATGCGAACCAGGTGGAAGATGCGATGAACTCCCCACTAACAGTGCGAACCTAGAAGGAAGAGAAGGTCGCCAATGGAAGGTGGAGGGGTGTTACTGGTCTTGGGAACGAAGAAGACTCATTGCATCTGAAATATCCGAACATGGCCCGTAAGTTGAGCAGCATGCTACCGTTGGAGATGCGAGAACGAAAACTGAGCGCACCAATAAGGATGTCGCTGTGAAGGTTCATTTTCCAAAGTACTATGGAGCGCCATTAGGCAAGAGGTCAGGAGGCCAGAGGAGGCTCTTTTGTGTCAGATCGCACGATGAGACATGTGGAGTGAGGCGGAATGAGAAGAAATGCACGAAGAGTATCTGTACATTGAACGGCTCAATGTGTTCCATCGCAATCATTGTGGAAGTGTGTCGATTGAGTGTGGTATGACAGAGGTAGCGTCTTTACACGTAACGTGAATGCACATCGTGAAGGAGAGGTTTGTTTCGGGCGTGAGACGCGTTCGATAGAAGAAACACCAGTTGACCGAGTTAATCGGATGTCGCAGACGACCACCCTGGTACAGCAGCGTGTAAACACATGAGCGCGTAAGAGCGTGTGATATCAAGGCTACAAGGAAACCAGGTTAGGCAGGTCATCAGCAAGGTCAGGTGCAAGTTGCGGATAAACTTCGGCAATTTGGACAAGACCAGGAGTCTACCTTTCATGCAAATACTGGTGGTAGGCGGTAATGGATTTCTGGGCAAGTTGTCCATTGATGGTGCTCTTTAACTGTCTCTCATGCGGTGCGATGACATTAGGTTCTGCCGTATGCAAGACGGCCGTGGCGCGAGGGTGGAAAGTGACGAGCATAAGGTGCAGCTTCCTATCTCTGGTGTGGCCAAGCACTAGGCTTAAATATTGGCGATTTCATCCTCCATACGTCGCCCTTTGTAAAGCTCTACTGGGAAACCTTGGACGACTCCAAAAGGGCATTCCCCTCCATGGACTAGTAAGGTGATATCCCTTCCATTTCTCTGACGCCTTGCCCTCCCTGAGACATATTCTGCCTAGGTTTCATGGCACGCTGCTTCAGCCTTCGACCCACCTACATACAAGGATCTTGTTGGTCCCTCAGCGGCGGTTGTCCACACGCTTGGGACGCTCCTCGAAGGAGCACGCTACAAGTCGGCAGTGAAGGGCTCGACGAATCCATTTAAGGCTGTTGGAGCCCTACTGTTCGGTGGAAGGGACGATAACCCCCTCAGCATTTCCGGAGAGGAAAGGTATCGGACATCGTATCGAGGGTTGAATCACCATTCTGGTGCGTATGATGGGTTCAACCTTGTCTTGGTCCCAGATTATCTCAGACCCTCTACCAGCCATTCGGGTTTTGGACACTTATATCGATGCGCTCTCCACGCATTCGCCTGAACTGTCATCCTCTAGTTTGGGCCCTCGTCATTTCGTATATGTTTCTGCAGAAGATATTTTCCGCCCCCTCGTTCCTCGGGGATACATTGACTCTAAACGAGATGCGGAGGCAGATATAGCCCTCCGTGTCGAAGAACTCGCCAGCCGGGTGACAAACAATAAATTAGACCTTCGAGCTACCATAGTCCGTCCAGGTACGTTCATTTGCCTCTTCCCGCTGAAAATTGAATAATACATCCCTATATTTGTTATTCAGGGCTGCTGTACCATCCTCACATCCGCCCTCTGACCACTCCGCTTGCAACCGTCCTGCAAGGTTCCGTCTCGGTTCATACAGCCCTCCTCAACTCTCGCATCCCCGTACCCTCACCTGCTAATGTCTTGCGAGCACTTGCGACCTTCTCACCCAACTCTACTTCCACACAATCATTCGCTCAGACACCTTCGCCCTTTGAACCCCTCAGTTCCGTGGCCAGAGCTCTGGAGACGTCGCCTATGCACGTAGACCATGTTGCTACAGCTATCATCAATAGTATCGAGCGGGGCCAGGCCGCGCAAGCACAGACAGTGCCGACTTCGGCACGGTTTGAGATATTGGGTGTGAAGGAGATGAGGGATATAATTGGGTGGCCTGTCGATGGGGCATGGTCTGGAAATGAGGAAGCAAGAACGACGAACCATACCACCTGAGGGATTACTCATCTCGCTTAGCGCAGTCCTCGGATGCTTGGAAGGGAAACGTTCTATTGTAATTTATTGCAAACGGAACAACACGGAGGGGGGTATAAAGGACATCGTGATGGCATCAACCTGCTACTCAATCGCCTTAAATGGCCTACTTTTATATACTTCCTCCAGTAAGTCGACAATGTCCTCACGGGAAGCAATTTTGGCAACCTCCAAAGGTGTGTTCCCATCCGCATCCTAGCAAGCGTTCGCAGCACCAGGAGATTTCAGAGGCTGGGAAAGACGGGGAGAACGTGAGCCATACCGGGTTATATGCATCTGCTCCGTTTGCGAGTAGTAACTTGACTGCTTCAAGTTGCCCTCGATCGCAAGCAAGATGCAGCGCAGAGTAACCCTGCATGACATTGCAGTGAAAGAGAATCAATGTTATGAGCCAGAATGTTCCTGGCCAGTGAGAAGCTTACATTTTCATCCTTTCCATTGATGTCTACGTATTCGCTGTCCAAAAGCGCCTTCAACTTATCGATATTACCCTCGAGAGCGTACGAATGGATGGAGTCCGGCTGGCCATCTCCATCGTCATCGGTTTGGTCGAAAGTGCTCACAAAAACACCCAATCCCTCGCCTTCAGTGGAAGCTTTCCCCTTCTTAGAATAGGATATACGTGGCTCATGATCACTGTCATCAGACAGATTCTCCAAGTCGATATCATCCGTTCCTTCCGAAGGAGGGATTGTTGAATCAGCTTGTGCCGTTGGGATGATTGTGAATCCTTGCTCCTCTGCGATCTTTATATAACGTTTCTCAACTTCCTCGATGGGCTTTCCCTCATAGTGCTTTCCAGCTTTGTCCCAAGCGTCCCATTTGGCGCTCCCCGTCCATTCAAGTAGGCCAGGCCTTGTACCCGGCTTCGGCCGCAAGGAGACGGTCCGTATTTTGTATAAAGAGTAGACCTGAGGATGTATGTTAGTTCGGTGATGAATCCACACGAACGCAACACAGCGCGCAGAGGCCGGATTAGCACGTGAAATCGTACACGTGCCTCTAATTTCTGATTATTTGAGAACCTTTTGGCTCTTGGAGAGGAAGAAAGCCATTCTGCCGCAGCTAGGAACTGTGAAGAAGGCGGTAGTAGTGATGATTGGCTAGGTCGATCTGTCGGAGCCATGAATTCTCACGGCACGGTGCCTTCCAGCGTTGAATTTAAACTTTTGTGGCCAAATGACTTCGACGATGAGCAGGCAGACAGGTCCTCGGAAAGATGGGAAACTAAAATCCTGTCTGAAGCAGCCTATTCCTTCGGGCCCTTCTGCCAAGAGCGAAGATGGTGGGAACAGGGATGGGTCTCACGAGACCGATGACGATGAAACGGATTCTGGATCAGAGTCTTCGGGGGACAGCGGTGGAGAGGGATCCTTTTCGAGTGACGGCACAGAAGATGAGATAACCAAGACAAAGGCTAGCCGCTTAAAATCTAAACAAACTTTGAGTACGTGTAGCCCCTCCTGGTATCGATGCACGTTTTGACCATGGTTGTTCCAAGAACGCAAGCGGCGAGCACTCCAAGCATCACATTTCGGACAAACCCTAACAGACTTACTTGGCACTGAAACTCCTGTGCCAAAGCGTAAGCGGACCGATGCCGGACCTGCGCTTCAAACAGACACAACCGCCATTTTATCTCTCCAAAAACCAAGCTCGTCACATGCAGTTGCACAAAAGTTGTCAAAGGAGGAGACCAAGACGGCCAGGGCTCTGAAGCTGGAAAGGAAAGAAGCTCAAGATATCAGGAGAATAACGGATAAGAATTTGATGGAGCAGTGGGGTCAAGAGAACGAAAGAGCGCTGAGGAAGATTGCTACCCGTGGCGGTGAGCTTCATTGGGTGCTCATTCTCTGATATCCCAAACGATCACTGACTGTGTCCCTTGTCATAGTGGTTAAACTGTTTAACATAATCCAGCAGGCCCAGCGAGACGACACAGGGAATGGAATAAATATCCCCGCCCCACAACCGCACAACCATAACTCCAAATTTACACAGAAAAAAAGGGCTGGGAAGGATCGTGATGAAGCTGGAATCTCTAATGAGGGTTTGTGGCATCAATAACTGACTTTATCATAAACATTGGTAACTGATTATGCATCATCGCTTCTCTAGCCCGGATTAACAAGGAGGATTTTCTGCAGTCCATACGTACCGGTGTCGTCGTTTCAAAATCTTGACTGTTTACGGGCCCAGGTATCCAGTGACTATGGACGTGCTGTTACTGGTACACATTATTTACTAATCATGTAATTCGATTAACGTCCAACGTTTCTCGACTGCTTGATGTTCATTGTAAATCTTCCACACGCATGATACCCTTTCGGATGGCCCTTCTCCTCAGAGTACAATACCTAGACCATTCCTGACGGATTTTTTTCTCGTCACCCATCCATGATACACCTTTCTTCAAATTAAGATCGCCTCTATCAGAAGCTCGCATCCGTTTCCAATCCGTTTCCATACTATTCATCTGGTCTCGGATAAAAGCCCTAAATCGGACTCCATGGTGAAGAGCGATCCCTGTCACAATCCTCCGACTTTTGACTGTGACGACATCGTCTTCGGAATTACCCCACTTCCGCTCGAAATCGCGATGGAGAGCAATTGCTCTCGTCGTAGATTCCAGAGGTCCGTCGGTAAGCGAGAATAAAAGTAACGGGAGAGTCTCATCGTTTGGGCGCAGCGCGGAATTGAGAGACATGAAGCGATCGAGGCGGCGCCGGTGTTCTTGATACACGGTCAAAGACGGGGAAGGGAAAGGGGATGAGATTTTACGCATTGGGTTGGTTCGGAGGTGATGGTTGACAATCCGCATTATTCGTGATCGGTGCGCAGGGGACAAGTTGGTCGGGGTGCTCAGAATGTATTGTTCCGTGATTTGCACTGCAAGTGCCTGTGAAGGAGTTTGCGAGATTGCCGAAGGCACTGTTTGGTCAGCACCTGGATTCGCTTGCTGCGGATGTGGATGAGAAAGTAGCATCACGACCAGCCGTTCCATGATATGAATTGGTGTATGTGTCAGTGCTGTGTTCAGCATAGCCGATGGGATCATGAGTATGGGGGCTGGATATAATACAGCACTTGCAGGAAAAATGCTGTCTTCCATTCGTGCTACGTCAACCCCCGACTCCCGAGAAGCATCGCGCCTTGATGTTATGTATGACGGTGCCCACAGAAGTTCGCGCCATATTATCGCAGGTATTCTCGAGACCGGTGGCGAGGTTATCGATCTATCCGGAATCCCATTGGGTCCTCTGGTATTGAATGAGGGTCCTTCGCGTATAGCAAGGGAAATAGCTTCTGAGTGCTTCCCCTGGAGGACAAGGTGACGCATCTGCAATGCGAAGGTGTATACATTCGTCTCAATGCCTTGACTTTGCATTTCTTGGAACAATGAACTAGCAGTTCTGAAAGCTCTTGAGCGGAGACTAAGGTTAATAAGGATGTTGAACGAGCGCGTGCTTTGTAGACCCCTTTGGAACTGGTGAAGGTCAACGAGTCCCAAGATAATCCTGTGGGGCATACGGCCCCTAACGTGCCACGACTTGATGACAGTTTTGATATAGTTATACAACTCCTGCTCTGTTTCGAACTCGGAAATAATCGGTTGCAACAGGCTGTTGTTATTCGGCGGGACCAGGCTTTCGGGGGACAGTGTGGCAATGTTCGGTGAGCTTGAGCTTGTGGGCTCAGGTTGCCTTTGGATCTCAAAAATAGAGGGAGAGGACGGTGCGTTGGTGACTGCTCCACGTAAGCAACGGGTGTGTATAGGGTTTGCTTGTCGAATTGCATTCCATTGCTTCGTCCACCCGTGTTTGGGTGAGAGTTGGCACACTCGAGAACCACAGGATAAAACCAAGCGGCAACTTCGAGGTAACAAAGGCCGAAAAAAGGCAACCGCTGATGACCAGTGCCCATGCTTCTGCATGCATGCATGAGGTTGGCGCCAGAGGTTTAGATTTATCGCGTTCAGGAGGGCGTGGGAACAGGCGAGGAATCTGCCGACACCGTTTGTTTGAAACTCTACATGTAGTATGTATAGACATAAGACTAATACTGATCATGCGAAAGCCTCCGAGATCGCTCCGGCGTAAGACTGTCACGACTATTGTAATCGGAAGGGACTATGGTGTCCGCACCAGAACTTTCTCGAGGGATTCGGCTCGACCCATGCCTCCGTAGCGCCACTCTGGGCAACGTGAATGAAATCTCGCCCAAAGGTTTTATTCGGGCCGGACTCCCCAGTCCAGCCTGAGCGGTTCCATCCGCGTCGAGAACTGGGGAAATCGCCCTTCCATCCGACAACGCCTCACTTTCCTCTAGCTCCTCATGCATTGTGACACTAACGCCTCCGTCCACCCATTGCACAAGAGAAGGCAGGACTTGTCGGACGGTTCGGGAGCGCATACGCCATTTCATCTCTCCCCGATGTCCAACGCTGGCACGACTAGCACTACGTGGACCTTCTCCGTTCGCTGCTGTGGTTAAGTCTCGGCTTTGGCGTCTTCTCTCCTTCCTCTCTTTCTCTTCTTGCTCAATGATATGTTCAATTGATGGACCTGGCCAGGCAGAAAGAAGTTCTGGGTCGGAGGGTAATGATAAGGGAAGCATATAGGTGCTGTCCAATAGCTCGCCGAGCACATTGGGTGGAGTTGGAGCCGACCACTCGTTCTTTAGGCGATTACGATCAAATAATGCATCAACAGCTTTCTGGGTTTCGCTTCGTTGACGATTTGACTCATGGGATAGCGTTTCTGAAGCACCGTCGTCAGCAGGAGTCGTAGGTCGAAGAGGGTTGACTGGATGATCCGTGGTGTGACCACTTCTCCCAGATGCTACGCTGTCCGCCCGATCCCTACTGCGATCGGCAATCTAATGAAAAATTTTAAGTGGTTGGAAGGAGTGGATTATACGATATCCCCCACTTCTTTTTTGAGAGCTTCCACGCCCATTCGTACCCGCCGACGCTCCCAGTCCTTCTGCAACTGCGCCAAGTATTGCAAACATTCCTCACTCATGCGTCCTTCGCCAACTTCGTACCGATAATCGCGTACTGCCCGTCGCATTTGAAATGGATTGAGGGCTTTCATTGTCTGGATTGTGTCGATCAAAGCCGGAAACTGGTCTATCGACGAATGACACTACAAAGACATGATTCAATTAGCCCCACCCCACCCCATGTCACAACTCACTTGTAACCATGTCAAAAGCTCGCGAACGCCCTGGAAATGTGAGCACACGCCACTTGGGAGTCCAACATTCCCAGTCCATTCTTCCAGCACGCTGACGTTTAGGCCTATTTGAAGGGCTCGGCTACGACAGAGATACTTCTTTCGATTAATTATGCGATTAAAGACTTCGCAAGCAAGCCAATACATGATTTGGGTATGGGCTTGAATGATTATGATGGGGTTAATGGAGTATAATGTGAGCAGCGAATGGATAGATGTGAGAACACTCGTGAGAGAAAGAGGAGTTGTTACTGGTACCACAGTCGTCGAAGTTGGTGCGGGTGATGACGGCGGAAATGTAGTGGACAAAGGTGGATGGCTTGATCGACCGATGGTTTGACGAAGGGAATTTAAGGCTTTTGCGCCTGCTGATGACGATGTAACTGGAGATGCTGGTCGCTTCATCGGTGATCCGTCTAGCGAAGCCACGGAACTGGAATACGAATGGGCGCTTGATATAGACGAATGACCCGTCCTGCGTTTTGGAGTGAGCGACTTGAAGAATGACCATTCACTTTCAAACTGGATGTTCTCAAATTCTGAGGCTAGTGGTGAGTAGTCTAAAAGCGCGGCATCAATCAATGGATCCAGCCGCTGTTCTGTACCACGGACGATGAAAACTGGGGGATATATTAACAATGAATAAGAATGAGGGTACGAATTCGCACCATATATTGCATTCACAAGCTCCTCCAACAGCGAATAAAGGTCTAGACTCTCGCACATGTCATGAAGATCTCGATCGCACCGGAGGAGATGAAGAAGTATTGTCGAGTTATATAGCCAAAATGTAAGGTGAGCCATATCTTCGTGACGGTCAGGTCTATTCTACGTATCCAGGTCAGATATAGATAAAGCCACCAGGATGGACTCAGTCACTCACATACACAACTTGTTCTATTCGGTCTACGGCTGAGGTTATTAACGTGTCAAACCATAATTCATCACAATAAAGGCATGCGAAGCGGGACAGTAAGTAGATAGCATTCGCAGGTGCAGAGCGAGTTGTGATTGGGTGAATAGCTGGATCCGCGTCCACAATTACGGATTGCAGGATTGAAGGTACAGAGTCTGGGGAAAAGGCAAGGAAAGACGTGCAGTCTTTTGGCGGAGTCTGACCGCCAGAATGAGTACAAGCCGGTGAGCACGTTCGATCACCACACTACTTACGAGCTCCTCATCTGGCATGAGTTCATCCTCGAGGTCATCCTCATCATCAGAGAGCGACATAGGGTCATTTTCATCGTCTGAGTCTAAATCCGGACTGGAGCGTCCACTCCACCAATGATCACTGATGCCGAGAACATGTCCGATACGATTCCACTGCCCTGCGCGTTTCTTTAATTTATCCCGGCGTGCACGTTGTTTCCTTTCTCGTTTCTGACGGCGAAGATCCAGAGGGCTTCCAATCCAGCCACGTTCCCGCATGGCTTCTCTGAGTATTAATGCTGCATCTTGCCGTTCAGGAATGGGATCATAAGATGCGATTAAATCGAGAGGTGTCAGTGACTTCTTAGTTTTGGCTAAAGGAGAAGCGCCGCTCTTGAGAAGATAAAGAATTAACGATGGGGGAGCACACAGAGCGGCATAATGTAAAGGGGTCCATCCCACTGGTGACACAATGAGTTCAGCCGTTCTCCGTGACATGCAACAAGACTCACGGTCATCTCCCATGTCTACTGAGGCACCATGGGCAATGAGTGCCCGGATGCACTCCTCCCGATCGACACTGCAGTCATTTTGCTCACCGAATGCGATGACACTTTGGCTTAATATGCCCACTCCGTTGTCATCTCTAAAATTAAGATCCGCAAAATTTTTAGAGACATCACTCTCCAGCAGGAAACTAAGCAAAGGGAGGTCTGCAAATAGACATGCCCTGCCGATCGAGTGTTGCACGAGTTGTTTCAACTGCTCAGTCGTCAGGATATTGGATTTTAGCTGAGCTGTCAAGGAGGAGGAAGTAGGGTACGGCGGCGCCAAATCCAGCTGTTGCCAGTCCATGGACTCGAGGAACAACTATCAATATGAGCCTCAGTTGCCTTCGTCGCGTCAATTCCACGTCTGCCGCGTTTGCTCTAACGCTCACGTAGCTTCACGTGAGGCCTTGTGATCCGTGACACATCTAGTGCCGTTGTCACGCCACATGTCGTTGTCACCGAGGTTTCGAGCTGGCCTTCGCTCCCGACCGTCAAATGGGCATATTAGTTTCATTCCACAGATAAGGAAACTAGTGTTTGAGTTTTGCGAGTCGTGGCCAACTTCGAAACCTCTTCGGGAGGTGTTGCGCGAGAATGTTGAGTTACTGGCTCGCGAGAATCCGCACGTTGAGATCATGGTCAAGAAGCGGATGTACAAAGAGCCGATAATCAGAGGGTTTTACTGTGCGTATATCTACTCTTCACTTGTTTTAAGAATATCCAACTTCTTAATTATTTTGTGTCTTAGTGAATGACCGTACAAAAGTTATATGTCTGAAGGGTTTCGATCAGAGGGGCGTCATGGATAAAATCCAGTTGTTGCTCGATTCGTCTGGGGCCAAAATAAAACCTTTGAAAGGGAGACCCGTGCAATCCACGACTGATAGCGCCCGTGGGATATGGAGTGGATTGCATGTGGAGGAAACATTCAAGATATAGTCTCCTATCACACTATCAGCATTCGTAAGCTGTTGTACCTCAGAGCATGTTTTATGATTTGTCTCACCTACCTGCATTAGTCCTCATTTGTCATATTTTGGTGTGGCACTTGCACAATACCGCACCAAGAGAGGCTAGAACATATCGCAATAGCGCAATCTAGTCGCTCAGACAGATGCCGGACAATCATCCGACCTTTAGGCTTAGTCTGAATGCTTGGTTGACATCGAGGTCACCGGGATAGTGCTCCTTGTACCAACACTTCATATTATTATCTCCATCATCCCGTTAGTCCTAACAGCCAGGGAAGCTTCACTTGTCCTTTCCTAGCCGAGTTGAGCTGCTGCCACGAGGATGTCTTCAGGTGTTTTGCTGGGCATGCTGGAACAGCAACTTCAGCTTCAAACTCATTTGTTTCGTCATTTCATGGGGTGCTAAGTCTAACTGGAAAAGCGGATCATGGCTAAAGGTTGTGAAAAGGAATTTCACAAATCGAAATAGAGCACTGTATGCGGAAGGCAGTATGATTAATATATGAGAGAATCGCCAGTGCCAATGGTGCATCGATGAATGCGTCGTTCGATGCGATTGATGCTATGCGTATCTGTCGGAGCAACTCCACGCCAAGGGCCTCCTAACAAGGCGCGTTCACATAGGTGAGATTTAGATGCAAAGCTGGAAGAAAATGAAATATTAAGGAGGAGAGAACATAGCGTTGAGTACTTTGGGGCAGTAATGGTACCTCTTGAAAAAAGAATCCGAGTAGGCTTATGGGGCAATTCTAATTACTAGGCACGACGGTGTCATAATGATTAGGGAACAATGTGATCAGGACTCAAGAACTTAACAAGCTGGATCCGTGGCATTGTGCATGTTGAAAAAGTCTAGCAGGGTGATTATGAGCATGCATGCATGTCAATGGCGGTAGAAGTCAGAAGTTGAATGCAAGCGGCGTTGGCCGAGGCCCAGTCGGCTTAAATTAAGGTCCCAAAATGGCCACGCCGCGCATCTGTTCGTCCCATCATTGTCTCCAGGGCGCCATGAAACCGAAGGACAAGGGAGGGCTCGCTTCCTATTTTAAAACGCAGTCCATGATATATCTTGTTTGTGGGAAGTCGTTGCCAGGTTCTCCTGACTGCGAAAACCTTTCGTTGTCTCCCAGGTGCTCTGAGTGCTCTGAGTGTCTCTGGGTGTCTTCATGAGTCTCTGGAATAGGGGACCTTGCTCCAGAGCCCGTCCGATTTTCGCAAAGTTGAACGCCAGACTCACCTTTCGAACGGACCAATCACAGCTGCCCAGCCTGTGTTCGGCATGAGTTTGTAGCCTCGGTGTTCCGCGCTTTGCTGCGCTTTGCTGCGCTCTCTGTGCTCCGACCGGGAGTAGAGGGGATTGTCGCCGTTTGGCCGGTCCCGTGAATTGGCTACGTTGCTTATTCGCAGTGCAATTCCCATGATCATTCTGTTGTGACCCAGTAGATGACTATATCGCCGTTGTATCATCCAGAAGTATTGAACTTGCGTTTTTGTTATCATTACGACACCACGGAACTATTCCACATCCCCGTACCATAAGTGTGACGATGGAATCGGCGCGCTTCCCCAGACAGATTATCCTTGTGATGCTATTGATAACTGGGCACCGCCAAGATGCTGTGTTGGCGGTTTACTCGTGGATCGTGCGCTAACGCTGTGGGCTTCGTATGTGCTTACCTCTTTGCCCGACTTCCTCCAAAATGCGGATTTCGGGACACCAAAGCGTACCGCAACCGCCCTGAGCGTACTGGTGTGTGAAACAACAGGGGTCAAAATTCGCAGGCATTGACACAGGGGTTTGGCTAAAGAGGCTGAAACTTAGCGCCGCCAATCCAGATAGAGAGTATGCATACCCTACGAACGTCTTTACGGTCTATGTTCAATTTTTCTGTCCCATGTGGAATATCTGAGCTTATGAGTCTCACTCGCTTGGAAGATGAAGGGTGCGACGACAGTGCATGAGGAGCAAATAGGCCAGGGTATCGCGGGTGCACCCCTGCTCTACTGTCGATTTTGGGTCGAGTGAAGGCATTTTCGCAAGGCGGGTACTTGTTCCCGCACAGCTCACGAAATTAGCGGGGTTAAAACATCCAGTCCTGGTCTTTCGGACTCGCAGTGGCGACCTTTGTCCCTGCGGATCCGTGATTTACCCAATCAATCCCGTTCGAACAGCATGCCACAGGCCACATCGTAGCCTAGAATCATATGAAGAATACTGACTGGTGTGGCGAAAATGAAGAAGTTCACTAAATCGCTCAACGACGCTCGAAGAATCTCGTTCTAGCCACTGTAGGTGGTTTGCCGAAGGATGCTGATTTGCGTTGCTTTGGGGTAGTGTCATTCACCACTCAGCATTTGCATCCGAAACTCAACATCGTGTTCCCGTGTTCCTCCTACAAATTCCCCATTGTTGCCTTACTGCACCCTAGGCGGTTCCCTCCTGATGCTAGCAACGTGAGGGCACCATTCAAATGAAATGATCCACTAGTCTGACGTGTTCACGCTCAGAACCACTATTTCTATCATAGGGATAATACTCCTTGCCCTCACCTTCGCCATTTCAGTGGCTCTCTTATGGAGAATGGTGTTTTTCTCGAAACACACTCCTGCCCTATATGTTTTCATTATCCTTGTAGCTGCACTTGTGCCACTACACCTGGCGCAAGTCGGTAAGCACCAAAAACAGAACCGTACCACACGATATCCATTCATTTCCTCTATCGTAGTTATCGGATTGATGATTATGACACAGCACGTCGGTCCTCGTCAGTATATCGATGTACTAGAGTGGGCTCCTAGCCATTTCCCTGACCCATGTTTCAGGGAATTCAATCCATGAAGCGACCATCGATATACTGCGAAAATGCCATGTCTTCCTATCTATACCGACAACTAGCGCACTTCACTGTGGGTAGCATGATTTTGACAATTGACTGCTGTCCACTCTAACTGCGACTGCGTTTGCTTTTAGTATTCCTTGGCTTCAGGTAAGCTTTTTGTTATTTCATCACCCATCGTAGAGACTGATGCTCTCGATTATCAGATCGTTGAGACTAAATTGCAAATGCTCGCGTTGCTGTAGATTAACACGACCAATTGTGTTGTTCTGTTGGGTAGTAATCATTTTTCTCTGCGTTGCTGAGCCCGGTAAGCGGTATTTGATGTTTCACATATTCCCTTTGCTCAGTACCCTAAACAGCACTGTCTGTATATGGAGAAATTTTAGGGAAGCAGGGGCTGTAAGTCCTCTTGTCTTGTTCATCGTTATCCCATTTCACAGTTTCTGTTCCCACTGTCAGTTCACGCGAACCCCTACGAAATCGGGTAGTGGCGACAGCCATGTTTACCGATACAGTCTGTCTTGCCCTAAGTTTCGCAACCTGTTTTTCCCTCTTAGGGCAAGCAGATCGTCGTCGAATTCTCAGCAGAGGGTGGCAACAATCATCTTGTGACGAGATGAAGCAGGTATTATTGAAAGGGAAGCGACGCTGTGTACGTAAAGGCTCGTACTTGTCAACATCACACTAGCTGTATTGAATAACTCTGAAGGTTCTTTCGTTCCTCTTAATCTTCCCAATCCAATTCCCAAGAGGGTTTCTTCTCCTCTTCTGGGTGAGAGGGAGATGTTATCTGATAAGAGCCTCCAGATTAGCTTATCTTTATGCTTTACCACCAGCCCACTCCATTCATCATGGATTTGTTGTCCACTTTGTCAGGCCCTGTAAGTTCTTCCTCTTAATCGGCATCAATCCAATGCGACAAGTCTAACCTGCACAGGTACATTATTTGTCTCTCTTGATATCAATCCTCCGCATCACTCCAATGTCATGGAGTGGTATCGACAGGGATATAGCACTGGATTCAGTATCTGGTCAGGATGGGGACGCGGGCTCCCCCGTCCGAGAGTGTCCTTCCAATCCTGATGGCCTCAATGTATGGCTTTCTCTCGATGACTACTACTTGAGGGCCAAGGCTGACTTCAATGTCTTCCAGACCGACGACATCATTGTGATAGGGTTCCCCTTGACACCTGGACATCGGTTCGGTATGCCAAGTCCGGCAATTCCTGTACTCCCACATCATCTCATCTTACCATTCATCTCACCAACAGACTTCCGAACCGACGGACAACTAGCATAGCAGGCAAGAGCAGCGCGTGTGATGGCTCCCGCCGGCTCCGCGAGTGCCCAATCGGCACGGAGCAGAATGGTGGACTAATGGGTCACTCAACATGGTCCGGAGTCCATCAAGGGGACACGGCACGCTGCACTCTTCCTGCATATTTATACAGCAGAAGGGGTATTGTTCATCAGATACGAAATATGACCCCCTACAAACTTCCCACTGCGCCGCTTTTGCGGTATTTATTTGTTATCAACCCCCATTTTGTCGTAGTCTCATGCATGACACCAATATTTAATTTTCGTCCTTTTGATTAATGCATTGCGAAATGCCTCGTTCACTGCTGAGCATTTCTCATTAGAACCTGAAACCACCGCGCACCCGCGCATCCGGACTAACCTTGTTGATCCGCCAGTGAAGCTGTTATATGCATGCAAAACTCGGTGGCGCTTTCACAGTTACGGCCAGTGCAACAGCATATTGGCGAGCCAGCGGTGGACACGAGGTGGATTGATTGTGATCGGCAAGTTTCATCCGATCGTTAGGAGGGTGAATCCGGTGCGCGAGAATCATGCGAGACAACCAGAAAGTTCTGCACTAGTACTACATAGTGCTGAGATTGCGTTTTGCTTCTCTGAGCTAGTCGAGATGCTGGCATACCACTTGAGCCCAATGAGTGCGCATGCACCATCCATGATTTGCCCATTGCTCCATCTACTAACCTCAGGCACTCTTCCCCAGTCAACAAAGAGTGTCCTTTCCTCGAAACACGGACAAGATTCCTGATCTCCGCCGTGGGCCCAACATTTTTTTGCATAGGTCTTGACGTACACATATTACCGGCCATATAATTTCTCACCTACAGTTCGCCACTGGCGCTGACCAGTGTCGTTGGTCGCTCCACGCCACAAGGATTGACCTGGGTACAGAGGAAGCATCTCTCGGGAACATTTGTGGTTAGTGTTAGCCTATTGGTAAGCACATTCACCCATATTTGTCGCACCTGCTCAGTATGCTCTCGGAATAGACCCACGAACTTGCCCAATTCCGCGACATGCACTACAGTGTCTGATATTGTTCTGAACAGTCTGTATATGGATCGTCTTCGCCCATGAAAGAAGCCCTTGAGCCTGCTACCTGATTTAGCGAAAGTCATGTGTATAGCGTGGAGACACTGGTCAACCGCAGAAGCTGATACAGCCCCTCAATTTTCAGTGAGACAGAAGGATCAGAACCGCAAAAACGACTCCAGGATAAACGTTCTCCAGGAGAATCATGCTTTGATCTACAAAACAACAATTGGTTAGGGTGCGTGTACATTGTTTGAGCTTGGGTCATATCTCGGCGCCGCTTCACCACTTTGGTCCTTGAACACAAGGAACCGAATGTTCTCCCGATACAATGGGATGTAGATCACATTTTTCTCGAAACATGTACACAGCGTCGGTTAATCCTGCCAGGCTCGCAGCCTAACCATCCTCACATCGTCCAAACGTATGTCGTCTTACCAGAATTTGGGAAGTTCCAGAGTTCTGCTTGGGAGCGCCGTCCTAAGCAGTGCGCGGTGCACTCTCGGCCTCGACAAGAAATAAGGGGAGCATATTAAAGGTCGGCAAGTGCCCACTGCTCTCACCCTTTTTGCATGCGTTGTAGTATTGACTTTTTACTTTTTTGAGCTTGGATGTTGTGAGAAGGGAAAGGGCCGGTGGTTCACACAACGAAACAGAACAGAGGGCAGCAACTAATATACGATGAGTCCCAAGAGAATCGCCAGTGCGAATGTTGGATCGACGGTCATGCAAGTGTATCGTTCAATACGGTTGATATTCCGTGCCAGTATGCGTATCTGTCGGAGCAACACTGCGCCAAGGGCCTTCTGACAAGGCGCGTTCACATGGGTGAGATTTCGATGTAAGGTTGGAAGAAAATGACATGTTGAGGAGCGAACATAACATTGACTACTTGAATGCAATACCAGCACCATAGTTTCTCGGTTTATAAGGGAGGCGCTTTGAATAGCGCACAAGCATGGTGGCGAGTTTACCAAGAAAGGTAACACGACGGACTCCGTTGAGTCGGCCCCGTTGATATCCCAAGGAATTCTACACGTGATATATCTGCTGGAGTTGTTGCCACTGCCAGGTTCTCCCCGACCGAATTTATCGCGAAAACCTTTCAGGGTCTCACAGGTGCTCTGTGTGCTCTGCGTGTCTCTGGATGAGTCTCTGGAATAGGGGGTCCTGCTCCAGAGCCCATTCGATTTTCGCAAAGTTGAACCAATCACAGCTGCTCAGCCTGTGTTTGGCATGAGTTTTTAGCAGCCTTGGTGTTCTGCGCTTTCTGCGCCCTTTATGCTCTGGCCGGGAGTGGAGGGGTTTGGTCGTTCCCACCTGTGTGCAATTCCCAATTTCGTTATCATTGCGACACCACGGAACCATACCGCGATCCACGTACCATACGTGACGGTGGAATCGGCGCGGTCCCCAGACGAATTATCCTTGTGATGCTATTGATAGCTGGGCACCGGTGTTGGTGGTTATCTGCTCGTGGGCCGTGCCCTAAAGCTGTGGTCTTTGTATCTGCTTACCTCTCTGCCCCACTTCCGGATTTCGGGATGCCAAAGCCAACCGCCGTGAGCGTACTGGTGTGCGAAACAACAGGGACCCAAATGCGCAGGCACTGACACAGCAGTTTGGCTGAAGAGGCTGAAACTTGGGCGCTGCCAATCCAGATATAAAAGACTTGAGGGAGTGCATACCCTACGAACGTCTTTATGGCCCAGGTTCAGTTTTTCCACCCCATGGGATATCTAAGCTTATGAGTCTCGCTCGCTTGACAGCTGAAAGACGCGACGACAGGCAAATAGGCAAGGATATCTCGTATGCACTCCTGCTCTGCTGCCGATAACATCCAGTCGCGGTCTTTCGGACTCCCAGTGGCGGCGTGTACCCCTGGCTACCACTGCGGAACCGTGATTCACGCAATCAATCCCGTTGCGCAGCATGCCACGCGCCACATCGCAGCCGAAGATCATATGAAAAATACTGACTGGTGTGGCGAAAATGAAGAAGTCCAATAAATTGCTTAACAACGCTCGAAGGATCTCGTTCTAGCCACTCTAGATTGCTTGGCGAAGGTTGCTGATTTGCCTTGCTTTGGGTGTGTTCCTCCAAATTCCTTATTGTTGCCCCACCGCACCCTACTAGGCGATTCCCCGAAATATCCTCCCGACAACAGCGGTACAGTGAGGGCACCACCTAAACGAAACGATCAATTGTTCTGACGTTGTGCACACTCAGAACCACTATTTCTATCATAGGGTTGATGCTCCTCGCCCTCACTTTCGCCGCCTCAGTAAATCGTAAAACCCCTGTCGTATGGCAGACACGATATTATCATGGAATCACTTTTCTAGTGATCGGTAGCCTCAGCCGATCGTTAGCAGGGTGTGAATCCGGTGCGCGATAATCATGTGGGACCACCAGAAAGGTCTGTACTTTTAGTGAGATGCATGCCGACATATCGCTCTTGTGATCAATTGGTTTGATGTGTGGATACATGGAATCACACTTTGCATTGTACCCTCCTCGCTCGCTTTGGTTTTCGTTACCTCATCGGCCCTAGCAATGAGTTTCTTTCCGAAGGATCACCCCGCGCTGCGGAGTTTCTTCATCTTGGCTATTACTCGCATCATTGCGTCTCGCGCAACTCGGTGAGTGCATGCCATGACCAGAATTACACCAGCTGACATTCATTCATTCCCACGTCATAGTCACTGGAGTCCTCATCCTGTCCATCGGTTCCGGCAAGCCCGTCATCTCGCCGTCAGAGTTCGAGTTCTGAACAGGAACAAAAACTCGCGCTGTGGCTCCAACTAGCTCCTCAAGCTCCCAGTCGGCACGGAGCAGAGTGGTGGACTAATTGGTACGCAGTACAGTTCCGAGTCCGTCAAGAATGCACTCTTCCTACGTATTTATACTGTGTAATTGCCGTCAGATACAGTGCATACTACACACATGAAGCTAGTATTAACGCATTCTCATCAATCTTGATTCTCATTGCGGAATGTGCGGAACCTGACCCATCAAGAATACCGATTTACTTGAGGGATTCGGTCATTGCCAATTGGTCCAGCGGTGGACACGCTGATCCGATCGTTAAATAAATTCGATGCAAAAAGAGAAATCAGTGGTTCCAAATAGTGAGACATCAGTGAGACACCCCATTTCTCTATGCTCATATTTTCAGCAATATTGCGCTTGCATTGGGTCCGGCTACCTCGTGTCACCCATTGCTCCGTACAGCCTCCAGTCCTTCCTTACCCTCCTGAAGAAGACCTGAAGCGCGGACAGAATACTGATCTCCGCGTGAGCCTGACGATTTTTCCTGTAGTTCTTGCATTCACGCTGGCCCCAGCGTCGCCGGCCGCCACTTGCTCTGCATCAACAACATTGACCCTAATGTAAGGGAAGGGCCTCTTGGTGAATGAGAAGGCATTTTCGGTTCACGTTAGCCTATTGCTGAGCACATTTTCGTCGCGCTCGCTCGTGGAAACATCACGGTTGTGGAATGCCTCTAACTGGATATATGCGCAACTGCGTCTGATGGCATTCTGATAGTCTGTACTCCTAATCACTGATTGTCAACTTACCAGGGCTGCTATCCCCCTACAGAAGATTGCGCATGTCGGTGTGATGACCCGAAAGGGACAATCTCATGAATCTTCGTTACTGAGCGTATACGGATCATTAGAATGCGCGTCGTTGCTCGTCAGAAGGCCCTTGAACATACGGGATCTGAACAAGAGGCATGTGTACGGGGTGGAGACGCTAGCTGACTTTATGTAACACAAATAAGAGAGGGGTGGCATTATGTCGACTTTGCAGCAATTGGATGGAAGTGCTAGTTCGGCGCAAAATGTGCGCAGACCCAAATTTCAGCGAGACAGAATTCCCTTTCCAGAACTGTGCAAACGACTCGAGGACGAACGTTCTCCAGGGAATCTCTAGTCTTCATGGAAGAACAATCAGTTAGGCTCCATGTAGGTCTACGCTGTCTGAATTGGGTCACTCCTCGGCGCTTCAACGCTTATGTCTTTCAACCCGAGGGGCTGAATATCCTCTCGATAGTCCTGTCGAGGAACGTAGCGCATGAACCAACTCCGAAAACATGTATATATAGTCACAGTACTATTTACAGTAGGTTATTTTGCCTCATCACGTCGTCCGAATGCGTACCAACTATATCTGGCACAATTTAAGGTTCTGCTGGGGGATCCGTGAGAAGCGCCGTCCCGAGTAGTGTACAGTGCACTCTTAACTAACCCGCAGACATGTATAGTAAGGGTCAGCAAGCGCCCATGCTCTCTCACTCACGCTTTTGGACCTTATTTGCATGAGTTGCAGTGTCAACGTATTTCCCTTTCGAACTTCGTCATTGGTACATCGGGGCGGCTTTGGTTTCATTCGGGGGCAGTTGCATCACTTAAAGAAAACATGCCCAGCGGAGCCCGCGGGTGCATGAGCTAGCGAAAAATTATTATTGAACAGTGTATAATGTTGCGCTAAGTGGGCGACTGACCGGTGGAGGGGAACAACCCATCATGACCATTGTAAAGGCGACATCGATGTATGACCTCCACCTGGACATCGCAAGACGGGGAAAAGGACACATGATTCGAGTACCAAGGCGAAGGCAGAATCCAGTGCGGTTGATGTATGAGCCCCAAGACGAAGTCCCGGACTGGGAGAATCACCAAGACAAGTAGGTTTTAAGTGGTCCATCAGTAGTGTTACACGTGTATCGTTCAATCCAACGAATATTCCGTGCAAGCATGCGATATGCGTCAGTGTGGAACTTTATCGAAAGCCTTCTGACAAGAAGTGTTCATATGGTGAAATGTCAACGCAAGTTTGGAGGAAATTGATCTGTTAAGAGAGGGAACACGGTGTTGGGTTCTTGGATGTGATAATAATGCCTCTTGGAGAAACTTCTCTCCAAGGAAGTTTACAGATCGCCCAGTGTATTGCTTGCGGTTGTTCCAAATAATGCGCAACAACAAAGAACTATAACCAAGACTTAACGGCCTGATAAGGTGGATCATCGTAATAAAAAAGGTGAGAGTCATGAGCAACCTAGAGATGACTACAAGCACAAAGGATGGCCGCACGCCGATGGATCAGTGCAGGTTGAACACAAAATTCGAAAGCGGCGTTCGCCGAGGGCTGGCATTCAGAATGCCACGCGCGCGGGTAGTAACTGTTCTGTCATGCCTGATTATCTGCGGACTTCAAGGTTCCATCAGTTAGAATGAGAGAAAAGCTCGCTTCACGTCCAAGATTTTGTTGCTAATGACTTATCTGTTTGTTTGAAGTGGTGGCCCGCCTGGACTCAACGGTGGCAATCGGCCTAGACTACTTAAACGCAACAGTGCATTCCGAACGGACCAATCGCAGCGGTTCGTACTGTATGTACCATGGGATTCTGGAAGCCTCGATGTCCTGGCTATATAGGCTGAGTCTTCCTACTCCGGTTGGAACGTTGAGGTCATCGAGCCGATTTGTCGAATTAGCCTGATTTGTTCGACAGCGCCTAGCGCCCTTCTCAGCCACACGTTTCTCTCGAGTCATTTCCGTACACCCTTTCTATCCAGCATATTAGACGCCTGTACCGACCCCTTGTCGCCCATTGTAGTATCAAGCCCGGGCCTCAATGTTATCACCGTACTATTGGGCCACATCACCTACTCACCGTAATTAATGGTAGATCAATCAGAGCGACATTGCACGCCTTCGGCCGAGGATAGGTTTCCTTCTTATGCTGTCGACGTCTGAATCCTGCCAACAAACTTTAGGATCGCGCGCCTCGTAGGCATTTGCGTCTACTTACCCCTTCAGCTGATGTTATGCGAAATGTACATTAACATGAACCTTGAGTTCTTCGAGCATACCAGTGCGTGACGATACGCGCTGAAATCCGCTGGGCATTAACACGCAACGAAATCTTGGCTAAAAAGAGGTCGAGAACTTGACGGTATCAATCCAAATACCAAACGATAGAGGAAATACATACCTTGTAAATGTTTTCGTCGCTCCTGTCTAATTTCTTCTATCCAACATCACATCTTTGGGTTCATGAATTGCCACTCGGCTTGACTATACATGGGAGACCCTACAAGCCAGACATCGCGTGCGCGCTCCTGCTCTGCTACTGATCTGAATTATAGTACTGGGCGTTAGGAGGAAATCAGTCGAGTGAAGATGTTTTGACAAGGTGAATCGTGCTTGTTCCTGCTCAGCCCATTTACTTGGAACGCCCCGTCGTGATTTTCTGGATGTCCTGTGGCAAGAAACGACCCAACCCGGGGTTCGTGATCTGTACAAATAAATCCATTCAAGCGGCATGCCACACGCCACACGCCACACGCCAGCCCAGGATCGTGTGAACAGCGCCAGTTGGTGCGGCAGAAAAGAAATTGTACGATGAGATTTGAAGGATGTTGACTCAGCCATTGTAGTTAGCTCGCCGAAGGATGCTTCACCTGGGTCGCTTCGAGATGGTAGCACAATAGCATTTGCATCCGAGGGCTCAACAACTTTGCTCATCGTGCTCGTGTTGAGGATTCTTTGCTGTTGACTTCCTGAGCGTTCCCCTTCCCTAAAACATCCCTTTCGATGGCGGCCACCGCACTCCAGTGAGTCACACGCGTTCAAATACGATGATCAACGTGGTTGACGTGTGGACATTAGAATCGCACTTTGCGTTTTGGGGTTCACCCTACTTACTTTTGTCTCTGGTGCCTCCGCGGCACTGTGGTGGACTATAAGCTTCTCAGGGAAGCATCGTCCCGCTCTGCGGGGCTTACTGATTCTTGTTGTACTACTCGTACCATTACACCTGGCACAAATTGGTGAGTTCCATGACCAGGATCACACCAGCTGATATACATTTGTTCCCACATAGTTACTGGGACCCTTCTGATTATCCAACATATCAGTATGCTGTTGTACCAGGATATTGAGGCTCTGGTCATTGCCTCGACCTATGTTCCGGGGCGTTTATTCAACGAAGTGACGCTGCAGAGTTGCGTTATCTTACTCTCTGTTCCGACGATCAGCGCTCTCCACTGTGGGTAGTATAATTCTGACAATTGGCTCTCTTTCGGCTCTGATTGTGCTTGCCTTCAGTATTCCTGGGCTTTAGGCAAGGTCTTCGCCATTCCATCACCCACCCAAGTGTCTAACGCCATCTATGGTCAGAGCCTTACGGTCTACCTGTTCATGCTTTAGCTGCCGCCGTTTGACTCACCCAGTTGTGTTATTTTGTTGGGTCTTCACAATTTTCCTCTGTGCAGCTGAGTGCGGTGAGCGCTATTGTGTCTCACACATTTCCTTCATTTAACATCTTCAACAGCACTATCTATTTACGGAGTAATTTTAGCGAAGCAGGGGCCGTAAGTTCCCGCTTCTCTTTGCTCATCGTGTCGATCTCATACTACAGTTTCCGTTCCATCCCGTCAGTTCACACGATCTCCGACGAAATCTCATAATGGCGACGGCCATGTTCACTGACACCGTCTGCCTGCTCATGGATTTCGCTACCACTTTCTTCCTCCTCTGGCATGTAGATCAACGGCGAATTCTTAGCAGAGGGCTGCGACGATCATCGTGTGATGATGCATTCAAGCAAACATTGTTCAAATGGAGGCAGCGTTGTGTACGTAAAGGCTCATACTTGTCTAACGCCGCTTTGTATTAAATAAACTCTCAAGATTCTTGGTTTCCTCCTCGTTGCCCCAGTACAACTCCCAAGAGGATTTCTCCTCCTCTTTTGGGTGAGAGACATCATCCGACGAGAGCTCGCAGACAGCTGATTTCCATCCCTTACCATTAGCCCAATCCACTTGTCATGGATTTGATGTCGGTTTTGTCGGGACCAGTTAGTTTTCAACATTTATACATGCGGAAATCTGATTTTGTCTTGCAGATACACTATCTATCATTTTTACTATTGGTTCTCCGCAACACTTCACGGGGCAGTCCCGACGAGGACATAGCTCTCGGACCTATATTACCACAGAGTGGGAATGTGGATGCCCCCGTTCAAGATTCTCCCGATGTGGTCAATCCAGATGGGTCCAATGTATGTTTCTACTTGATTGCCACTGGAGGGCCGACGACTGACTCGGACATCCAGAACGAAGAAAACCTTGTAATAGGGTCCCAAGCACCTGAGAATCGGTTCGGTAAGCCTAGTGTCACCAAACCCCGCACTCATGGCCTCATCATCCATTCATCCCACTGCCAGACTTCCGAACCGCCCAGTAACTCTTCAGAAGCAGGCAAGAACCCAGCGCATGTGCAGCCAGTGATGGCTCGAACCAGCTCCTCGAGCCCCAATCGGCACGGAGCAGGGCAGTGGACCAATGCAGCACAGTTCCAAGTTCGTCAAGGGGGTATAGCACGCTGCACTCTTCCTGCATATTTATACCGTGGAAGGGGTATTATCCATCAAATATGCCCATAAACTTCCCACTGCGCCGTTTTCGCGGCATACATTTGTTTACCCACTCCCATTGTCTCGTAGTCTCACACACGAAACTAATTTAGTCCTCATCCCTTTGATTCCTGTTTCGAAATGTCTTGTTCACTGCTGAACACCCCTGAGATCGGGTGCAGAACTTACATGATCGATGAAACCCGGAACTGCCACGCACGCCTGCGCGGCGGGGAAAATTCACCAACGATCCGCCTCGCAAAATGTCATCAAGGGATTCAGTGACTGCCAATTGATAGCATATCAGCAAGCCAGCGGTTGACACGAGGTGGATTGATTGCGATCGGCGTCTCATCCGATCGTTGGAAGTAAATTCAATGCAGCGGCACAGCAATCATGTGAAGCTATTGACCAAATGGTTCCGAAAAGTGAGATGGCAGTAGTGACCTGTTCCTCTTCTTTGCTCAGCTGCACGCAACCCGATACGGACTTGAACCACCCGCGCCACCAATGATCTGTTACCTCGTGGCACCCATTGTTCCATATGGCTTCAAGTGCTTCCTTGCCTGAAGAAGCTAGTGTTTCCACGACATGCGGACGGGATTGCTGACCTCCGTGACCTCCGCCGTGAGGATGGTTCTTGCAGCCATTGCCTATGTATGTAGTGTTGCTGCTCACTCTACATCACCAGCATTAGCCCGGATTCACGCTTTAGTAGAGGCTGGGATCCTGCTTGCGGATTCACTAGACTCAACGCAACACCCACGTGCTAATCGTAAGTACTGGTGTATGTGGCATAAAAGTTCATACCCTGGCTATGTAGGGCTGCGTCTCCGCACTTTGATCCGAAACGTTAGTTCGGTCAATTTGTTGGATTAGCCCGATTATCCAACAATTCTCAGCCACACCTCCACCCTCTAGTCATTCCCGTAAACACTTTCAATACAGCCTATCAGACATCTGTATAGCATCTGTCGTCCGTCGCAGGAACTGGGAATATACTGCAATGTTACCGCCATACCGTCGGGCTATATCACTACTCACTCTAACTCTGATGATAAATTAATCAGGACTACATTGCGCGCTTTCGGCAAGAGATGGGATGCCCTCTGTAATGCTACTAGCATCGATGTCTGATCCTGCCAACAAACTGAAAGTTAGCAGCATCTGCTCGTGGGAGGTAACTCTTGGGCCTGCTTACCTCTCTGGTGTTGTCCGAAATGTTCATTATGCTCATTCCAAAATGCCAGCGTGGGCCTTGACTGCCTAGAACATACCAGTGTGAAGCGATACAGGCTAGAATGCATGGGTGTCGACACGAAATCTTGGCTAAAGAGGCTGAAACTCGACGCTACCAATCCAAATAATGGAGGAAATGGATACCTTGCGAATGTTTTCATCCGAGTCGCTCCTGTCCAATTTTTTTCTATCCAACATCTGGGTCCCTGGGTGCCGCTCACCTTGACTATCCATGGGAGCCTACCTACCGGCCGGATATCGCGTGTGCGCTCCCAAGCTCTGCTACTGAATTCGGGATATCATTCTATCATCCAGACGCGACCCAAGTCAAGCATCCTTCGGTGAGCTAACTACAGTGGCTAGGTCGACATCCTTCGAATTTCATCACATCACGCAATCCCCTGTTTGTCACACCAACCGGCGCTGCTCACACGATCCTGGGCTGCGGTGTAGCGTGTGGCGCGTGGCATGCCGCTTGGATGGGTTGTTTCTTCCACTGGACATCCGAAAAATCAGGACTGGACGTTCCAAGTCCAAAGCAAATGAGTTGCGGGAGAATAGGTGCGATTCACTTTGCCAAAACAAACGTCTTTACTCGTCGGATGTCCTCCCGTAACACTTGCATCTGAGGGCTCAAAACTTTGCTCACCGTGTTCGCCTTGAGGATTCCTTGTTGCTGACTTCTTGAGTGTTCCCTCCCCCTCCAATACTCCTCTGGATGGCGATGAGGGCGGCTCACTGAGTCACACGCGTTCAGATACGATGATCAACGTGTACCCAGACATGACTTAAACCCAGACACCACAATCCAGGGGACCCCGTCACGCCGACCACACCGACCAGACAACCCTATCTTGTATTGACGAGCCTCTCATTGGGTTTCTCTCCAAAGCATCAATATCTCAGTATGCTGTTGTACCAGAATATTGTGGTTCCGGTCATGGCCCAGGCTACTCGGCTAACGAAGTGACACCGAAGATGCTGCGAAGCTGCCTTATCTATCCCGATAATCAGCATATTTCACTGTGAGCAGTAATTTCAACAGTTGACTGCATTCCCACTCTAAGTGCCTTTGCCTCTAGTATTCCTGGGTTAGAAGTAAGCTTCCCACTGTTCCGATGCCCTTGATGGTCAGAGCCTTGAGATCAACTTGCACATGCCCGCCCTTGCCACTGAACAATACAACCAATTGTATTGTTCCGTTGGGTGATTCTCTCTGCAGCTGAATCCGGTGAGCGGGTATTCTGTGTCCCGCATATCTTCTTTGCTCAACCCCGCATTGTCTGTTTATGGAGACACCCTCGCAGGCCAAGGGCCGTAAGTTCTCTTCCTGTGCTCATTGCGGCGGTCTCATGCTGGGGTTCCATCTCTTCTCTGTCAGCTTGCGTGATCGATCTCCTACGCCCTCAGTCCGATATCCTGCCACAATGGGCATGTAGCCCTGGTCCGCGGATCTTCCTTTCCAGGCGATTCTGAGGTCTTCGATGTACGCTTTATTCTTGATGACTTACGACCGACTCCAACGTCTTCAATTACTGCGCTTCCGCATCGTCTGATCTCCCCATTCATCTCGCCACCAAACTTCTGAACCGGCAGGGCAACTCTCGCGAGAGCACCAGCGCGTGTGCAGCTGGCGATGGTTCCATCCCATCTGGCTCCTCGAGCTCTCAATCAGCACTGAGTACTACAATGGCGGACCAATGGGACACTCAGCACAGCTCCGAGTCCATCAGGACGTTATAGCGCGGCTGCACTCTTCCTGTGTATTCATACCTTGGAAAGGCATCAACTATTAGACACAGAATATGGTGCTTCCCTGCGCCGTCCTTGCGCCGTTTTTGCGGCATTTATCATTTCCCATTTTGTGGTCTCACGCATGAAACCAATATTTAGTTCTTTTCGTTTGCTTCTAACTCCTATTACATAATGCGAAGTGCGTTGTTCGCTGCTGACCATGAATGGGACCTGATGTGGAGCTCACACTATTGATGAGGCGGGCCCTGCCACGGATCCGGATCGATCGCTGCGCAAATGTTTGTCTCTCAACATGATACGGAGAAAATTTTAATGGCCATTCCGTAACAGTTGTCGTCCGGATTAATGCTGGAAGGATTCAGTCGCCGTCCATTGGCGACATATCGGCGAACCAGCGGTGGGCACAAAGTGGACCAGAAAATTGTGCATCAACCTGTCCCGGTTTCGAAAGCGAGACACCGGCGAATGTGGAGACCCCCATGAATCCGTTCTCGCGAACTGCGCGATAAACGCGCTGGCTCACACCATTAATGATTTCACGAACAGCCTGAAGATCACGAGTTGACCCGCTTGTTTCAGCCCTATGCAGGATCCCATGCAGCCTCTGCAGATTTATTGATAGCTGGGAACTGCCAAGGTGCTGTGTTGGCGGTTGTCCACGGAACGCGCGCTAAAGCTGCGGTTTCCCTCTTTGCCCGACTTCGTCCAAAATGCGGATTCCGGGATACCAAAGGGTATCGCAACCGCCCTGAGCGCACTGGTGTGCGAAACACCACGGGTCAAAATGCGCAGGCACTGACGCAACAGTTTGGCTAAAGAGGCCGAAACTTAGGCACTGCCAATCCAGACACAAAACAATAGAGGGAGTGCGTACCCTACGAATGTATTTATGGCCTATGTTCAATTTTTCTTGGGATATCCGAGCTTATGAGTCTCACTCGCTTAACAGCTGGCGACCATCGATATACTGCGGAAATGTCATGTTTTCCTATCTATACCGACAGCTAGCGCACTTCACTGTGGGTAGCATGATTTCGACAATTGACTGCTGTCCACTCTAACTGTGTTTTCCTTTAGTATTCCTTGGCCTCAGGTAAGCTTTTCGTCATTCCATCACCCATCGTAGAGACTAATGCTCTGGATTATCAGATCGTTATGAGTAACTTGCAAATGCTCGCGCTGCTGTAGATTAGCACGACCAATTGTGTTGTTCTGTTGGGTAATGATCATTTTTCTCTGCGTTGCTGAGCCCGGTAAGCGGTATTTTATGTCTCGCATATTTCCTTCGCTCAGTACCCTAAGCAGCAGATATGGGGAAATTTTAGGGAAGCAGGGGCCGTAAGTCCTCTCTTGCCTTGTTCATTGTGGCGATTCCACTTCACAGTTTCCGTTCTCACTGTCAGTTCACGCGAACTCCTACGAAATTGGGTAGTGGCGACAGCCATGTTTACCGATACGATGAATCTTGCCCCAAGTTTTTCAACTTGCTTTTCCATGTTAGGGCAAGCGGAACGTCGTCGAATTCTTACCAGAGGGTGGCAACAATCACCTTGTGATGAGATGAAGCAGGTATTATCGAAAGGGAAGCGACGCTGTGTACGTAAAGGCTCGTACTTGTCAACATCACACTGTATTGAATAACTCTCAAGATTCTTGCATTCCTCTTAATCTTTCCAATTCAATCTCCCAGAGGATTTCTGCTCCTCTTCTGGGTGAGAGAGAGATGTTACCTGACAAGAGCCTCTAGAATTGCGTATTTTTATGCTTTATCACCAGCCCAACACATTCGTCATGGATTTGATGTCCATTTTGTCAGGCCCCGTAAGTTCTTCCTCCTAATAATCGGCATCAATACACGCGACCAGTCTAATATTGTGGCCTGTCCAGGTACATTATTTATATTAATCCTTCGTATTACTCCAATGTCATGGAGTGGTATCGACAGGGGTATAGCACTCAACCCGATATCCGATCAGAGTGGGGAAGTGGGCTCCCCCGTCCGAGAGTGTCGTTCTGATCCCGATGGCCTCGATGTACGGCTTTTTCTGTACTACTTGAGGGCCAAAGCTAAATTCAATGTCTTCCAGAACGATGACATCATCGTGATAGGGTTCCCTTCAACACCTGGCACTGGTGCTCTCGCCTGCTACAGATTGTGTTCTCTATCGGTTCGGAAGTCTGTTGGTGAGATGAATGGGGGGATGAGATAATGCGAGGGTACAGGAATTGCGGGACTTGGCATACCGAACCGATGTCGCGTGCAACCAGTGATGGCTCCCACCGGCTCCTCGATTACCCAATCGGCACGGAGCAGAGTGATGGACTAATGGGTGACTCGGCATGGTCCGGAGTCCGTCAATGGGGGTATGGCACGCTGCACTCTCCCTGCATATTTATACGGTGCAGAAGGGCCGTTATTCATCAGACACGGAATATGGCTCCCTACACTCTGCCGCTTTTATTTGTTATCAACCCATTTTGTCATGATCTCACGCGTGAAACCAATATTTAGTTCTCATCCTTCTTGATTCGTGTTGCGAAAAGCCTCGTTCGCTAGCATTTCCCATTAGAACCTGAAACCGCCATGCGTAGCGCACCCCCGCGTCCAGACTAACCTTGTTGATCCGCCAGTGGAGCCATATATACATGCATGTAAAAGTCGCTCGCGTCTCCACAGTCACGGTCCGCGCAACAGTTAAAAATTCACCAGTCGGCCAATCGTTTAAAGGGTTCAGTGGCCAACCACCAATTGGTGGCTTATTGGCAAGCTAGCGGTAGATACGAGGTGGATTGATTGCGATCGCCAGTCTCATCCGATCATTAGGAGGGTATGGATCCGGTGCGCGAGAATCCTGCGAGACAACCAGAAAGTTCTGCACTAGTACTAGTGCTGAGACCGCGTTTTTCTTCTTTGAGCTACGCCCATGCAGCGGAGATGCTGGCATACCACTCAATACGAACGAAGAGTGTCCTTTCCTCGAAACACGGACAAGATTCTTGCACACATACTACCTGTCATACCTGCGGGTCGCCACTTGCGCTAACTAGTGTCGCTGCTCGCTCTGCGTCACCGGATACAGAGGAAGCATATATCGGGGGGATGCGAAAGCATTTGCGATTACCGTTGGCCCATTGGTAAGCACATTCACCCACATTCGTCGCACTCGCTCGCGGTATATATAGATCATCTTCGCTCATAAAAGAGGCCTCTGAGCCTGATACGTGATCTCAGCGAATGACACGCGTGTAGCGTGGAGATATCAGCCAACTGCAGAAGCGCTAATTTGGCGTATAATGCAGTCCCCCAAATTTCAATGAGACAGAAGGATCTCCCTTCCAGAATCGCGAAAATGACTCCAGGATGAACATTCCCCAGGAGGTCAAGCTTTGATCTACAAAAGAACAATTGGTTGGGCACCGCGTGAGTTTCATTGTTTGGGCTTGGGCCACATCTCGGCGCTTCACCGCTCTGGTCCTTGAACACGAGGAATCGAATGTTCTCCCGATACCACACAATGTAGGGCAAATTTTTCCCGAACGCAGCCTAACCACGTCATCCGAACGCATGCCATCTCACCAGAATCTGGGCAGTTCCAGGGTTCTGCCTGGGAGCGCCGTCCTAAGCAGTGCGCGATGCACTCTCGACAAGAAATAAGGTGAAGGTCGGCAACCGCCTACTGCTCTCACCCTTTGGAGCTATTTTGCACGCGTTGTTAGTATCAACGGATTTTTACTTTTTGCTTTTTGCTTCCTTTCGAGAGCTTTGGGTGTTGTGAGAAGGGAAAGGGCCAGGGTGGTTCACACATCGACAGTGGCAGTATGATTAATATACGGTAACAAGAGAGTCGCCAGTGTGATTGGTACGTCGACGGTCATGCAAGTGTATTGTTCTATGTGGTTGAAATCCCATGCTAGTATGCGTATCTGTCGGAGCAACACCAGCTCAAGGCGCATTCACATGGTTGAAATTTCGATGCAGAGAACACAGCGTTGAGAACCTGAATGCAGGGAACGATGTGATCGGGACTCAAAAGCTTAACAAGCTGGATCCGTGGGGTTGTGCATGGTGAAAAGGCAGAGGTTGCGAGCAGCTCTAGTTTCGTGAAGTTGAATGCAAGCGGCATTGGCCGAGGCCCTATATTCAGAACCACTCAAAGTGGCCACGCCGGTCCCATCTGGTTGTCGCTGTCCCAGGGTACCTTGCGAGAGAGGGCTCGCATCCTATTTCAAACCGTAGTCCATGATATATCTGCTTGTGGGAAGTCGTTGCCAGGTTCTCTCTGACTGAACTTATCCCGAAAACCTTTCAGGGTCTCCCAGGTGCTCTGGGTGTCTCTGGGTCACTGTCTCCGTGAGTCTCTGGAATAGGGGGTCCTGCTCTAGAGCCTATCCGATTTTCGCGAAGTTGAACGCAAAACTCACCTTCCGAACGGACCAATCACAGCTGCTCAACGTGTGTTCGGCATGAGTTTTTAGCAGCCTTGGTGTTCAGCGCTTTCTTTGTGCTCTGGCTGGGAGTGGAGGGGTTTGTCTCAGTGCCATTCCCATAATCATTCTGTTGTGACCTAATAGATAACTATATCAGTCTATCGTCGTTGTATCATCCAGAAGTATTGAACTTGCAGTTTCGTCATCATTACGACACCACGGAACTATTCCACGATCTTCATACCAAAATGTTATGGTGGGATCGGTGCGCTCCCCAGACTTGTGATGCTATTGGTAGCCGGGCACCGCTAAGGTGTCGTGTTGGCCGTTGTCTATTGCCCGCTAAAGCTATGGTCTTTGTATTTGCTTACCTCTCTGCCCCGCTTCATCCAGAATGCGGATTTCGGGATACTAAAGCGTATCGCAACCGCCCTGAGCGTCAGCAGTTTGGCTAAAAGAGGCTTAAACTTAGGCGCTGCCAATCCAGATATAAAACAATAAAGGGTGTGCATACCCTACGAACGTCTGGCGGGGGTTAAAACATCCAGTTGCGGTCTTTCGGACTCCCATTGGCGACGTTTACCTCTGGCCACCTCTGCGGATCGGTGATTCACGCAATCAATCTCGTTTGCGCAGCATGCCACGCGCCACATCGCAGCCTAGGATCATATGTGGCTGGTGTGGCGAAAATGAAGAAGTCCAATAAATCGCTTAACAATGCTTGAAGAATCTCGTTCTAGCCACTTGAGATAGCTTGCCGAAGGTTGCTGATTTGCCTTGCTTTGGGTGTGTTCCTCCACAAATTCCCTATCGTTGCCTCACCGCACCCTACTAGGCGATTCCCCGAAATATCCCCCCGATGCCAACAATGGCGGTACAGTGAGGGCACCACCCAAACGAAACGATCAATTGGTCTGACGTTGTGCACGCTCAGAACCACTATTTCTATCATAGGGTTGATGCTCCTCGCCCTCACTTTCGCCACCTCAGTCAGGAGAAAATCGTAGAACCCCTGTCGTATGGCGGACACGATATTATCATGGAATCACTTTTCGAGTGATCGGTAGCCTCATCCGATCGTTAGCAGGGTGTGAATCCGGTGCGCGATAATCATGCGAGACCACCAGAAAGCTCTGTAGGACTTCTAGTGAGATGCATGCTGGCATATCACTCTTGTGATCAATTGGTTTGATGTGTGGATACATGGAATCACACTTTGCATTGTACCCTCCTCGCCCGCTTCGGTTTTCGTTACCTCATCGGCCCTAGCAATGAGTTTCTTTCCCAAGGATCGTCCCGCGCTGCGGAGTTTCTTCATCTTGGCTATTACTCGCACCATTGCTTCTCGCGCAACTCGGTGAGTGCATGCCATGCATGACCAGAATTATACTTCCCACGTCATAGTCGCTGGAGTCCTCATCCTGTCCCAGGATATCGGTTCCCACCGTCAGAGTTCCGAAATGACGAGCAACCCGATCGAGCAGGACAGGACAAAAACTCGCGCCGTGGCTCCAACTGGCTCCTCAAGCTCCCAATCGGCACGGAGCAATTGGTCACGTAGTACAGTCCCGAGTCCGTCAAGAATGTACTCTTCCTGCATATTTATACTGTGTAATGGGGATTAATTGCCGTCAGATACAGTGCATATGTACTACACACATGAAACTAATTATAACGCATTCTCATCAATCTTTGGTTCTCATTGCGGAATGTGTTGTTCGCTGCTGAACCTGACCCATCAAGAATGAGACCGATTTACTCAAGGGATTCGGTCATTGCCAATTGGTCCAGCGGTGGACACGCTGATCCGATCGTTAGAAATAAATTCGATGCACAAAGAGAAATCAGTGGTTCCAAATAGTGAGACATTAGTAAGACACCCCATTTCTCTTCTTTGGGCTATGCACATATTTTCAGCAATATTGCGCTTGCATTGGGTCTGGCTACCTCGTGTCACCATTGTACCGTACAGCCTCCAGTCCTTCCTCACCCTCCTGAAGAAGAGTGCTCTTTCCTGAAGCGCGGACAGAATACTGGTCTCCGCGTAAGCCTGACGATTCTTTTCTGCAGTTCTTGCATTCACGCTGGCCATGCCTACGGGTCAGCACACCCCGTCGCCGGCCGCCACTCACCAACATTGACCCTAATCCAAGGGAAGCGTCTCTTGGCAAATGAGATGGCATTTTCGGTTCACGTTGGCCTATTGGTGAGCACATTTCAACCCACATTCGTCGCGCTCGCTCGTGGAAACAGTATGCATGTGGAATGCCTCTAACTGGCTATATACGCCACTGCGTCTGATGACATTCTGATAGTCTGTACTCCTAATCACTGATCATCAATCTACCAGGGCTGCAATCCCCCTACAGAAGATTGCGCATGTCGGTGTGATGACCCAAAAGGGACAATCTCATGAATCTTCGTTACTGAACGTATACGGATCATTAGAATGCGCTTCGTTGCTCGTCAGAAGGCCCTTGAACCTGATACGGGATCTGAACAAGAGACGTGTGTACGGGGTGGAGACGCTAGCTGACTTTATGCAACACGAAGAGAGGAATTGGATGGAAGTGCTGATTCGGCGCAAAATGTGCGCAGACCCAAATTTCAGCGAGACAGAATTCCCTTTCCAGAACTGTGCAAACGACTCGAGGACGAACGTTCTCCAGGGAATGTCTAGTCTTCATGGAAAAATAATCTGTTAGGCTTCTTCATGTAAGTCTACGCTTGGGTCACTCCTCGGCGCTTCAGCGCTTAGGTCTTCAACCCGAGTGGTTGAATGTCCTCTCGATAGTGCATGAATCAACTCCGAAAACATGTATATAGTTACAGTGCCACTTACAGCAGGCCATTCTGCCTCATCACGTCGTCCGAATGAGTACCAGCTATATCTGGCACAATTTAAGGTTCTGCTGGGAGAAGCGCCATCATGAGTAGTGTATAGTGCACTCTCAACTAACCCGCAGACAAGTAATAACTAGTATAGTGAGGGTCAGCAAGCGCCCATGCACGCTTTTGGAGCTGACTTGCATGAGTTGCAGTGTCAACGTATTTCCCTTTCGAACTTCTTCATTGGTACATCGGAGCGGCTTTGGGTTTCATTTTGGGGGCAGTTGAATCACTTAAAAACAACATGCCCAGCGGTGCCCGCGAGTGCATGAGTCAGCGAAAAATATTCACTGAACAGTGTATAATGTTGCGCTAAATGGGCGACTAACCGGTGGAGGGGAACAACCCACCATGACCATTGTAAACTTCTTTAATGGCGACATGTATGACCTCCAACTGGACATCGCAAGACGGGGAAAAGGACACATAATTCGAGGACCAAGGCGCCAGATGCAGAAGGCAGAATCCAGTGCGATTAATGTTTGAGCCCCAAGACGAGTAAGTAGGTTAAGTGGTCCATCAGTAGTGCTACACATGTATCGTTCGATCCAACGTGCAAACATGCGATATGCGCCAGTGCGGAACTGCATCGAGAGCCTTCTGACAAGAAGCATTCATATGGTGAAATGTCGACGCAAGTTTGGAGGAAGTTGATCTGTTAGGAGAGGGAACACGGTGTTGGGTTCTTGGATGTGATAATAATGCTTCTTGGAAAAACTTCTCTCCGAGGAAGTTTACAGATCGCCCAGTGTATTACTTACGGTTGTTCCAAATAATGCGCAACAACAAAGAACTATAACCAAGACTTAACGGCCTGATAAGGTGGATCATCGTAATAAAAAAGGTGAGAGCCATGAGCAACCTAGAGATGACTACAAGCACAAAGGATGGCCACACGCCGATGGATCAGTGCAGGTTGAACACAAAATTTGAAAGCGGCGTTCGCCGAGGACTGGCATTCAGAATGCCACGCGCGCGGGTAGTAACTGTTCTGTCATTCCTGATTATCTGCGGACCATCAGTTAGAATGAGAGAAAAGCTCGCTTCACATCCAAGATTTTGTTGCTAATGACTTATCTGTTTGTTTGAAGTGGTGGCCCTAGACTCAACGCTAGCAATCCGGCCTAGACTACTTAAACGCAACAGTGCATTCCGAACGGACCAATCGCAGCGGTTCATACTGTATGTGCCATGGGATTCTGAAAGCCTTGATGTCCTGGCTATATAGGCTGAGTCTTCCTACTCCGGCTCGAAACGTTGGGATCATCGAGCCGATTTGTCGAATTAGCCTGATTTGTTCGACAGCGCCCAGCACCCTTCTCGGCCACACGCCTCGAGTCATTCCCGTACACCCTTTCTGTCCAGCATATTAGACGCCTGTACCGACCCCTTGTCGCCCATTGTAATATCAAGCCCAGACCCCAATGTCATCACCGTACTGTTGGGCAACATCACCTACTCACCGTAGTTAATGGTAGATCAACCAGAGCTACATTGCGCGCCTTCGGCCGAGGATGGGTTTCGCTCTTACGCTGTCGACGTCTGAATCCTGCCAACAAACTTGAGAGTTAGGGTCGCGCACCTCGAAGTAGGCATTTGCGTCTACTTACCCCTTCAGCTGACGTTATGCGATTGATGTACATTAACACGAACCTTTGAGTCCTTCGAGCATACCAGTGCATGACGATACGCGCTGGAATTCGCTAGGCATTAACACGCAACGAAATCTTGGCTAAAAAGAGGTCGAGAACTTGACGGTATCAATCCAAATACCAAACGGTGGAGGAAATACATACCTTGTAAATGTTTTCGTCGCTCCTGTCTAATTTCTTCTATCCAACATCACATCTTTGGGTTCATGAATTGCCACTCGGCTTGACTATACATGGGAGACCTTACAAGCCAGACACCGCGTGCGCGCTCCTGCTCTGCTGCTGATCTGAAATATAGTACTGGGTGTTAGGAGGAAATCAGTCGAGTGAAGACGTTTTGACAAGGTGAATCGTGCTTGTTCTTGCTCAGCTCATTTACTTCACGGACTTGGAACGCCCAGTCCTGATTTTCTGGATGTCCTGTGGCAAGAAACAACCCATTCCGGGGTTCGTGATCTGTACAAATAAATCCATTCAAGCGGCATGCCACACGCCACACGCCAGCCCAGGATCGTGTGAACAGCGCCAGTTGGTGCGGCAGAAAAGAAATTGTACGATGAGATTCGAAGGATGTTGACCCAGCCATTGTAGTTAGCTCGCCGAAGGATGCTTCACCTGGGTCGCTTCGAGATGGTAGCACAATAGCATTTGCATCCGAGGGCTCAACAACTTTGCTCACCGTGCTCGTGTTGAGGATTCCTTGCTGTTGACTTCCTGAGCATTCCCCTTCCCTAAAACATCCCTCTTGATGGCGGCCACCGCACTCCAGTGAGTCACACGCGTTCAAATACGATGATCAACGTGGTTGACGTGTGGACATTAGAATCACACTTTGCGTTGTGGGGTTCACCCTACTTACTTTCATCTCCGGTGCCTCCGCGGCACTGTGGTGGACTATAAGCTTCTCAGGGAAGCATCGTCCCGCTCTGCGGGGTTTGCTGATTCTTGTTGTACTACTCGTACCATTACACCTGGCACAAATTGGTGAGTTCCATGACCAGGATCACACCAGCCGATATACATTTGTTCCCACATAGTCACTGGGACCCTTCTGATTATCCAACATATCATCATGCTGTTGTACCAGGATATTGAGGCTCTGGTCATTGCCTCGACCTATGTTCCGGGGCGTTTATTCAACGAAGTGACGCTGCAAAGTTGCGTTATCTTACTCTCTGTTCCGACGATCAGCGCTCTCCACTGTGAGTAGTATAATTCTGACAATTGGCTCTCTTCCCGCTCTGATTGTGCTTGCCTTCAGTATTCCTGGGCTTTAGGCAAGGTCTTCGCCATTCCATCACCCACCCAAGTGTCTAACGTCATCTATGGTCAGAGCCTTACGGTCTACCTGTTCATGCTTTAGCTGCCGCCGTTTGACTCGTCCAGCTGTGTTATTTTGTTGGATCTTCACAATTTTCCTCTGTGCAGCTGAGTGCGGTGAGCGCTATTGTGTCTCACACGTTTCCTTCATTTAACATCTTCAACAGCACTGTCTATTTACGGAGTAATTTTAGCGAAGCAGGGGCCGTAAGTTCTTGCTGCTCTTTGCACATCGTGTCGATCTCATACTACAGTTTCCGTTCCATCCCGTCAGTTCACACAATCTCCGACGAAATCTCATAATGGCGACAGCCATGTTCACTGACACCGTCTGCCTGCTCATGGACTTCGCTACCACTTTCATCCTCCTCTGGCATGTTGATCAACGGCGAATCCTTAGCAGAGGGCTGCGACGATCATCGTGTGATGACGCGTTGAAGCAAACATTGTTCAAATGGAGGCAGCGTTGTGTACGTAAAGGCTCATACTTGTCAAACGCCACACTGTATTAAATAAACTCTCAAGATTCTTGGTTTCCTCCTCGTTGTCCCAATACAACTCCCAAGAGGATTTCTCCTCCTCTTTTGGGTGAGAGACACCATCCGACAAGAGCTCGCAGACCAGCTGATTTTCATCCCTTACCATTAGCCCAATCCACTTGTCATGGATTTGATGTCGGTTTTGTCGGGACCAGTTAGTTTTCCTTTATGTTCAACATTTATACATGCGGAAATCTGATGTTGTCTGTGCAGATACATTATTTATCATTTCTACTATTGGTTCTCCGCATCACGTCACGGGGCAGTCCCGACGAGGACATAGCCCTCAGTCCTATATTGCCACAGAGTGGGGATGTGGATGCCCCCGTCCAAGATCCTACCACTGGAGTGGCAACGACTGACTTGGGCGCCCAGAATGGAGAAACTCTCGCAGCAGGGTCCCAAGCACCTGAGAATCAGTTCGGTAAGCCTAGTGTCACCAAACCCCGCACTCATGGTCTCATCACCCATTCATCCCACTGCCAGACTTCCGAACCAGACGGTAACTCTCCAGAAGCAGGCAAGAACCCAGCGCATGTGCAGCCGGCGATGGCTCGAACCAGCTCCTCGAGCCCCAATCGGCACGGAGCAGGGCAGTGGACTAATGAGCCACCACTCAGCACAGTTCCAAGTTCGTCAAGGGGGTATAGCGCGCTGCACTCTTCCTGCATATTCATATTTATACCGTGGAAGGGGTATTATCCATCAACTATGCCCATAAACTTCCTACTGCGCCGTTTTCGCGGCATACATTTGTTTATCCACTCCCATTGTCTCGTAGTCTCACACACGAAACTAATATTTAGTTCTCATCCCTTTGATTCCTGTTTCGAAATGTCTTGTTCACTGCTGAACATCCCTGAGATCGGGTGCAGAACTTACATGATCGATGAAACCCGGAACTGCCACACACGCCTGCGCGGCGGGGGAAATTCGCCAACAGTCCGCCTCGCAAATGTCATCAAGGGATTTAGTGACCGCCAATTGATAGGATATCAGCAAGCCAGCGGTTGACACGAGGTGGATTGATTGCGATCGGCGTCTCATCCGATCGTTGGAAGTAAATTCAATGCAGCAGCACAGCAATCATGTGAAGCTACAAGATCGACCATTGACCAAATGGTTCCGAAAAGTGAGATGGCAGTAGTGACCTGTTCCTCTTCTTTGCTCAGTTGCACGCCACCCAATACGGACTTGAACCGCTTGCGCCACCAATGGTCTGTTACCTCGTAGCACCCATTGCTCCATATGGCTTCAAGTGCTTCCTTGCCTGCAGACGCTAGTGTTTCCACGACATGCAGACGGGATTGCTGACCTCCGTGACCTCCGCCGTGGGGGTGGTTCTTGCAGCCATTGCCTATGTATGTAGTGTTGCTGCTCACTCTACATCATCAGCATTAGACCCGGATTCACACTTTAGTAGAGGCTGGGATCCTGCCTGCGGATTCACTGGACTCAACGCAACACCCACGTGCTAATCGCAGCGGCCCATAAATACTGGTGTATGCGGCATAAAAGTTCATACCCTGGCTATGTAGGGCTGCGTCTCAGCACTTTGGTCCGAAACGTCAGTTCGGTCAATTTGTTGAATTAGCCCGATGATCCGACAATTCTCAGCCACACTTCCCCCCTCGAGTCGTTCCCGTAAACACTTTCAATACAGCCTATCAGACATCTGTACGGCATCTGTCGTCCATCGTAGGAACTGGAAATATTGAAGTCCATACTGCGATGTTATCGCTATACCGTCGCGCTATATCACTACTCACTCTGACTGTGATGATAAATTAATCAGGACTACATTGCGCGCTTTCGGCAAGAGATGGGATGCCCTCTGTAATGCTACTAGTATCGACGTCTGAATCCTGCCAACAGATTGAGGGTTAGCAGCATCTGCTCGTGGGTCGCTCGTTGAAGTAACTCTTGGGGCTGTTTACCTCTCTGGCGTTGTCCGAAATGTTCATTATGCTCATTCCAACATGCCAACGTGGGCCTTGACTGCCTAGAACATACCAGTGTGAAGCGATACAGGCTAGAATGCATGGGTGTCGACACGAAATCTTGGCTAAAGAGGCTGAAACTCGACGCTACCAATCCAAATAATGGAGGAAATGGATACCTTGCGAATGTTTTCATCCGAGTCGCTCCTGTCCAATTTTTTTCTATCCAACATCTGGGTCCCTGAGTGCCGCTCACTTTGACTATCCATGGGAGACCTACCGGCCGGATATCGCGTGTGCGCTCCCAAGCTCTGCTACTGAATTCGGGATATCATTCTATCATCCAGACGCGACCCAAGTCAAGCATCCTTCGGTGAGCTAACTATAGTGGCTAGGTCGACATCCTTGGAATTTTATTACATCACGCAATCCCCTGTTTGTCACACCAACCAGCGCTGCTCACACGATCCTGGGCTGTGGTGTAGCGTGTGGCGCGTGGCGCGTGGCATGCCGGGTTGTTTCTTCCACAGGACATCCGAAAAATCAGGACTGGGCGTTAAGTAAATGAGTTGCGAGAGAATAGGTGCGATTCACTTTGCCAAAACAAACGTCTTTACTCGTCGGATTTCCTCCCTTGCATCTGAGGGCTCAAAACTTTGCTCACCGTGTTCGTCTTGAGGATCCCTTATTGCTGACTTCCTGAGTGTTCCTCCCCCTGCAATACTCTCGATGGCGATGACGGCGGCATTCATTTATCATTTCCCATTTTGTGGTCTCACGCATGAAACCAATCTTCTCGCTTGTTTCTAACTCCTATTAATGCGAAATGCGTTGTTCGCTGCTGACCATGAATGGGACCTGATGTGGAGCTCACACTATTGATGAGGCGGGCCCTACCACGGATCCGGATCGATCGCTGCGCAAATGTTTGTCTGTCAACATGATACGGAGAAATTATTTTTAATGGCCATTCCCTAACAGTTGTCGTCCAGATTAATGCTGGAAGGATTCAGTCGCCGTCAATTGGCGACATATCGCCCCCCCCCATGAATCCGTTCTCGCGAACTGCGCGATAAACGCGCTGGTTTACACCATTAATGATTTCACGAGCAGCCTGAAGATCACAAGTGGAAAAAATCGACCCGCTTGTTTCAGCCCTAGGCAGGATCCCATGCAGCCTCTACTCAAGTAGATTTCAGCCCCTGCCTCGCGGCATCCGTTAATGCTCCGTCTAGCCTCAAGTGTTAGAGGAAGTAGAGGGGCTTTTTCTGACGAGATTCTTGCCTTTGGGTCATAAGCTTTGTTATTCGGCCGCGGGAGTCGCAGCTAGCTATCCCCTGGGAAGGAATGCTTACGGCTCACGTCAGCTTGTTGGTTGTCCCACATGTCTGCTGAAACAATGCGCTTTTGAAGCGAATAGGAACATGCAGTACGCGCTTTCTCTTGATAATCTGCATCCTCAATGGCTGTAACCCCATTGCAATATATATATTAACAATGTCGCCTGCAGTACCATATTCCACTCCAATCTGACCGCTTTTCTGTCGTGTATGGAGACAAGGCGTGGATGTCGTGAATACTCACTGGCGCCCGGAAGAGGTGAATAATAATCATTCTCAGAAGAGTTGCTAAAGATGCAACATCACAGGACGTGGAGTTAAACATCTCCGGGAATGGCGTCGATATCGACATTTATCGCTCCGCCAATTCCAGGAAAGAGATCCGACTCTTGCCTATCACCATCGTCAAGATCCATCCGATCTGGTGAGATGCTTCGACTTCGGGAACGATAACTTGAGCCAGATCTTGAAGGGCTTCTTGAAACATATCTGTCTTCCCCATTCGCGTCCGCGTCCGACGGAGGTGTCCCGCTTCTACTTCGACTCCTACTCCTACCCCTACTTAGGCTACGACTAGTGCTACGGCTCCCGCTGCGACTGTCACTTCGACTCCTGCTACGTCTTTGCTCAAGCTTTCTTTCGTTTCCTTCCATGGCTTCCATCAGTGAACTTGTTCTCGGAGCTAAACCTTCCGTCTCTTCCAGGACATTTCGTTTGGGGATTCGCGGTAATATGGTATCGCAAACTCGTTCTTCCGTGAGTAGCTGATCAATAAACTCATCCATATAAGTAAGCACGTAACCGCCTGAAGTTGTGGAAACAATCGCGTCAAAACATGGGGGAGGGCTCCGACGACAGGACTCACTCATGTTCCTCAGACGCAACTTTCGATAATCCTTTAGCAGGGGTTCGAGGAGTTCATGCACGTCAACAGGGCGAAATGTCATTCGTATATACATTACTGCCAACGCTCTCAGATATCTGTTTCAAGCACAAAATAAAATCAGTCATTACAATTGCACAACTGATACAGTTGCAAAGCACCCACTTGAACTCATCCACTAAAAGATACTCGACAAGAATTTCCTTCTCAGGTTGTATTTGAAGAAGTTTTAACAGCAGACATATAAACTGCGTGGGTCTTTGATTTCCATATACGCCGCCAATGCAGTTGAGCTCGATGGCCTTGTCGATGAGTGATTCAGCTGGTGGGATCCTATCAGACAGCTATACTATGTAGGCCCCTACAATTCCCACCTGTCAAAGCGAAGCAATGTTCCTTCCAATAGGTCGACTCATATATACGAGAACGTATCACTTTTTCTATCAGGAACTACTGCGAGTAGACTATCAGCGACAAAGTTCATTTAGTTTTCATTTAGATTGACCTGAGGATTGGCCCCGTGGATTTGAGTCGCCCCTCGTACGGTTGTATTTGCCATTTGGACAGTGCGCGACAGGCAAGATTCTGGAGTGGAAGAACGGGCCGGCTAATTCCGTAATCACGCAGGAATACTTACGTAATGGTCTGGAGCTCACACCAATGGGGGGAGGGGTTCAGTGGAAAGGAAATCTTTAGGCACCATGCATGCCAAAGTTTGAATCGGGGCGTCAGTATGTTAGTTCAAGACAAGGCTGTTCTAATCATTCCACGGTTTTCAAGAACTCAATCACAACGTCCAGCATTCTCTCGCTTGCTTCTGGGTCATCGACCGTATGGTTCGCGCCTTCAATAACAGTACTAAGCTTGTCAATCGTCCCCTCGCTTGCTCGAATCCATCGCTCTAACAGCTTTTCTTTTGCTTCCCGAGATGCAAGCGTTGGTGGATATGACTCATCTGAGTTGCAGAGTAAGAGTAGCATGGGCTTTTGGGAGAGTTTGAAGGCCAATTCTTCGGATGGAATTCCCTCCGAGAAGAAATCGTCATCTCCTCTGAGAAGAAAGAAAGGAATAAGTAGTTGTCCCCTTGAGTGGTTTTGCAGCCATATATCTTACCTTGGGTGAAACAAACTTGCGAACCGGTAAGCAGTATACGGCGTCTCGCCAGATCCAAGCGCATTCGCGAGAGACAATGACGCCTCGCGTGGCATCCATTCGTCTTTCGTCACTGAGGTATCAGTGATGCGCCTAGCCTCTTCAGCCCATCTATGAATTTCCGGAGAAGCGGCATGGTTGACGAAATCGTAATCCGAAACGGGTGCTTGGAGGATGGCTGCATCTACGCTCACTCGTGAGCCTAGATGAACCGTAAGGTACCACATGGCATCTTGGCACCTATGAATGTCGTCAATAGTGCGTCCCGATTGTTACCAACGACCTATTGATTACCCTGTAGAATGCCCGAAGAGTATGATTTTCTCCTTGCCCCTCTTTGTCTTGAGATATTCCACAGCATCTTCAATGTCATCAGCATCGTCTTCCAGTGTATGCATTCCGAACTGGTAATATGAGCTCTGTAGTGTGATCTGAGCGAGAGACCAGCCATTCGCCTCCAGTCTCTTCGATAAAGCGGGAACATATCCCACAGTTGCCAACCCATCTGTCAGACCGCCTTTGAATGACGCAGAGGTTCACTTTTTCAATTAATTCTGCACTGATCTGTGGGCTTTACCGATAAAGATCACGACGGATTTTGACGACAGATCGCCAGACTCGAATAGCGCGAGTTTGCTCTCTGAATATTTGACGAGCGTACCAGCAAGGGGTTCGGACATTCCGACTGATGCACTGAACGCGTCCCACGCCTGATTGTGTCGTGCAATATACGTGTCTCCTCACGAAACGGACGAAACTGGAAATGATCAACAAATTGGCTAAACTGAGCAACCTTGTCTCGTGATAACGGGCATTGGATTGTCCACACGCATTTTGAAACAATGAGAAAGCTCACTAATTCTGAGAAAACCCTAATACTATTACCTTATTCCCCACTGTCGTAACAACACTGGGAACAGGAACCAGCACCACATCAACCCACTGGGGAACAACCAGATCGTGATGCTGATCAAACCACTTGTATTTCTACTAAGGACTACGCGAGTCCCCTTTGTGTCACCCTAAAGCAACTCACTAGGTCCAAGTTCAACAGATCCCCAGCGACGAGCTCCAAAAGGAAAGATTCAAGCGCCACTTGTAGATCCCGTGATGTGGCTCACGCATAACAATCGGCAGAATCCGAGGTTCGGACTTTTCGGAAACTGAATGGTGATTACCCCGTATTTTGTTTCCTCATTCTGACTCGACCTGTTTCTTTAAAACTTCATCGCAGTGCCAACCCCATAGCTCTTAGGTGCACTTTGAACAATGCTGAGGCCTGGTTTCGCTCGATCAGCCACTCTCGCTAGGAATCGGACAAGTGCCGAACTCACTGGTTCAAAACGTTTCATCTCTCGGACGATAAAACCATCAGCTGCTGCTGTTCCTAATATGTACGTTGGCTAAGCGAGTTTGCTACCTAGCTATCTCATTGATGAGCATATATCCTCAGCCGTCCTACACCAGCACCAAGTTTTAACCCAGCACCACCATCACAAAATGCTCCGTCGCCCTTGGCACCTGCACAACAACCAACCCTTGACCATTCCTTCGTCGGTCTGTCGGGGGGCGAAATATTCCATGAAATGATGCGCCGGCATGGTGTCAAGCAAGTCTTTGGATATCCTGGAGGGGCCATTCTCCCCGTTTTCGATGCCATTTACAACTCGAAGCATTTCCATTTCGTGTTGCCAAGACACGAACAAGGTGCCGGGCATATGGCAGAAGGTTATGCTCGCGTTTCGGGGAAGCCGGGAGTTGTGCTGGTGACCTCTGGCCCAGGTGCCACAAATGTTGTCACCCCAATGCAGGACGCCTTGAGTGATGGTGTTCCTCTCGTCGTTTTCTGCGGCCAAGTAGCAACGTCGGCTATTGGCTCTGATGCTTTCCAGGAGGCAGATGTGGTCGGTATCTCAAGAAGTTGCACAAAGTGGAACGTGATGGTTAAAGACATTTCGGAACTTCCACGACGTATTAATGAAGCTTTTAAAATTGCCGTTTCGGGCAGACCTGGCCCTGTCCTAGTTGATTTGCCGAAGGATGTCACGGCTGGCATCCTACGCACGCCTCTTCCTTTCAAATCCACTACTCCTGGCGCTCACCTCGGCCTCCCCGAAAACCCCGTCGTCTCGCACACGACCGATCACGAGTTAATCAAGCAAGCAGCCGATCTCATTAACCAGGCACAACGCCCTCTCGTTTATGCAGGGAATGGTATTCTCTCGTCACCACAGGGACCTGAGCTTCTGCGGCAGCTTGCTCAGGAGGGAAATATTCCCGTTACTACCACTCTACAAGGGATCGGAGCCTTCGACGAACTCGATGATAAAAGTTTGCATATGCTAGGTATGCACGGCAGTGCATATGCCAATTTGGCGATGCAGGATGCCGATGTCATTATCGCCCTTGGTGCACGCTTCGATGATCGTGTGACAGGGAAAATCAGCAGTAAGTCCGCTCGGCCGAGCCACAGGAATGTGCCGCTCACAGTCTCCATTTCCACCTTGTTGCTCTAGCCTTCGCGCCAAAAGCGCGTGCCGCAGCTTTAGCTGGGAAAGGTGGCATCATCCACTTCGAAATCATGCCCAAAAATGTCAACAAAGTTGTTGACGCCCAGATCCCTATCCTTGGAGATGTTGTTTCAAATCTCACACACCTCGTTCCTTTGATCCGTCCTTCGCCGCGTACGGCGTGGTTTAATGACATTCGTGAATGGAAGGCCAAATACCCCTTTACCTATACCCCATCGAAGCCTGGAGCACGTCTGAAACCCCAAGAGGTTATCGAGGAAATGGACAGACAAACGACGACGTACAAGGAGGACGTCGTCATTTCTACTGGTGTTGGGCAGCATCAGATGTGGGCCGCACAACACTTCCGATGGCGGTACCCTCGTTCGATGGTGACAAGTGGTGGTTTGGGTACTATGGGCTTCGGGCTACCGTCTGCAATTGGAGCCAAGGTCGCCGCTCCGAATAAGACTGTCATCGATGTTGATGGGGATGCTTCATTCAGTATGACAGCGATGGAGCTGGCCACCGCTTCGCAATACAACATTGGAGTCAAGGTTCTCGTTCTGAACAATGAGTTCCAGGGAATGGTCGTGCAATGGCAAGGTGCGCATGCTTTCCTGAAAAAAAAATCTATGTCTTGGCTTAATGATTTCGTCATTGCTCAGATTTGTTCTACGACGCACGTTACTCACACACCCAGATGATAAACCCCGACTTTGTGCTACTTGCAAAGGCGATGGGCGTGCACGCCATACGGTGTTCGAAGAAGGAAGATTTACCGAAAGCCATGGCCGAATTTCTCTCATACGATGGTTCGAGGCCCATCTTGCTAGAGTGCGAAGTTGAGCCGAGTGAACATGTTTTCCCAATGGTATGGCGACCAATCACTTGCTTGTTGGCTGACTCGGTTGATTTAATCTCTTTTTGAAATAGGTCCCTGCCGGCAAGGCACTACATGAACAACTCCTGCATCCGGATTTAGCTGGCGACAAGCCGGCCTCACACTGAGTTTCTATTTTTTATGTTATACCATTTCCCTTTGCTGCACCTATTATTCATCTTTCGTTCTTTCGTTGACTTTACGCTTATATGTATATGTACCTAGTTAGATGCCTAAAAGCGTCCAGTTGAGGCGCAAGTTGAATGGATTCAAGGGAAATACACCACTCGAGATCTGTCCAATGACATGAAAGTGGGAAGACAAGGGGTGGTTGTGAAAAGCAGGAGCGAAATAAATAAATAAGTGGCCGCCTGAGAGGTCTGCATGAAACACACATAGTGGATTCCCCAATTGGAGGTGTTGCCTACGTGGATGTGTCGCAGGCACGACGTTAGGAGCTCATCCTGCCGTGCGATTATGGCCCTGGCACGTGGTGCCGGGAGGAACGAATCATTGTGTTGAGGCATTTTTGGTGCACTAGGGGTGCTAGGAGGAACTATTTGGCTTCTAATGATGATCAAGTCGAGCACAATCGCGTGCTGCGTGCGCAGTAGTGTTCTATTTAGCAATGCAGTGACACATTCGGACGTCTGAAAAAAGACGTCACTGCCGGACCGACCCCATCCCTAGGAAACCACCGTTTCCAACCCAGCCAGATCCAAGTGCCAACTGAGAAAAGAGTGAGTTGTTGAATGTTGCTAACCGTCACGTCGGAAGAGTAATGCTACCCTTAAAAAAGAAACGGTACTGTTCAACATAGTTCTTCCCCCTGCGAGGATAGCTCAGAGGGCTTTTTTCCACCCTGGTGCACCCCACCATGCCAGAATTGACGATTTTCGATGATGCCGTGTGAAATGCGTACCACTAGGGTGCCAGTTCTCTGAGAACAAGGAGGTGATTTTAGTCTTTCGTCTCGAGAAGTATTTGAAGAAGCTAGTAGTTCTCTTTGGGCAGGTATGCCTGCCTCTCCTAAATCGTTTGGTTGGGATGGGCTTTTTCGGGCCCTGTGAACATAAAATTTTCCCGGGGTGTCCCCTTGGAATGCGAGAGGCGGAAATTTCAGGCGGCGGAGCTAAGGATGTGTGATAGTTCGTAAACACCTGCTTTGCAATAGGCTAAGAGCAGGACCAAATGGTTGCCCTGGCAAAGAGGATACCAATATGGCGAAACCCAGCTAGGCAGGATTTCCTTGGGTTGGAGTGCTGTGAGGGCTAGGGCTGAGGCTACATGCATTTGAGTTACAGGAAACCCACCGATGCCCAGCTGCGCAACTTCTTAACCAGTAAACTGACGCAACAAGGGTCGCGCACCCTTCCATGCATTGGCCTTATATATTATTACGAAGTCATAGAGGCTGGAGTCCTGCCTACATTGGCCTCAAGCTGCTGTGGCATTTCCAACGTTGACTGCACTGCCACACGATCACGAGGGGGAAAACTTTTCGTTGCCATCAGCTGCCCAACTAGCCAACTGGCCAACTGGACATACATTGGGCATCGACGCTGCCTTCATGACCAGTTAGTTGGCTTACTACAACGGATTTCCAGTAAGCCGGGGGGTCCGCATGATTGAGTTTCGGCTGAGCACGGGTCTGCTCTTGCCGTGTCCGTGTGCACCCATGCGTCAGGGTAAACAAGCACCGCTTTATTGATTACCTTGGCTCCCAAATGGCACTCTTAGCTCGGGAGCTTCATTCTTGGGCTCAACCTTTATCCATTTTATTCATTGGTTTCTCCTTCTCGGTGTCGTCTGTAAGCTCGAACGTTCTTCCAATTTGGGTCGAATGATCGTTTGGCCTTGGGAGAGTTCATTTTCGCTGGAGAGCAAGAAGGTACGGTCTGGCAACTTGTGTGCCTTCCTTCCAACGTTTGGCACTGTTGGAGGGTTTTGAATCAAGTGGTGTCTGTGTGTGCATGCACCTCGGCGTCGACTACCTTGTTCGGCACCACGCAAAATTTTATGCTCGGAATTCTCTGATCGGCCAACTTATGGGAGGTGAAGTCGTCTAATCACTCAATCACTCAAACTTGGGGCTCGTTCAGTGTCAATATTAACGTGAAGTTTCACTGTTCGCTTTGTTGCGGTTTTCCGCGGCGACCTGCTCCTTTCCCTCAGGCTAACTCGGCGGTCTGACCTTTTCCCCCTAACCATAGCCTTTTCCAACGGCAAACTTGCTAAGCTTATTCAACGGCTTGACTTTGTTTTATTCACCTGGTATGAGTCCGATTTACGGGGACCGCCCTTAATGGCTGACGACACCACCATTGTTTACGCACGGTGGATGATTCCGTTCCTTGGTACTGTCCGCTTATTGGCGTCCCCCTTTCTTAGCTCGGGGGGTGGTGTTTGTGTCTATAGTGTCCACTTCGGACTTCTGAACGCCGGTGTGTCCCCTTCCGTCCGTGCGAGACCGCTCTTCGCTTGCCAAGCCGGACTTTTGTTTCATTGGTCCCGCAACTGTTGGCGTGCATAGTTAGTGATTTGTCCCAAACTACATTATCCTTTGTATCCTGGGGTTCGTATCTCCAGGGTTGAGCTCTTGATCCTCTGAATAAGTGATCCGTTTCACACGGAACGCTTTCTTTCCCGTAATATTATTCACGGACGTCACTGTGTGAAATTGTCCTCAGCAGGAACAGTGCACTACCGACTCATATTATACGAGTGACTCGGGCTAGCCTTTGGATGGATGAGTCGTAAGGATGGTCAGGATACTCCTGGACAGAAACGCCTTCGATCTGTCTGTAAGGTGTTAATAGGTAAGTTGACAATCTCAGGGACAAATCTCCCAGATCGTCGGCGGAAAATTCCGTCTCAAGCTCTATGCGAAGAATCTAATTCGAGTATGGCAACCGTGCCGCGGCTATCAGGAGGCTATTCACGATGGTACGACAAAGATCGGACAGTTAATTCTTCACCAAGTTTCCTACTAACCGCAAAAGCCAATGACACGGTGGAGCACCTCGGCAGTTTCATGTCGGGTAGTTTGTTTTTTCAGTGATAATGTAACGAGTGGAGACGCAATTTAAAGGAAGTATTTGTCTGGGATTTCTTTCCCCGCCATACAAGTCAAGATCAGAGTGATCTCCCGTTTGGACGCGCGCTCTTGTTTCTGTTTACTGGTAACCTTGGGCTGGGTACGCGTGGTTGCTCGGCCCGTGTTTTCCGGTGAATACGACATAGCAGATGTGACAAGGCAGAGAGAATACTTAGAGTTGCCAAAGTCAAATGGAGTCTTGACTTAGGAGGAATTAGCCTTCACCCAGCGGTGGGGTAGAAATCGCCAGGCACCAAGGCCCATCTTGGTCATTTCGTATATTTTGAGTTAGGAAATAGATTATAACCAGTCGTGCATCCCGTCACTTCGCCTTGCCGCATGCTCGGGAGCGGGAAGGGCCGGCAGGCCCCGGTCGTGCAAGCGCATCTCCCGGATCCGCATTGCAGCGCATTCATGCCATCAGGTCGTACTATCGTAGTGTTCCTGGCATTCTCAAATATCTTTACGACATACGTGCAGCCTGAGGATGCGCTTTGATCGGGCTTCTCGATGGCTTCCGTGATTACGTGCTGCGGAAATTGGCTGGTCTCGGAACTGTATCCTGATCCCCCGGCGCCTGCATCCTGTCGGAATGATTTGCTCTGCTTTTCCTGTCCGTTTTGAATCAAGCGATAAGACTGTGGACGACTTCAGGGGTGCATTGAATAGAGGTTTCCCTTTTTTTTACGCCGTCCACACATGACTCTCATGCAACGGAGAGGGATATGAACTTCTTGGACTTTATGTAACGAGTTGATGAAGTGACTACATAAGGTAACCATGTCGCTACTATGTGCCGCTCATCATATTGTGCTGTCTTTAAACCAAACCATCTATGCTTCGGCCCGCAGCCGGTTTTCACCAAGTTCCACTAGATCGGACAGTTTGGATCTGTCAAAACCGCCGGAGATTGCCTGAACGCCATAGAATGTTGAGCATAATCGAAAAATGATTTTGGACATTCAGGATGTATGTACATGAAGTTTCCTGAAAAGCATGGAAGGTGAATCTCTGATTTTTACGTGGTTACGGATGATGAGCTACATGGCCATGGCGAATAGGGGGGTTGAAAGGTATAAAAGCGACTCTCCTGGCTCTGTAGCTGGACAAGACGCAAACACCCATTCCATGATGGACGTTGAGGGGTAGGCGACGCTTCCTCGATCGACTGTTACCGTTCTAAACTATCTTTTTCCATTTGACATCCCCTGCACTCTGACACTGCAGTTTCCGCAAAGCAGGATATGAAGCCATTGACAACATTTGTGACTATTACGGATCCCTCGAATCACGACCCGTAGTAGCCCAGGTTGAGCCAGGGTACCTCGTCAACGCTCTACCTCATCAAGCTCCTGAATTTGGGGAGGATATCAAAGAAATTTCAGACGATTTTCAGAAGCTTGTCGTTCCAGGGCTTACCCATTGGAAACACCCCGAGTTCTTTGCTTATGTGAGTGACGTTCGAATTCATATCGGATTCCGCTATATATTATGTTTTCCAGTTCCCTTGCGGTAATACGTTTCCCGGAATCATCGCTGACTTGTACTCAAGCTCTGTCTCGAACCCTTGCTTCAACGTACGTTCGGATGTAGCACACTTTCAACGAGCTCACTAATGTAACCGCTTCACACCCCCCCTCATCTACCACCCATCAGTGGGTCAGTTCCCCAGCATGCACGGAGCTTGAACAAGTCGTGATGGACTGGGCCGCCAACCTCCTCGGACTCTCGTCTGCATTCTTCAACACCCCTCCAGCTGTACTCCCATCATCTACTCACTCTTCTCCATCCTCTTCACCAGGTCCCGAAGGTAGGAGGCCCACTAGACGAGGAGGGGGGACAATTCAGAACACCGCCTCTGAGAGCGTTCTTGTAGCGATCATCGCTGCCCGCGAGCGATTCCTTTCTGCCCACCCTGATGTCCCCTCCGAAGACCTTCTCGTCTACCTAAGCACCCAAACGCACAGTTTAGGCGTGAAGGGAGCAAAGATCCTAGGCCTGAACTATCGTTTGATCAACGTGGATGCCCGCAGTGCGTGGGGCGTTAGAGGGGAAATGTTTAGAATGGCGTATGAAGAGGATCAGAGAAAGGGCAAATGGCCTTTTATCTTCAGTAAGTTCTAGTAGACGTTGGCTGTAAGGACACAATGCCGATTCGTGCTTTAGTTGGAACGATAGGAACGACGTCCTCTGGAGCTAACGACCACATTGAAGAGATAGGTCCTATCAGTAAGTTCTGACTCCGTTTCACGCTTGAGAACCTAAACAAATGGACCTGAGCAAATTAGTCTCCGAACTCGACAATGTCTGGTTACACATTGATGCAGCATGGGCTGGGGTCTCCTTCGCCTGTCCCGAATTCCGTCGCGCTGGGAAGCTCGACGCCATCAACGCCTATGCCGATTCGTTCTGCACAAATTTCCACAAATGGGGATTGGTTAACATTGTACGTGCTTAGATACATTCTCTTTCCATCACGATCGCATGTGATGTTAAAACCAACCCGGCTCAATCACTGCCTGATGGTTTACAGGAATGCTCCGCTTTCTGGGTCCGTGATCGCAACGCCCTAATATCCGCCCTGGACATAACACCTTCATTCCTTCGTACCAAACAATATGATGACGGTACTGTTGTCGATTACCGCAATTGGCAGCTCTCTCTTGGGCGTCGTTTCCGATCTATCAAACTCTGGTTTGTACTTAGGAACTACGGCGTTCAGGGTTTCAGAAAGCACATTCGCAAAGGGGTCAGGCTTGCGGAGTTCTTTGCAGACAGTTTAATGTCGAGGAACCCAGAGACCCGGATATTCGAATTGGTGACGCCCAGGGCATTGGGTTTGGTTGTCTTCAGACTTGTTGTACCATCCCCTTCCACGCGTTCAGACGAGTCGGAACAGCAATCGAACGCTCCGACACCTGCTACGAGCGAACCTCCAAGCATAGAAACTCTTAACTCGCTCAATCTGGCGCTTCACCAATATCTTACCCATCCTCCCAACTCAGATTCCGCCAATGCCCTCTTCCTCACTCGTACCGAGCTTAACGGAGTTGTTTGTATGAGAATGGCTATTGGAGCTGAAGCGACTACCGAGGCGCATATTACGAAAGCGCTTGGGATTTTGGTCAGAGTTGGCAGGAAGATTTTGACGGATGCGGGTCACATTGTGACAAGGGACTGATCGGCTGGCTGCTTTGAAGCGAATTTATCAACGCTCTCTCGATCGATTAATTTAGTGAACCTCATTAATTAATGCATACCTTATTTTTCCTACACTAATCACCAGCTACATGCTGAGGGACCACACATAGTTTTTGGGTACGTTAGGGTACCACTCTGAAAGCCTTGCCCAGTTTTTTTAGATTAAACATAACTCAGTTAACGAATAGACATTTCTGTTATCGCACTTTCGGAGACGCCCTCTATAGCCCTCAAAGAGAGTCTGTATGGAACCAGTGGTACGAAGCGCTGCCACATGAAGGATGTCTGCAAAGGATGACCGAAAACCATGGTCCACTCAGGCTGGAGTTGAGAGGTTTTCTGTGGGCTCCCCTTCAATTTCCGGGCTTGCACCAAGGGTTACAGGTAGGCAGGACTCCAGCCTCTATATATGACTTCGTAATATTATATGGGTGGAGGAGCCGTACGCGTTCGATATGAAAATGCAGTGACGAGGGTGCCGTTCTTTAAACCAGGGAACCGACCAGCATCGTTTTGCAAAGACGATGCCACTTTTCTTGTTATTGCTCGGGCAGAGGACGGCATCTAGATTCCAAGACATCGCAATATTCGGATTCCAAAGACCGAAATCGGGACAGCTACCAGAAAGTAGGGAAATCATATATGCCATAGTGAACAAGGAGTAGGCAGGTCGTGTTCATCTGCACGATGTACAATTTCAATTTCCCGCATGCCATCCCAATTCCTACTTCCGGTTCAGCTGATTTAGCCTGTATCACGTTTACATCCCAACGGCGCCCACGTTGCGCATGGCCACATCTGTGGTAGTTCTGTGACATGTATTAGGCAGGACTCCAGCCTCTATGACATCGTATTGTTTGTTTATTTCTGGATATTACATAATTCAGCTGCAAACTTTCAGGGGTCTCGAGAAAAATACACGCAAATAAAGTAGGAATAAGAAAGTAAGTCCAATCGATCCGGGTGCACTCGTCCGTCCGAATGAAGCCCAAACCATATTCCCCTGGTGAGTCGTCACTTACAGATGTGCACATGCAGAGCCGTGGACGCCACGCATCAGCAAGGCGGCAGTACTACAGTCCTTCCAATTTCCGATTTCTGTCACCAATCACATCTCTTTCGCGGCTACAAAGCATAAGGTGGGTCAAACAAGGATGAGGCGGCCCGCAAGCAACCCAACAACAACCCATTGACAGGAGAACGTAAGGACATGTACAAAGGGGTAATACAAATGCGTCAGAAGAACCCATTGCTATAATTGAGCCTTTTCGCTCGCGGTAGTAAGAAGGGTAGGCGCGAGAATACCTGTGTTGTCCAAGCTAGCATGATCACTGATATCTTAGGGTGCAACCTTCTCTTCACTCCCTTCATCATCACCGGGTCGTGCCTTGCGGGCTTCAACGTTGTGCCGGTCAGATAGGGGCACGACGAGCGTAAATGGGAGCGATGACATTTTCAAGATAGCGGTCGCAATGAAGCGCTACACTGTACGAGAAGAATAGCCATACATATTTGCGATGTAAGAGGATCAGTTGGGCCCCCTTGATGATCGAAAGGATGAAGAGTCGGAAACCTTCGATGACAGCGAGAGGGTAACCGATCAAGGGGTTACGTTGCTTGCGCTCGAGGCCGCTTGCTTGAGAGCCCCTAGCCCCGAACGAGAGGGCAGAAATTTGGTACCAGACGATGGTCGCCAGCGCAAAGAGTGGAGGTGCGATGATGAAGGAGTTCAAATGATACTCATGCCAGCGTTCAATTTCACCCTCGCCAGTCCTAGTCGTAACTCACTAGTTGTTGCCCAGCTTGGCAATAAGTTGTGTGCTGGCAAAGGTACCTCCTGTATCAGACACTTCATACATGATGTGTACCAAAGCGTCCATCCTCCTCAACTTCTCCGGGTTTGTGCCCACAATGTCTCTGGGGATAACCCGGCAAATGAGTTCAACCATGCCGTAGGCAATACCCGAGATGGTATAGATAGGGAAGAGACCGTTGGGATTCCAACTACCGCACTTGACTTTGTTGTTGTTGTTGGCCTTGATCTTACCACCGGTGGCAGCATCGATAACAGCGGACATGATGGAAAATATGAAGATCGCGGCAGAGAGCACCAACAAGGGGGGCAATGAGGATGGCGCCAACACATTGCATGGCATAGTTCAGCCCGGTCAAGACGGCCAGTTTGCCAAAGGTGTGGTCAGCTTTGAAGCGATCGGTAGCCATCGCCACGACTGAACCGTTGGACTGTTGAACTGCTCGAGGCCAAACTTGTACAGCATGATGCCGAGAATATAGATGGCAATGTTGCTTCTCGGTAGCGTCGTAAAGCGCCAGGATGCGCCTCACTTCAATCGTGGAAGTCATGCTGAAGGAGCAAGGTTTAAATGAGAAGAGGAAGGAGGAGAGCAACAGACCGCGAGGTGATGAAGAGCCTGACTTTGACACGACTCCTTACATGCAAAGCCCAAATGTCTATCATCTCCACATACAGGACTCGCGTACAGTCTAGGTGCCAAGGCCGAGGACATGCCCTTGGGTTCCCACACACGAAATAAGCTTGGCCCTAGCCTCAGCATTACAAACGTGCCAAAAGATGGAGTATATTGGGACGTCCGTTTTCTGTTATCTAGTCGAGATTTGATTGAAAAAGACCATTGCCATTCATCCATAGCCCAGTCTGTGAGACACTATCACATAGGGTAAAGGAAGTCAGCAAAGACTGGATGCTGCGTACTGAGCGGAAACATGTGGTGGTTGCATTGGCACGGCATCGGATGCATAGAGGATCATTTGCCATTTGTATCGGTACACGAGCAAGGTATCCGCTATGCGGGTGACCAGCCTCTATTGGAATAGACTGGCAAGCAAAGCTCCCTTCGGTGCCTGGGAGTCGTAACAGCCGCAGTACCATAATGAAACATAACAAGATGTTTTGTTATTCTGCTGCCTCCAGTGTTGATCAGCGTTGCCTCTTATGTGCACACCCGAAAACGCGGCGGGGCTGAGAGGCACGTAGTAACGCCATGTTCCGGCGGAAGCACCTGTTCCCGGAACCTTGGCGTAGGGCTCCTAGCAATCCGCAGATTGATCCGCAATCCGGCGGATTTGCGGATTCAGATTAAGGGTAAAATTGTTCCCAGTCGTTGTAGCAATCACAAACATCTGAGTTGCGTATCAACGACTGGGTACGAGTCCGTTGTTTAAGCGTAATCTGCGCAAACTAGTGTACACATTGAGGATGTATGACGCTGAAATCGAACCGCTGCCAGGCAAGTGGAATCCGCAGCATGTGTTGAAAATCTTGGATTTCTTGGGAGTTATAGTGCGCTGTGGCCCAACTCACAATGTGATGTTGAGCTTGCGGCGCTATATTTCCTTTCTTGGTATTCCTGCTACCAAAGTCAGTGCGCCATTGAGGCGACTGTCTATAAAAGCAGAGAACAATTTCTCTCTCTCGTCTCCCTCAGTTCAACAAAGGTTGACTGAGCGTAACACGCTAGCCTAAATCGCTGCCCATTCTAATAGCAAGTTGGACCCGAGCTCATGTACGTGAAGGACGAAGCTAGGTCTGCCACTCTCGAGAACGCGCTTTATGAGTGGAGGAAGGAAGAATTTTCTCGTGTCTACCTTGATGCTACGTGGATAGGAGACTGGCTCGCCCTCCCTGATTTCGTAATAGAGGACATCGTCTATCTCGCGAATGTGAACAAGTTAACTTCTTGCGAGGCGTTTGTCCAGCTCGTCGATTGGGTACATAGTGAACACTATGCTTCGGAATTACTTCACATCGTGCACAAGATATTTCCCCCTCCTCCAGAGCCACCCTCCACCGCTCCAGATGCGTCCCCAGCAGCAGAGAACGGACCTGACATTACATGCTCGAACTGTCGATCCCCTGGCCACGATGGTATATATATATATATTTTTCAAACAATATAAGCAAATTTGCACTCTAGTTCGAACGTGCTCTGCACCCTGCGGCACATGTGGGCAAACTGGTCATATCTGCGAGCGGAAAGTGACTACATTACACAAAAAGGCAAATCGCTTGTTAATTGCACGCCTCCACGGGTGCCAGCCTGTTTAAGGATAAGAAGTTGATATCGTGAGCAGTGTGGCGGACTGCGTTCGGCTTGTACACCAAAAATCACAAGGAGAGTGTGCTGCACCGTTGCAGTATGTTAATTAGATTGCGTGCGATCGTGAGGAACCTCTTGCAAGGCGGAATTCATTTGGGGTTCGAACATTGTACGGGCCCGCAGCCGACAGAATCCGTGGCACGATCGAAGTACATTATCAACAGAACGCGTGCTCCTGCGCTGCGGAATGGGCTCAGACCATGACTCCTCGGTCATAGGATGGTCCCAAATTTGACAGGCTGGAATGGCAGGACGACAATTGGAAGTAGGTCTCCAGCCTGGCTCGAGTTGACGCTGGAATACATGAGAGCAATGAAAATAGGCCGTCTGAATTAGCTGAACGCGCGCAGATACGTTGACGGTTCTGAACCGATGCGGGCCGTGGTCGAGCGATATTTGTGTTATATGCAACGCTGAAACTAGCCAGCTAATTAAGGGATCATGACTTGAGAGCAATATTATAGCTCTTAAACAGGGGCTGAAGAGAAAATGCAATGCAGGTGCATGTTTACGTTTCACTCAGGAATTTTCCAAGGAACTGCTTCGCTTTCTCGTCCCACGCAAGCTTCCTATCTTCATCACTGGCACTTCGTTCCCAGTTATGGCAGGACGTCCAGGCCTGGCTCCTTATTGAACATGCACTCTCGCTGTCCTCAGGGTGACGCGTGCTCTCGTGTTGTTCAGACTGCGACTGCCAGAGGTTCTCATCTTCTCCGAAGATGAAAAGGAAAGGTAGTCTCATATTGCGAAACATTGTTTGTCGTCGATCATAAGTCAGCAGAAACGAGTGGCAGGAAGAAGACAGCATTGATGAGGAGAATATGAGCTTTCATAGAAGGCTTTAGCGAATCTAAAGTAGCCGGGGAATAAAGTTGCGAAAGACTCTCGGGACTCAGTAAGACAGCACATCAATGGACCCTCTTGAGGCAAATAGTGGCTAGCCGTTGCACATGTGCGTGTCTCGCGAGCATGCCAATGGCTAAAGGATGTACATTTCGCTCCGATCGGCTAGTTTGTGTCACAGGGATTCGTCGAACTAGTCGTGTAGGATTGTGGAAGACAAGAGGCGAGAGTTGTTATAAGCTAGCCCCCACGGAATGTCGTACCGGAGAAGCAAGACAAGGGCCCGATGGGTTATAGGAATACGCCCTTGTCATAGACGTTGCCGTAGCGCCTGTGGGCGCCGAGAAGAGCTGCAGAGGTTCACAGCCAAAAAAAACAACCAGATATACATACAGCCTTGACCCGGGCGAAAATTGCACACGGAATTGGAAGGAAACGCATTGTTATAAGCCCATCCACCACGAAATCACCGGTAAGCGGGAGCTATACCACTCCATGTGCCAAGATTCCATCCCAGAATCCACCCCCCAATTCCATCATATATGAGAATCGTAAAACATTCACGCTTCCCAGCAGCGCTTATTGTATTCCCAAAAAACAAAACCTTGAGTCCACAAAGTAAAGCTGCGCCCAGACGGATGGGAACACTGACATAAAGGAAGGCGTTCTGTTCCTGGGGCACGTACGCCGTCCCAAGATAAGCGAGACCGAAACATGTCAATACAACACCAATCATGGCAAAGCGATCGTTAGCCCGTGAGGGTTTCGAAGTGGGGTAGAAGACCAAGGAAAGCCCATAAAATGTTAAGGCAAGACTATGAAGGAATATGGAGGTTGGGAGATCAATTCGGCGACCCAAGATTGTGGTGACAGTCATCGTATAGTTATACTGGTGTAGGAATGTCAGATTGTTGACTTGCACGCCATGATAAGAATGTTCGAACTTCGCTATGGAGGTTGCAAAAGTGTGACGAAAATATCACTTGTGGATGGGTGCTATCGGCCGATGTTGGAAGGGACCGGAGCAGCTGTTGGCAAGGCCTTGTTGGACTGGCGACGCTCCAAGGGTTTAGGATAGGGAAGAGTCCCGCAGCTAGTACGTGGTACAATTACGTAAATTTCTGACGTTGAAATTACGTGGCTCACTTCCCTTTTCCGTTCGTCTTACGTGTTTTTCCCTTCTTTTGATGACATGTTCCTTGGAAATCGCTTGAGCAAATCCAATCCAATCCATTTGGCATACTGCAACCGTACTCTCCCTGCAGTTTCGATGTGCAGGCTACATTGCTCACGATATCAGCTGCAACGAAACCACCCAGAAAAAAAACGGCAGAGCTGGATCTTGCCCTGATTGCGCGCGGCGTCCACCACTCGTGTAAGAAAGAGGGGCAGAGGCCCAATTACGCTGTCTCTCATTGGGATTTCAGCAGTTGTGGGTCCTGTGGGCTTTCCCATGCTTGCTTTCACGGTTTGGGTGACCGAGAACGACCCTGTTCAGTATGCAATATAGGTTTAGTGCTGATCTTCATTGCTCCGCTGAAGCAAAGGTTCGAGTGATTCGGAGCAATGAGTAGATGGGATCAGAGGTCCCATATTTGCAAGACTTAGACCCAAATGCAACAAATTCCGTAGCGCGATAGAATACATGCATTATCGACAGAACGCATGCTTCCGCGGGACGATGCAACTCATGACTACTCGGCCACAGGATGATCCCAAATGCACTTTAGTTTGACAGACTGAAATGGAAGAACAACAATTGGAAGTAGAAAAGAGGATAGTCTCAAGCCGGGCTCGCAGTCGTGGCAGCGGAAAGCGTAAGGAACGTTGCGCTTTCGTACCAGCGAAACTGCTCTGTGCCCAGCGAGTCTATCCTTTGACACGCCAGTGGCGGGCCCGGGCGCGCCGACCATTGGTCAACGCGTGCAAACTCGCCGTCTCTGACTTCGACGATGTTTGCTCCCGTTCGCACTGGCTCTGGTCTCGAACTCACTGTGATCCACTCTAGCAGGCCCTCATCTGGATCGACCGCACTCCTTCCCCGTCTACCTTCCACGACCATCCACCCATCGTTCCACCCGGATTGTGCTTGAGACGGCATGAGCCGTCGTGGCTTCTGTCACATACCATCGTCAGAGTCAGAGTAGAATTCGTCATCGTCATCTTCGTTTCCAGCAAGATTCGCAAAGTCAACTTTGTAACGGAGGAGTCCACCAATGCCACCAAAACCTTTGACGAACTGGGCACCTTCTTGGCTCTTGTTGGAAACGAACTAGGAAAAAGGTGCTATCAGGATTGATGTTGCCTGACGCCGAACAATTGGACGTACTTCGAGGACGGCACCAAATTCCTTGTATTTCTCTGTGAACCATTCTAACAAACTTTGTGGTTCAGCACCTCGCTCCATCTCGGTCCCAGTGGACTTGTCGATGAACTTTTCTCGATCTTTCTCTTGCTCTTTGTTGGCGTAAACAATGACTTCCTCTACCCGACACCATTGTTGTTAGCCTCTAACCCGAGTCATACTTTTTCGTACCTCCGGCGGCGTTACGAAGGACATATCGCGTAATGTCTAGGTTCTCCCAGACGATCAGAGTCTCCACGGCACCGAGCTCAAGACCTTTGAGGGTATCATCCACACCATAGCAGTATTTTCCCGTGTCCTGACTAATTTCGTCGAAGTATTTCTGAATGAGCTTCTTCTCTTGTACAAATTTGACATTGGAGAGGGCATCTCCGGCTAGCTCGATGGCCTTGAGGGAAAAGGTCGTGAGGGATTAGTTTTTCCTTCATGAAAGATGTCAAAATCACCTGATTGAAGCCGTTTTCGCCTCCGTAGCTAACATCCACAATCTTGACAATCTTAGAAGCAAGACGCTGGTCGAGTAAGTCACTGGAGCTCAGCTCGGTTTTGAAATCAGCACTTCCAGCCAACACCAAACCAGCAACGTTAACTTTATCATTCGTAACAAAGTGTTGCACTGAAAGCTCGGCCACTTTCCGCACATAATTGTGGCGCTTCTCGTCTCGGAGACGAGAGAAACGCAGAGCAGATTGTCCACCACGTCCGTGTTTTTTCGGAAGATCGACAGTGAATTTGTGGACCACCTCGCGCGTGTTTCCGGAGAGGGTTCCGAAAAGGGAACCGTTTCCATCCATGACGATAAAACCGAAACGCTGATCGGACTCCAAGAGTTCAGAGAGAGCTTCCGTGTGGAACTTGTTATCACACAGATACAGTGAGCTGTGCGACCGAAAGGATAAGTAATGGCCAAGACATTGAAGCTCATGTGAACCTACGTGTTAATAGGTTTGTGAGGCTCGAAATCAAACGAGACCTTCTTTTCTTTGCCTTCTTCGGTCAGAATGGTTCCTACAAAGAGGACGAGTCCATTTGGGGGAACACGATTGTAAAGTTTCAAGCGCTGCTGAGTACTTGTGATCGCGGCGAGCACAGAAAGGCGATTGACTCGGGACTTGATGTTGGATGCGGTGCCGTACTCCTGAGTCAACATTCCGGACACTCGAGAAATTTGATCCTGGTGCAAGAAATGTACTGTTAACACGAATAGATCCTCGACAGACAATCGCATGCATTGGGAAGCGTACCTTGGGGGGAATAATGAGGCTAATCATGGACGTCCCGGCGCTTGGAGGGGTCCGATCGCACCATGAACAAGAAAGTGGTGTCAAACATGGCTTCACTTACCCTCTAGCAGCATCGAGACTCCGTATCAACTTTTTAATCTACCCGATTTAGAGTCGTTAGACGTGTTAGGCCAATATCGGGTTTTAACTCGCACCTTCCAGAGCTGAACAGACCACAAAAAGCAAAGTTTTTATTAGGGAAATCTTTCATGCCATGCGGATCCAATGCGATATGGGCGAACCTGTATATTCTGTTCAGCTGCGTCCTGGCTCATTTTTTAAGAAGTCCTGAAGACAACGTGGGGGAAGGATGGAAAGCAAAACGGTGAGACTGAATTGAGATTTGGTCCCGACGTCGTCGTGACTTGTTTTGTTACCTTGGTACTTGCGCGACTACTGCCCAACATGTTTACAGGCCTGGTCAGTGCAGCTGATGGTCTTTCTGATAATCAAATCTTCTCATGACGGGAAACGCTGTTTTGCGTAAAATTTGCCAGATTGAGCATATGGGTGTCGTCAGCTCCATAGAAGCCCACGACACCACTGAGAGTGGCGGAGGAGGATGGACGATCAGCATAGCCGATTCAGCACCCATCTTAGGGGACTGTCACATTGGCGACTCGATAAGCGTCAATGGGGCTTGTTTGACGGTGACGGAATTTGACCAGGATAAATTCAAAGTCGGCGTTGCACCAGAGACCTTAAGTCGAACGAACCTTGGTCCGTAGCCATGTAATCCTCGGAACGACATGATTCCCACAACGACGACGTTTCTAGGGGACCTCAAGGTTGGCACACGAGTAAATCTTGAACGTGCAATGGCTGCTCATGTTCGATTCGGAGGACACATGGTGCAGGCAAGTATACCTGCTTCATGAATTGTCATCATCCATTCCCAACAAACCAATTCAGGGCCATGTTGATGACACAGTGACTATAGTTTCTAAAGAGGAAGACGGCAACTCACTCAGGCTGCTCTTCCAAGTTCCAGAACCTTCGTCCAATCGTGCAGATCTACTTCCGTACATCATTCAAAAGGGCTATGTTGCCTTGGATGGAACCTCCTTAACTATTACATCAGTTTCTGATTCAGGCCGGTTGTTCGGCGTTATGCTTATTGCACATACCCAAACGAAAATCCAGCTTCCCGAAAAGAAGGTCGGGGAGAGGGTAAATCTCGAGGTTGATATAGTGGGAAAGTATGTCGAGAAGGCTGTTCTTGCAGCACTTGGTGGGGGGACACTCGAACGGCTCGTCGACGAAGCGGTTCAAAAGTCGTTAGCCAAGTCCCACACCGTATAAGCTGTGCTTTGTAAAATTGTTGTTGTAGCTGCTAGGTTAGAGCACACTTCGATAACCGAAGTTAATGTACGTGTATCTGATCAAAGCATTATATTGGTTGGTACGATGGCATAAAGTGTGAATGTCATGACTTTGTCTTTTGGAGCTCCTCATCATACTCCAGCGAGTCTCCAGAGGCAGGCTTCCACACGTCCTTGCTAGCATGCATGAGCTCATACAGTTGGCCGAGCTGCTCGTCTGACATCTGTCAAAGTAAGTAAAAAACTGACTGCCATGAAAGGTGATAAAATGGCATGCCTTTTCGAATAAAACTGGATCCAGAGGCTTACCCCTAAATGTTCCGCCTGGATCAGCTGCTAATGCGTCAAGATACATTTTCCATTGAGACAGGAAGCCCATAATATGAACAGGATTTGTTGTATCTCGATGGCGCCGAAATTCTTGGGGACACAGTAGACAGTCTGCCTTCCAAACAATCGTAGGAGAACATCATCCTAGTCTATCTTACCATCTTTTACATACGGATCACCCAAGGCGCGCATTTCAAGTGGCAAGTGTCGGTGCTCACGCAGTATTCGACGGAACAATCTTAAAATCGATTGTGGATGAGGTGGAAAACATTACGAGACTGAGAAATGCTTACGGAATGGGTGGTAAAAGAGCGATACTCGACTTGACAGGGATCGGCTTCGAGCTTACATTCTCTGCGAGCCATCGCGTGGACTGACGAAGCGCCATCAGTTTGTCACGTTATTTTCAGGTTTAGCGCTCCTGGCGTCGTGTGAGTCTCCCGCATCGTAGTTCAGTGGCAGGACAGACTTCCTTCATGACAACTGAAATCCACTCCGACCTTCTTGCAATTTTACTTGTCGCCGATTCGTCAAATGGTGCTAATCTAGTATTTAGGTGGCCTCCTAAACCTCACGTCCCCGTTCGACTCGCTCGTCCACGGCCTCCGGATTATCTTGAGCCTCATCACTTAGTTGACGCTGCTTATATTGCTTCCCATGCCTTGGATGAAGAAAAGCTAAAGAAGGTGGTCGAGGAGCATGGGTATATAGATAAACCATCCGAATCACTTGACCCCATGTATCTCTGGCAACCCTACAAAACGGAGGATTTGGACTGCTTGTCCTTAGATTCTGGGCACGAGGGAAGCACCAAGAGTTTCCACGCTCCCGCTAAAGAGGAAACACCAAGCGGTTCTCAGGGGACTGCTCTTGACATGTATGAAGATCTCATTGGTTATCAGGCGTCATTCCTTGCCGAGTTACTTTCCCCGAAGCCTGCTCTATGTCATCAAAAATTCGAGCTTAGCGTCGATGATATTGCTTTCGTAGGACACCCCGTGCATGCTAAGGAAGATGGAGGCTGGTCGTTTCCGGAAATTTACGAACGGAGTCCTGGAACCGAGATCATATCAGGAATGGATCAGGATGGTCCTCGCGGCCGTACTGAAGATCGCCGTGGACCACCTGGCGGCCAATCTCAAAAGGCGCGGTTCCATTTCGCAGATGACAGTGAGGACGGTGACAATGAAGAGCAAGAGAGCGATGCACGCACGCGGTTGAGGCCGAAGTCGGTGAATTTGCCTTCTGGCCCACCCACCCCAAGTGCATCACCATCACCCTTTAGAACGGCACCCGGAAGCCGAAAACCCCTACCGTCTGCTTCTAAACAAAACCTTCTCTTGAAGTCTTTCCACTTGGTACTCGTGCTAGATCGACCCGATCCATCCTCTGTTGCATCTACGGACCTTGATCGCTATATGGATGCCTACTATCAGCAAGTATCATTCAGGCTCACTGCTGTGATGTTGTATGAACAGGGTAGAAATGGATATGTGGCTCAAGAGACAGATAACCTCATCAGGTTACGTGAAAACGTGTTCGTGAGTGTATTGGTGCTTTCCGGCCTAGCTGGTGGTGATTCACAGCTACCTCAGTCATCCGAATCTAGGCAAAGTCCCACCAAACAGTTTGAGTTCTTTTTCCAAAAGGCGTTGAAACAGTCCACCATAGCTCTTGCCATCAAATCTGCGTATGAAGCTGTCGTCTCCTCCTCGCTCGCACAGGTAATGATTAACACTATACCTGTTAATATTCAACTCCCGCCTGGCCATCTCAATCTACTCAAAGTTGACCAGCCACAGCCAGATGACATCTACGTCACAGCGGGTATCCCCAGTGAAGAAGACTGGTGGAATATCAACAATGGTGGCGAGGAGGAGGAGGAGGAAGGCACTGAGGCTAGACTTGAGGACGAATTACGCTTCGGATGGAAGATACCTCCACTTAAGCCTTGGAAGTCTTTCTTGTTGCTTGATGACGCAAATAATCCATCCGGAGAGAGCGGAATGGATGCGTTGATCGGAGACAGGCCCAGGGACCATAACGGAAAGGACCCGCTAAGCCGGCTCTTGAAAGTGGCGAGCCCAACACTCTCGTGAGTCACATCTTTGTGCTTTCGTCAATCCCATATCTCTAACCCCTCCAACTTAGCCTCCATGAAATGTCTGATATATGCGATCTCAAACTTGAGACGGAGATGTATTCGCTTGTACGGCTTCTGGTGTACAATCGAAAAGCCAGGGTCTGCGATGTTGTTCGCAAGACCCTTACGAACATTTATGTTCCTGCCTCCGTCCTTCCCCGACCGTAAGAAATGGAAAGTGATGCGTGATTCCTATCACTAATTGATGTTTCTGCAGGCTTTCGGACTTGAGCGCGCTCTTCTCCCAACTATTCCCCACCTTGAGCCCGTTACCTTCTCTTCTGAGTGCCATATCCGCAACACATAGACCGTTCAATGCTCTCCTCCCAGTTCCTCATAACACTGCAAATCGAAAACTTTTCCTCCGGGCCCTCATTTGGATGCTCGCTAACGATGTAGTCGTCATGCTTCACGTTCGAGTCCGAATCGTCGTTACGACAGAGATCAAGGTCATAGCCTTGAAGGTTCAGCGTGAAGAACGTGATGCACGAGTCAAGAGAAAGGAAATGCTCGATCAGCGACGCCGATCCAGATCCATCCGACGTGCCAGCGATTCAAAAAACGGTTACAGCAACGGACCGGACCGATCTGCTTCTCCACGGATTCCGATATTTTCCCAGGGAAACAAGAGCATTGAAAGATTGGATGAAAAAGTCGGCTGGGCCGATCCCGTTATTCCAACGACCCCCTCTCGAGATTCCCTCCAAGCATCTGGGAGACGCGTCACACCACCTCCGTTAAAAACCATCAGAGTAATCACCCCAACCCACTCCAAATCGCGTTCTCGGGGGAGCCGTGAACCTTCTCGTCGTTCAAGACAAGGCTCCTACTCCCGCCATACCAGTTCCACAGCTGCTTTGTTTCACCAGATTAGCGAAAACGGACATGACGGGGAGGAGATCGAATTTGATGAAGGGTCTGACCTGGGCGAAGAGCTTCCTTCAGAAGAGGATGAAATGGTCGAAAAATATGGTCAACCACCTAAAACGCGAATTATTACAGATAGCACGGAGGTTGAGACGTCTGAACTTGAAGAAGAGGAAGATACAGACCTTTCACCTTCATTCTTAGTGGACCCGGAGCGAGCGACGAGGGCGCAAAGACGATGGTTGGACGCGATGTGTATTGGGAAAGACGAGTATCTTGTGCGTTGGTTTAAAAAGTGGGTCATCATTGTCCGCTATCGCTTTTCATTGTCAAGATTCAAATATTCATCCCAGAGTCTCGCCTTACTTTGATGGAAAGAAGACAACAGACGAGATCCTCCACCGGACTGAAATTAGTCGAAAGCAGCTGCGCGAAGTGTTGCATCATTTTGAGGAATATGTAAGTAATTCGACAGTGAATCTATGTGTCCAGAACGAGCTTTTGACTCTTATCATGCATCTTACATCAGTTGATGCTCATGCTTCATCCTTGATGCTACATTGCTGAAAATATTCGCTCTCAACCGCCTCACGAATGATCTTCAGACTGTCTGTCACAGAAAGCAACATCGATGGATGCTCATGCCGAGTTATTCACGCAGCTCTCAAGCAAACAGCCACTCGCCAAGTAGTCGGGCATGTTGCAACACGGAACGACGCTCAAGTATGTTTTGTCGGGCAAGAATAGCCAGTGTGCCATATCGATTCTCCGGTCGAAGAGTAGTACAGAGGAAGGTGAAATGATACGGCCAACTCCTCGGGCCTCCTGTAACCCCGAGGGCAATCAACGACAAAAGTCAATAATCTGACAAGAGATGTGTTATGCGGAAACGCTGAACGAACGAACAGAATGTTTTAGTGGGACTTGCCCTTTCCGAGCAATTCTTCTTTCTTCTGCTGAGCTTCAGCGGTCGTTTGGTTTACCTTCTGACTTGCTTGACCGGCAGCCTCTTGTGCCTTTGCCTTTGCCTGGTCGGTTTTACCTCCTGAATGTTGATTCGGATTTATGAGCTGGACCGCGCACAAGTGGATGAAGTAACGAGGCGTGGTTCGGCTCGACACCTTACCTACGACTTCCTTCGTCTTCTTGACCACCGTCTCAGTCCCCTCAATTGCAGACGCAAGACCCTTACCAACTTTCTTGTTAACCTGGAGATGATTGTAATAGAAATGATTATGGGCCCGCGGTGAACACTAAGTACCAAGAGAACTAACGGTATCAAGAGTGTCCTTTGTGGTCTCTGCCACGGTTTTGCTCCTTACAGCAGTTGTCGAAAGCGGAGCAAAATGAGATGCAACGAGAGCATTCCTCGCCACGATGCTGGATTGACGGGCGGTAAATCGAGTAACAAAAGACATGATGATTTTTATGCCTCGATAAATTCGGTTGGAGTGGGGGTGAGGTTAAAGTTTGCTAGACGCTTCAACATCCTCCATGAAACCTTTTATATCATGAACTTCGTAATTTCTTTCACGTCGACGTCATCGAGGTCAGGAGGATTGGTCAGGTGACTCGACATTGGCGCTCCATCGCGGTTCAACGAGGTTGACTCTTGAGGCTGTCTGAGTCTGAGCAGCGGAGTGGGCCGAATCTATTGTCTCAAAGGTACACTAGATCGACAGCAGGTTGCGTCTTCTCGATCCCGGCGCACACTTCACGGATGCAGGGGGAAAGCCTTAAGACAAAACGGCTATTTTAAGCACATAAGAAGCTAACTAGTTACACTTCCAGGTCAACCAAAGGAAGAAACCGTTAGTGATGCGTAGCGTCCAATCCTTGCACTTGACAAGAAGGTAGGATGCCGTATGTAACCGTCCGAAGGGGATAGCTTTCCACATCCATCTTGCAAGAACATGAAAGGTAGCAAAGGAGCCCAGGCATGAAAAAATTATCGGGGGATCATGATAGGGACCTTAAAAGATTAATACTAAACTGTGGGATCAAGTAGAATTGCGAGGGGTGAATTTGAGAAGACACCCATCCTGGGGGAAGATGCTAAAAGGGACAAAGTTCCGACAATTAGCATCGAACATTCTGAAAGACTTCGAACAACCATCCTCACGTTGCAATGATTTGGACCTTATCGCTTTTTGGAGTCTTCAGGTGATCCCAATCCATCATAATCGCAGCAGTCCCCAAAGCCGTCGCCATATTCATTGTCGTATACTCTTGACCAATACATCTATGTGGTCCTGCACCAAAAACAAGGTAGTGGGCCGGGTTCTGGTTTGCCGAGCTGTTCTCATCCAGCCAGCGCTCGGGAATGAACTTGTGAGGATCAGGGTATACGTTCTCGTCGAGCAACGATGGATATAAAGAAGGGATGACCATGCTGCCTTTCGGAACGGTGTACGACTCCGAGATTGGGAAATCTTTATGTGCAACGTAGGGAACCTTGGCAATTACTTCCGTTAGAGTCCTTCCACAGCGTCATAATCCAAGGGAAGTACCATAGTCACTGGAGGCTTGACTCTAAGGCTCTCCTTAACGCAAGCCCGGATATATGGCATTTCGTCCAACCATTCCAAGTTCATAGGACTCTCTAGATCGCCACCACGTACGCGTATCTGCTCCTCGCGTATCTTCGCGAGAATATCCGGGTAATCTGCCAAATGTTGGAACATGTATATGATTCCACTTGACATCGCGTCTTGTGATGCGAATAAGAACGAGAGGACAACCTGCGCAATTTCATGGTCCGAGAAGTCCATCTTGTACTTGGCCTCACCCTCCGACTCCGAGGCAAGAATCATCTCTCGAGTCCACTCGTCGATAAGGCACTTGACCTCTTCCCCCCGCCTCATGGCCTCCTTGCTCGCTTTTGCAGCGCCTTCCAGCCATTTCATTGCTTCCTTACGAGCTTGAACTGCTCCCCATATCTTCGTCCCTGGCAGGGCGAGTGGGAAGTTGACAAGCTCGAGGGCCTTGGTGATCTTCCAGTACTGGCCGGTGATGAGGCGCACAGCATGTTCAGGAATATGTGGACCACAAAAGACTCGGAGAGAAGTCTCCATGTTGAAGTCGCGTACGGACGTCATAATATCCGAATGAGTCAGAGATTGATCCGATTCCAGCCATTTCTTGAAGGTTTTCCGAGCAATGTCATCTTGGGTCTTGAGATATATGCTGATACGGAACCGAAAAAAAGTGTGACACGAAATAATTGTTGGCGAATAGTCCTTCCACAGAGAATGACACTTACGCTAATGACTTTCTTGTGAAAAGGGCATTCAACATTCTGCGATAGTCTGCATGCGCCTTTCCATTAAGAAAAACCCAATTGTCGGGCTCCAGAACCTTCTTTGCAGAGTGTACAAGACAAGGTCCAGCATACAAAGGACTATTGAGAATTCTACGCGTATATTGGTTCGTGGATGCCATAACAATAAAACTGTAGATTTCAAGCGGGATAAGTGAACGAAGAAACCAAACGTGAGGTCAGGACACCTAGGAAGTTGCACCACAATAACATGCAATACGCACATGTTGAAGACGCTCAATGCGCTTAGAGGACCCATATCCCATTGCTTCTGATAGTTTTCCAATGAAGGATACATGCTGTCGACAAATTGGCCAATGATAGGTATCGTCCATTTTTCACCTGGCAGCCAAGACTTCTTTATTCGGTAATTCGTTTGCTCGAGAACGAGAAGCAAAAGGATAGTGGTGCCAACAACCGTTAATACTGTGTTGCTTGTCCAGAATGGATCCACAGATGACTTGAGGCTCGCGAAAAAGGAGGGTGCATTTGATCCATCTAGAGATGGAGATACGGGCTGAGAGGCATATGACAGGATGGCTGGTGAGGCGCGAAAGAAGGATGTCATCTTAGGGATGTTGGAAGGGGAAGGCGAGCGATTCTGCTGAACGTGCGGTCAATGCTGTGGAAACACGTCACTCTCTTAAGGGGGCTACCTGTGATCCCCGGGGCCGAGGGCAATTGACGCTGCAGGGGTAACGACAGCAAATTTGAACTTTTTTTCAGATGTGGTACGATTGCCCAGCCTTTCCCACGCCAGCCAGAGTCATTATCATACTTGTACGGCAGCATTCAAGAAAGGTACAGTTGTGCAAGAGAGCATGAAATATCGTACAGGAACAGGTAGGTCAACATATGGCATCAGAGAGGGAACGAGGACAAAAAATGCATCGAAAAATGATTAAATGCGGCCATGACAAGCAGGCCAGCCACGAAGCCGACGCCAATCATGACATAGCTAGAATCCACACGGCGGACCCTACACAATGGGGCAGTTGGATCCTTTAATTCCACCGCAAACGCTCTCCGCTTTTCCTCGTGTACAAAGGGTTTGTAGGCATAGATGTCCACCTTTTGATGTTTCGCAATCTCAAGCCCGATGTCCATCCCAAGTAGGCCGTCGATGGAAGCTGCATTTTTCTGCGCCCAGTAGTTGAACATACCCTTGTGAGACTTGCAATCCAGGTTTTTTTGTTCCGTGTCATCATCGAACTTTTCCTTGTTGGCCAACAGAGAGATAAGTTGGTTACGATGATGAGAGAACTCATAGATCGGCACGGCTTCCATGAAGGGAGGGGCACTTCAACGTGTAGTTTAGAAGAATTAACTCAGGTCCTCCTCACCGTAACCGCAGGACTGGGCAAATGAGCTATTAGTAAAGTGAAATTAGACGAAAAACGACAGAGTTTACAGTAGAAACTGAATGAAGTTTGACGTAGATCGCCGCCCTGCTCCCTGGGATCCTTTCCTCGTCAGGAATTAACTTTTTGAATTCTGGAGTGCCGACTTCGTGCCAGGTACCTTCAAGTATCTCTCTATCACATCAATGCCTCCAGAATCGTGAGTAGAAGAGGCGTGCCTGTCCCGTATAGTCGGACGATCTGTGGAGCCTCACTGAATTCCTGAAAGCAAGGCAATGTGAACGTACACAAGCGATAGATTATATGACCTCACTTGGAACATGATGGTAATTCGACCATTCTCCCGTATATGGGCTATTGTCTCAACCCCAGAACCGGACAAATCCTAAGCAAATGAGGACTTTGAGGATCACCACAAGATTTGGGGCGTATTTCATGCACCTGGTACATGACCGTATTTTTGTCGAGGACTTTGAACGTCCCGGCTATGCCTTTCGGCGATACATTAACATGTCCGGCTGGGCTCCTTTGTATCGGTTGCGATATCCGATCCAAGCATAGAATCAGTGGTGTCAGTCCGGTGTGATCATAGTTGACAGTTGCTGCAGCTGGCATACAAGGGAGCCGTTGCAACCCAAAAACAGTGTTGCTTTCCAATCCACTCGAAAATATTTTCCGGAATATCGCTGAAAAAATTCACCATGTCTGAAGTCAAGTGGGTACTATCGACGTGGGTAAAGGATGAAGATAGTTTTTCCAAAGGTGTCACACTTCGTGCAACAGTCTAGAGAGTATGGCAGCTATGAATCCTTTCCCAATGGCCAGTAGCTTGAAAGCAAAGTGACTATTCACAACTTGCTGAGCGACGACAGGAAGTGGCAAAACGTGGGTGGCGCCGGCCGCATGGTTCTAGCAGTTGACCCTCACCTTCCGGTTTAGGATTCAGTTCTCACAGTCCCATGGTTGCCCAGAAAGTACTCACAAATAAAAACCCATCGGTTGCGCAAGACTACGCCATTGGTTTGTATCTGGGCCGAAAAGCCGTGAAGGCTCGCGGCGTTGTAGAAGACCGGAAGAGTCCGGCGTTAATCTTTGGATCGTCTTCCACAACATCATGAGTCCTCTGGCCGAGTTGGTGAATGGACAGACTATCGTTACTATTCCCTCTTTCACCCTTGAGAATGGCGTGGAACTCAAGAATGTACCCGTTGCCTACAAAACCTGGGGGAGACTGAATGACGCTGGAGACAACGTCATGCTTATATGCCATGCATTCACCGGCAGCGCGGACGTTGAAGATTGGTGCGTGGTTGCTACCGCTCATTCGATATCATATTTAAATCGATGGATGTCTCTTCAGGTGGGGACCTTTAATGGGACCTGGTAAGGTCTTCGATGCGTCAAGGTTCTTCATCTTCTGCGGGAACGTCCTGGGATCTCCTTATGGGTCTGCGTCGCCACTTACCATCGACCCTGATACCGGCCTCCATTATGGACCTGAATTCCCTTCAACCACCATCCGGGATGACGTTCGGTGAATTGATCCATTCCGCTGCATGTTATTTGGGCCCAATCCTCATCCGAGGACTCTTATCGCCACATAGGTTACATAAAATCATACTCGATAGGCTTGGTGTTTCCTCCGTTGCGGTGGCTATTGGTGGCTCCATGGGAGGAATGGCAGTTCTCGAATGGCCGGTTTGCGCTCCGCCAGGCTACATCCGAAACATCGTACCCGTCGCCACATCCGCAAGACACAGCGCTTGGTGCATTAGTTGGGGCGAGGCACAGCGCCAGTCTATCTATAGCGATCCACTCTATGCGGATGGATACTATGACATCAATGATCTGTCAAAACAGCCGACGACTGGCTTAGCGGCCGCCCGTATGGCTGCATTATTAACTTATCGGTCGAGAGATTCGTTCGAGAGTAAATTTGGAAGAAAAATACAAGCACCAACGACCCAATATTCGAGCGGCGTCATGACCCCTCCTGATTCGCCGAGAAATCGCGCTGCGGAAGCGCGAAATGCACATAACGATGGCTGCCGCAAGCCTCAAACCTCTGCAATCCCTTCTTCCCCTTCTTCAAGAGCTCCCGCTGACGGCGCCCCCAGCGCCGTGGATTCATCTGAATCAGCTCCGCCAGAGAGGCCCACTTCCCTCTTCAGGGCTCAGTCATACCTAAGGTATCAGGGTGAAAAATTCAATTCCCGTTTTGACGCGAACTGCTACATACACATTTCTCGCAAACTCGATACTCATGACCTCGCTCGGGACCGGCTACCCCCCGGGTCCGCATCTGGGGTGCCAGCGGACCCTGATGCCTCTCTAACAGCCGTCCTCTCCACACTCCCCCATCACACACTCGTTATCTCGATCTCGTCCGACGGTCTTTTCACGCCCTCCGAGCAATCCCTTATTGCAACTTGTATTCCCAATGCAAAACTCATTACGATTCCTAGCCCGGATGGACATGATGGTTTCTTGCTTGAATTCGAAGCGATCAACAAGGCGATTCTGGGATGGATGAAGGAGAGGTTGCCGGAAATCATGAACGCTGCGGTGGATATCGCACAGCCCAGGAAGGAGGATGACTTTCGTATCACGAAAACATCCACATTTGGGGAGGCAGAGGTGGATGTTACCCAGTGGTGAAAAATCGCGGTCCTATCGTGTAACTGTATCGTTCATAGAGGTCTGCTCGAAACTGTGATAACAGACACATTGTAGCCAGAAGTTAATAAAAAGTTTCATATACTAGTCCAAGACTGGCTGTCTGATACAACTCCCATTGAATGATGAAACTATCCTATGAGCCAACAAATCCATGCGGGAAATAAACCGTGCATTAAGCACCGTCCGCCCCGCTATCACTGGTCCATTCGATATGCCGCTTAATATCATCCTCCGATACACTCGGCCTCACAGCTTGTATGCTCTGCAAAAAATCAGACATGCGTAGCGGAGGCTCCAAGAGTTCATCCGGCCCGACATCTGACCAGCTCTTCTCGGTGGCAGCACGATCACCCGGCGAGCAAGGTGTCAGTTTCTTGACAGGCTCTTCAGTGCTTGGATCTGAGATCATTACTTCCTTGAAATGAGTCGCAGCCAGGACTTTCCGTATGGGTTGCATCAAGGCGTCGCGGACAACAATCGCTATGTCGGATCCGGAGTACCTGGCATGGTGAACGAAAATCAGGACACCTATGATAGGGATGGCAGGCATCATACCCTTCTGTCTTGGCCGCCAGCTCTTTAAACTGCTTCTGTGTCACCTCACATGGAGTAGTGCCAACATGCAGTTCAAACATCCGTCTTCGTGCTTCCGGGCCTGGGAGTGGGATATATATCCGTTTCTCGAACCTGTTAGGCTATCATATAGGGGACGTATAATCCTGTGTTGACCTGACATACCGACGTTTGATGGCAATGTCAAGTTGCCAAGGAATGTTTGTAGCTCCAAGCACTAACACACCGGTTTCATCGTTACCTACGCCATTCATTTGAACAAGAAACTCCGTTTTAATGCGCCGCGAAGCCTCTGATTCCCCCTCCCCTCTCGTTCCACATAGAGAATCGACTTCGTCAATGAATATGATAGCCGGTTTTTGCTCTCGAGCCATTACAAATAATTGCCGGACAAGTCTGATGGAGATTTTGTTTAAGAAAATGATAATGGATGATATCCAAACTACCTACTTTTCAGATTCACCCATCCATTTGCTCACCAGATCGGCTGAACTAACACTGAAGAAGGTACTCTTGGCTTCGGTTGCTACGGCCTTGGCGAGGTAGCTTTTCCCTGTCCCAGGAGGTCCATATAACAATATCCCGCGCCACGGAGTGCGTTTTCCAGTGAAGAGATGAGGATGTTTAATCGGAAGAATAACCGCCTCCTTGAGTGCTTCCTTCGCCCCTTCCAAACCGGCAACATCATCCCATCTAACGTTCGGCCTTTCCGATATGATGGAGCCTAAACGATTAAGGGATTCAACGGACAATCAAGAGACCCGAAGCAGGAATACATACTAGAAAGCCCAGCTCTAAGCTTCTTAATCTCCGAATCATCGTCATCGTCGCCCTTCTTTGCGGTTGCAGAGCCATTAGCGCCCAACGCTGCCCCTTTGGCTTTCTTCTCCGCACTCTTATCTAGGTGATCTTTAAGCTTCTCGGCACGACCTAGATACTCCTTCACTTTCTGATGGATGAGTTTCTTGAGATTGGCGTTCTTCTCATCTGAGGGCGCTAATTATATAATGATGCGGAAACAAGTGATGACAGACCCACACTTGAGTGCCAACAAGAAGTATTCAAGGCAGTTCTGGTACTGTACGTAGGCTTCGGAATAGTTGCCTTTCCCATCTTCCTCGATGGCCTTCTGAACGATCGCGATCGCACGCTAACAAATAAAGGTAAGATAAGACGGCATTTTACTCACGAAAGTGACGAACATCTAGGAAATTTGTATTCGACATCGTTGCGCTTGAGTGGGTATGTAATGCGCAGACGAATCGCGACGCAAACGGCGCGCCCCGATTGGGCGTAAGTCACGTTGACCCTAGTTCATTTCTAGATCAGGATTCTGCAACACCGCTTTTCAGTTAAGCGCCTCTTGGCGCTTACCCCGCGCTACAGGATGTCATCCACGCAGATATCTACTTCATCTATTACGGTGCCAGAGGATCATACATTGCATCGAGAAAATTCTGCGTTCATCTTACTGCCTTCCGAAAATGGAGCATTCCTTAACCCAGTGCAGGAGTTCAACCGTGATCTTAGCGTGGCATGCATAAGGGTATGGAGTGAGAGGAACAACAGAGAGCAGGAGCGGTTGTGGGATCTTCGTAGAGATCGGCAGGAGGCGAAAGTGGGGGCGAGGGATGCCAAGAGGCGGAAGGCAGGTAAGAATAACGGAATATAGTCTATCCGTCATAGGAATAGCAGAAGTTCTAATGCACTTTATTGTGTCCCCAGCATTCGCAACCGAAGTTGGACCGGATTGTGCTCAGGTTCTGTCAAATCCTTCAAGTGTTTCGGTGCGTGTCTGAACACATATGAGTGCTCCCCACGAGAAGACATTGATGTGGTTTCAGCAGCATAAAACCCACAAGATAACCATCCTTGAACCTCTGAGTGCCACTGGTCTTCGTTCAATTCGATATGCAAATGAGATTCCTCTTGTGAAGTCAGTGCTTCTCGTATGAGTCCCGCTTGTCCAGGTAAGGGAAAACTGATGCATACTTAGCGTATAGTTATGTAATCGCAAACGACCTATCTCCGGAAGCGACAGCAGTAATGAGGCGCAATGTGGACATCAACGGGCTGGGTCCCAAGATCGTGGAGCAACCCTCTAACCAAGTCGTAGATGGGTTTCACCCACAGAGTGAGGACACCGAGAAGCCGGATCAAACGGAACATAGTATGACGCCAGGAAAAGTGAGGGTGCACGAAGGGGATGCCTGGTGAGAATGTTTTTGCATGTGGTACATCTATCCCTACTTACGATGTCCTCAGTACATTAATGTATAATCACCGGGAAGAACGACAGCGGGTCGATGTCATCGATCTTGATCCATATGGCACTGCAGCTCCTTTCATGGATGCCGCTGTGCAAGCCGTAGCCGATGGAGGTGATGCTGCGCGCAAGACTTTAGCTGCAGGATCTGACTTTCCCTAAGGCCTCCTATGTGTGACGTGCACAGATTTAGCAGTACTAGCGGGGCAGAACTATCCGGAAAAATGGTTTGTCAAAGTGCATTATTTGCACTGCAGCGATTGACGCAAGTACTAGCTTCTCCAACTATGGAGGGATTCCAGTGAAGTCGGAATACACTCATGAGGCGGTAGGCAGTTAAAATCTCTGATTTCGGATTATACTGATGGCTAAACCAGGCTTTACGACTTGTCATCAATTCCGTCGCCAATGCGGCGGCTCGATATGGACGAAGTATCACCCCACTACTGTCACTTTCCATTGACTTTTACGTGCGACTGTTCTTCAAAATCAGAAGTTCACCTTCGGATGTGAAACGTCTTGCTTCGTGGGCATGCCCAATTTGCACAGATATGCAAGCGTTAATCACGCCTTTGGTTGAAACAGGAAAACTGCCATCTACTTTGTTTGCACCTCATGCCAGGCCTTTCACGAGCAGCCCTTGGGGAAAGCCGTCGAAAAGATCTCAGAAAGCTCAGGACAGATTAATATAATGTATAAAACTACCATTGGACCGACAGTCGGAACAGAGTGTGGTGAATGTGGTTCTAAGATGCACGTAAGTCTTCAGCAACGATCTTACCAACCAACGTTTCTTTTAACATCTCTCTAGGTGGCGGGTCCTATGTGGTCGGGGCCACTGCACGATAATGACTTCGTGGAAGAGGTACTCAGGCTCGTGAAGGAAAACCCCAATGCTTTTGGGACGAGTTCTCGCATGCAAGGAATGCTAACGGTGGCAAGCGAAGTACCCAACTGTCTAATGACTCTCATGATACACAGTTGATCCGGAGTTATCGTTAGGAACTTGAATCCTCATTCTACTTTACGCCATCCAAGATGGCAGGAAACTTCCATTGCTCCAGTCCATCCATGCAAGATGCAGGGTATGATTGGTATCATTGCACCGCACCTTCCTACGTCTCGTTGATGCTACTCACCCAAGTTCCGCACTACTGAACGCTGGGCACAAGATATCTCGTTCTCACGCATTACCTGGCTCTATCAAGACAAATGCCAGTCGGAAAGAAATCCATGATGTCATTCGAAGTTGGATCAAGCTGCACCCAGTCAAGATGAGCAACATCAAAGAGGGCAGTCCTGCCTTTGCCCTCTTGAGCAAGGAACCAACGTGCGTCAACTATCATCACGACAAACGCATCTCGGGTTGCTAACTTGACGTTCCAGTTCGATCGCGGATTTTACCAGGCATCCTGGTGCTGTCGACTCATCTTCAGTCAAACTCGTTCGGTATCAGCAAAACCCTACTCCAAATTGGGGCCCTGGCTCCCGGGCTGGAGGGAAAGCCAGCAAACGCAAACGCAAGCGCAATGAGACGCATGAAGACAATGGTGGGATAGCACAACAACAGATTATACAGGTGGATTAAATCATGCGGGAGCAATATCGAATCAATCGATGTGGATTACTTTTATCGCCAATGAGCGTGAATGAGATACAGCAGAAATGTTACAAGGGAAGGATAGAAACGATGGGGAATCATTCACTCGTGAGCCAGGGATGTTTTAGCAGCTCAGCTGCCGGCGGACGCAAATTGTAATCGAGCTCAAAAGTCTTCCTCAGGAAGTCTTCAGCTTCGGTCGATATATCGCCTGGAGTTTCCGGCTTAGCCATAGCGCCGATCTACAGAGGATTTCATCAGGAAATAAAACATCAAACCGAGACATTGAAGCGCCTACCTTAAATATTGCTTGCATTTGGTTGAGCTTTGCCCAAGGGTGATCTCCGGTCAACATCTCCACGACCAGACACCCCACACTCCAGATATCTGCTTTGCTCGTATACGAGGTCTGCTTCACGACTTCAGGGGCCATCCAGAAGACAGAACCTTGCAGTGAAGGGCGATGAACACGAGCGGATGACAAAAGGTCTGTGTAAACAAGGTGTATAAGTTTGCACAGAGAGAAGACAAGTATAATGCGTCACTCACTGTCTTCGACCTTCTTGGAGATACCGAAATCAGATATTTTGATGCCGCCTTTGTTATCGACCAGAATGTTTGCGCCTTTAATGTCGCGATGGATGATGTCACGACCATGTAAGTATCCCAATCCCGTAAGGATTTGTTTTACCCAGTTCTTGACGAGCGCTTCTTCAAATGCACCGTAATTCCGGAGAAGAGTCACCACAGAGCCTCCAGGCACGTACTCCAGGAAGATGTTCAAGTATTTGTCGTCCATTGAAGAATCTGATCAGAAGGGGGTGAAAATTCTGCTCGTTACATCACCCCCCCTCCCCCCCCCCTCGGAGGCACTTACCAAGGTATTGCACGATGTTAGGATGTTGCAAGTCTTTGAGAAGTTCAATCTCGCGTTCGAGAGCGCTCAACATGTTCTTCTTGCGTTCTTCGTTTGCAGACGAACCAGTCGGAAGTTCAACTTGTTTGACAGCCATCAGTAAACCTTGACGGGCATCCATGGCGAGATAGACGCTGCCGAAAGAACCAGACCCAATGAGTGCACCCTTGATCCACTTGATGGAGCCTTTCCCTGATCATCGGAGTTAGCGAATATGATCGTTCAAGGAATGACGGAACTAACCTCCCGTAGATGTCACAGCCTTGCCAACCTCGTCCTCCTCTTCGTCCTCTTCGTCATCAGGTTCACCGAGTTCATCAGTATTCATATCTTCTTCCTCCTCTTCATACTCTTCGCCTTCCTCTTCCTCCTTGGAGTCAGCCGTAGATTTATTCTCCCCCTCATCCACTAACGTTTGGTCACCGACGGTGGTGTCCCCTTCCTCGTTGTCATTGATAACACTAAGTTCTCGATTTTGAACTTCCGCCGTGATCTCATCGACGGTCATCGTACTCAATCGTTTGCTCGCTCTTCGTGATTTCGCAGTGCTTGCCCGAAGGAAGCTATTCTGATTGAGAGATGGGAGAAGCGAGTCGGACAGCGACTCTGTCCCGAACTGAACTGGAGGAAGGACATGTGGTGTGGAAGGTTCATCTGCAAAAGATACAGATGTTCGCGAAGTGTTGTCGTCTTCGGATTGGCCGCCATCTGTTGAAACAGATACTCTAGGGACGACGCTTTCTTCAGACTCAGAAAGGCGCGAGGCACCGGGAGGGCGCCGACGAGACATAGAAGGACGTGGCGAATCACTAAGGAGTGATCGACCCGGAGAAGTCGAGCGTCGCGGAAGCTGTCCAGGATAGATGGACGAGGTCCAAGAAGACCGCACGCTGTCACGTTTCGTTGATGAACTTGCACGAAGTATGCTGTTTCTCACCGTCCGATCCAATACTCGCTTCTCTGTATTAGGGAAGAACTCTCCAAGATGAGAGGTGATAAGTTCCGATGGAGGTCGAGCACCAAAGAAGCGGCGAAGCTTGCTCTGTTGCGGGCTGGGTCGCAATGAAGTGGAAGGGGATTGTTTCGACGGCGATGTAGTGATGTCCGGTGGAAGTATACCCAGACCCGACATGACACTGACTGTACTAGCTCGCGCGAGTTTCTTGTTCGCAGCAGATTGGCCCATAGGCTTGCCGGCTGTCTCACCAGGAGTAACGGGTCGTGAGAAGGGACGTGGTGCGGCTCATCACTATCTGGGATTGCTAAGACGGGTCGTGGAGTAACGGCGACAACCGGTTTGCCAGGGCTGGTAGGCGAAATTTGGGTAACATTGGTGGGAGGGATCTCGCCAAAGAAGTTCTCGAGTTTGTTCGTATTTTTTCTTGGTGGATTATACCTTCGGAGAGTCAGACCGTGTTCTCTGGCCGGATTTGAAGGATCCGCTTGACAAACTGCCAGAAGTTCAGCCTCACTCAATGGTTGTCCTGATATAATGTCAGCCTCTCGTCCGTATTGGGTGGCCTTTTTCGGCTTACGAGGCCCGGTGTTGCCTGGTCCTTCCAAATAGACGACCCAACCATCAACGACCAGACCTCCATTCTCTGTTTGGCCCACGTACGCTTGGCCCCCCATGGATTTACCCATCTTCCTCAGGACCATTTCCACTACATCAACACCATTGGAACAGTCCCCTACATTGACTACCCTTGAATGACCGTCGTCCGCAAGTATAAACTTCACACAACGACGCTTTAGCTCCTCTAAAGACATTGGTGCGCCTGAAGCATTCGATGGTGCCTTGCTCAGCAAACCGCGACTGTGACCATTCGCAGCATCCTTTGAATCATCACGATCTTGAAGATTATTTCTCTCAACAATAGGACTCAATGTGAAGCCGTTCGCTAGATTCGAGGTCGGCACATGAAGAGAGGGCAGAGTGATTGAATTTCCGACACCGTATGGGTGAGAGTGGGAGACTGGTATATCGCCAGACGTCCCTGGACGAGTGACACCAGGTTGGTTCGGAGGGGCGACAGGTCTGACGAAAGACGTGGAGCCCGCTTTCTGGTGTGAAGCTCGGGTCGAACTTGATCGAATAGGTATCGGTGGTACAGGAGAGTTTGAACGAGGTATAGGTGCGTTTCTTGGATCTAGAACCTTTGCAAATGCGCCTCCTGGTAGGTTTCCGGGATTGGGACGGGCTGGAAGTGCAGGTTCTCCTGGTTGCCAAGACCCATTAGATGATGTTGGAGCGGGAGGAAGTTCTCCGCGAGTGAAGGGGGGTGGGGCGTGTGGTTCAGGCGTTCTCCTTCCAGGATGAGCGCCAGTGCCATTAAGGCCATTGCGAGAGGATTGTCGAGGGGGTGGAGGGGGTTGGAAACGTGGCGCTGGCATTTGAGGAGGAAGGTTCCCGCGTGCACTAAGCTGAGGAGCTTGAGGTGGTGTCGCGGATGACCCGGAGGATGATGTGGTATAACGAGTGGAGGTTGCGCCGACAGGTGTTGGCATTCCATGGGAAGTTTGAATCACCTGAGGGAAATTCTGTGGTGGAGAGTCTGAGATGTGCAAAGGAGGGGGTCTCCCCGTATCTAAACGTCGGCCATTCTGTTTGCTAACGCCGGGATCTTTCGAATCTTTCGCACTTAGGTCGGCAATGACTCGTGGATGCAGTAGAGTAGGAGCCGGTGATTGAACCCTCATGCATCTCTGGCGCAGCGCCTTTATGGCGACTATGATCTTTATTCGGTCACCAACGCTAAGCACGCCAGTTTCCTTCAACGCGCTTTGATCCAAATCAAGAATAACGTCCCCGCGAATATCGTGATCTTTAAAGCGAGACGCGTACTGAGGAACTTTGGCATCGGCGAGCCAACGAGCAACATGCGTATCAGACCATTGTTTAACCCAATCCAGATATGTAAGACCTTGGGGGCACTCGAGAGAGACGGTGGGTGAAGCGGGGCTTTGTGATCTTGACTTGACTTGTAATGGAGAGCCCGGCTGTCGTGAATGGAAATTCGAGATAAATAAATCCGTTGTTGGGGTATTTGTCGCCTCTGACGGCAGTCCTGGCTCAGATGGCATGAGGGCGGGCGCAAGGACGGCTCGGAATGGTTGTCCGGAAGCAAACACACGGTTCTGCCTTTTTGTGTCCTCGCTTCAACTTCCCCATCCCATCCCATCATCGTGATTTAAGTAATAACACACATCATTATTCTCCAGCAGTTCGTAATGTAGCGTGTAAGTGAACCATTGGATCAGGACTTGTCCCATCAATTTCTAAGCGAGTTTGATTAACGAAGTGGCTCTGATCCCGCCCGTTGCCTTGCCGTACATTTCAACGGCCTCGAGTGACGCAATTTCTATCTATCGGTCCTTTCAACAACCCGATAGGTTCGCACAAACCACCGCGTTGAGGATGGAGATTGCATCCTTTTCAGTGAATCGAAGGAATCATTGCAGACTTTTCCATATTTACGCATGGGCTCTTGCAAGACGAACGGCTCGGGCACAGGGACAAGCATATCTCTCTATAGTTCATACAGTTCCAATTGTCTGGTCTAGACGTCGTCGATCTAAGTGCCACTCCTGCACCCGACACCACGCGTGTGGGAGTGTTCATGATCCTCGGAACAAGTATCTTGCAAGTATCGAGGGAACAACCAACTACAGTACAAAGCGTCTCCCTCTCAGCGAGATTTTTCCATTCGCGTGGCTCACAGTCACTTGTACCACAGCTAATTCCGGTGGGCGGGTTGCCGAAATCACTTGTTATCCTCATCCTCTTGCAGGGTGGGACCATTGGCGAGATTCATCTGGGGGCAATTCCAAGCACTTGCGCTGAACACGCCCCCTAGACCTGCGCAGGCCTCGATTGAACATCCATAAATCCGACCCGCCCCCCCCAGTCGCTGAACCCCACGTCAGTATAAGGCTAGCTAGGGAATATGTACACTACGAAACGTTGTACGCACAAAACACTGACAGCTAGACCTCGTTTTAGCCAGCCGCATTAATCACATGTCCGTTGCATATCTGCAACATCAGGACCTCATTGCGGCCGAACAACAAACTCAAGGCTTCGACAACAGGATGCTGAGGAATGGTGCTCTGGTGTCGATAATCGCCAGATTGTGGATTTAGGGCATGAGGCCTGAAATAAGGAAACTTAATACTGCTAGGAGTGCACTCTACGGGTAAGATAAGATTTATGTTTCTTTTCGTGACGTAGTTCATGAAATAAATACAGTCATGTTTTCGTAATGTAGTCGTAATGCCGCTAGCGGCCAGTACCATCTCTAAACTTGCTGTAAAGACGGATCCTTCCCCGAACCATTCGCCTTCGATCTTCGATGCCTCATTACCAGGGCCCAAATGACGAGAGCCGAAAATATTACTACGGAGGGAAAGGCATTGACAGGCGCGATTAGACATGAACGTGAATAGTAAACATTGTTCATTCCTCGCACCTCCGGAGACGGCACCAATGATAGTCCAAATCAGCTGCCCTTTGGAACACTTTACAGCCTGGCCACTGCACGGTCGCAGGGAACGGCGTTGTTTATCATTCCTCGATGCACAACTCTCAAAGATGAAGAATCAGCAGCTTACTTCGAGTCAGTGCAGTTTGTATCCACGGGGCCGTTACCACCTAACGGGCCAGATCTAGCCTGCGTTCCAGTGCAATGTAATAGAACGACTAAGATCGTTAGGAAGAAGTTGAAGACGCTCGACTTTTGATGTCTAAAGGTCATGAGGACAATTCGCACGAGGTGCGCGCGCACTCCACACGCAATCCCAAGCTTTATACGACATGGGGGCGGTGACAATGACTTGCGCGCGGTCGAGAAGGGATTGCACAACATAGTTGCAGAAACAGACGTTGTTGCATGGCAAACAACAAGAAACTGGAGCGTTTCGCGACCGTTGTTGTTGCATAGCAACGCACGAGGCGGCACATATTGTATTCACCGGACCCGCTGGCCCCTGAGTTTGTTTCCTGACAAGGCATGAGCCCCACGGCTAAGATGCGCTGCATGGGTGAGGGGCAGTTGTCCCAAACTAATGAAACGTACCCCATTTGATAATTCTCGGAGCTCTAAACTCGGTCATAACGCATTCCACATTTTAGAGCGAGGATCGGATCGTCTAAATCCACAGATGCCTCATCATTCTGGCTTCGGAACGCCCGCTGAGCGAGAGTGCTGAACATTGCAAATTGCGCTTATGGAAGGAGCGTGTAGACTATGATGTCACAATATTCAATCCCAGCATCAAGGTGCTGTGAACAAAGCCGTGGCTAATTCATGACGAAGACCGGTCGCAAACCGATCGGTCCAGTAATAAAACATGTCCAAAATCGACATAAGCGCTACTCCTAATCGATGCTGCTGGCGGCATTCGAGATTGGCATGAACGCCAGGCATTTGGGCCTGAGGATTGAGCGCTACGAACATAGCTCATTGGGTGAGAGAGACCGCGAGACAACAGCGAGGGGAGGCTGCAAGGCTGTCCAGATCTGGTGGTGTAGTCAATACTTAGGCGTTTCTTGCTGTGTCCAGGGTGTGTGCGATCGTCTATTCCAATAGAGGCTGGTCAGTGTGATCGAGTCCTCAAATGGTAAGCTCTGCTCCAGTGGAAGGTTTGGAGGGAGCCGGAGGGACCCCCAATGGGCGGGGAAGCAGTCGGTCGAACGTTGTGTTCAGCTGGTAACGTGTCGATTAGGTGATGAAATGATGATTCGAGCGTGGGAAACCCCTGGGCAAACGCATAGCCGGCGCTTGCCAGTACTTACCGGCATCTACTAGTAAAGCTCATATGAAGCTGATTGCGCTCCAGGACCCTGATGGAAGGATCCCAGCTTTCACCGACGTACGTGCCCCACAGGCGCTTACTGCCAGCCCTCTGTGCGAAGCGAACGCAGTGACCAGTGCCTCAGTATGACCCCCCACCTTGCTCGTTTATATCTAGTTATCATATTGATCCTGCTTCCAGTTCTAGGCGGTGTGATACTGGCTCTCGTGCAGTAGAGTCATCGCCCATACCAATTACTTAACGAACCCGGGTCATGATTCGGTATCAGAGATTCGTATGGTGTGGACCAAATAGTCAATGCATATATCAAATCCTTGCTCAACCTTCCATAACCAGACGGGGGGGCCTCGTGGCTCTGGCTTTCGCACACGTGCGTTCCGCGCCTAAAGCCCTCTCTCCTCCATCCACTCGTTCCGCTATCAACCATGTCGTTGCGGGAAAAGGCTGAAACTCTCAGGAAAACGATCAATATTTATCTCGAGGCGGGAGTTGACATGGCGGTTCCAATTCTCAGGGTCGTCAATGCTACCGCTGATTGGTGTCCTCCTTTAAAGATGGCGACTGGCGGTGCACTCTCCATTCTCGACGAGGTTAAAGTTGGTAATGATTCAAGCTTGATTATGAGTGAAAGCTCACGCTAGTTTGCGCCACGTAGAAGTTCAAAGAGGACAAGGAACAATGGGCTGGTTTTGGTGAATACGTAGCTAGCACTACAGCCAACGTAGTTTCAGCCATAAAGTCTTATGATATATCAGCGGGGGAGGCAGGGGTATGGGTAGAGGGTGTCGCGGAGCTTGGAAGGTACGTCGTATTGGTTTTCGGTGGTTTCGGATATCATACTTACGTCCAGTACCAGCGCGCTACAGGAGATCCAGTCAAAAATCGAACGAAGAATTAGGAAACTAGAGGAATGGTCAGGTGTAAGAAATGCATGGTCCCACTATCGAGACCCTGGAAGAATTGAGGGCCTAAGGAAAGATTTTGACAAAGCGTTGGCATCGTTTCAGGTAGCTTTCCTCACGGTATCGTTCCATAAGCATTCTGATTTCCGGTCGGTGTAGCTTAGGACGAATTTAACAATCGGTATCAAATTATCGACCATAGAGGACCGTCTGGAGAGTGACACAATCCTCGGTAGTCTCCGATACCCTCAAATCGCCCACCATGATTCAACAGAGGCGTGCCTGGAAGGCACCAGAGTCGATCTCACGGAGCGTATCATGAACTGGTGTTGTAACACCGGGGATAACGAGAACCGGCTGATGTTACTGACCTCTGTCGCTGGCGCTGGCAAGACTTCGATTGTGCACACGGTTGCCGATAGATGCAACAGGGAGGGTGTCCTATTGCTATGCTTTTTCTTCAGAGCAGGCGAACAGTCACGGCCGGACCATTTATTCAGCGGCATTGCTCAAGCTCTAGCAAGCCGTGATGCAGATTACCGTACCTTCATTATCTCTGCCCTTCGAAAAGACCCCACCCTCTCAACAGCTTCATTCGCGATGCAGTTCCAGGAATTGGTGTCTTTGCCTCTCCTTCATAAGCCTCCGCCTCCCAGCCACCCTATGGTGGTCATTATCGATGCTTTGGACGAATGCGATGAAGAAGCATATCACCCCCTCGCTAAGATTCTCTGCGAGGAAGTACCCAAGTTACCGTCTTCCATAAAGTTTTTCGTTACTTCAAGACATGTTGATCTTGTTAATCGCTCCCTCTCACGTCATTTCCCTATCGATCACCTCACCATTGATCTCCTGGATGACATAAATATGCATGACTGTGCTGCATACATCCGTTTCCAGCTACAAGAGCTTAAGAATTGGCATCCCGATTTAGCGCATAAACTCCAGGACGAGGATAGTACGGTGCAGGAGATCTTGGATCGAGCGGGTGGCTTATTCATTTGGATCAGCACCATCTTTCGCTACATGAAGAAGCCTAGGAAGAATCCTATGAGAACACTGGAGAGCCTGCTTGACACCGGAACCAAACGATCAAAGGTGCCCACTGAGAAGATGATGGATGACCTGTATACGAGGATTTTGAAGAAGTTTGATTGGGAGGATGAAGATTTTGCGCATGATTATCCGATTGTGATGGGAGCGATCTTCGTTGCTCAGCAGCCTCTCTCCGTCACAGCCTGGGATACAATTCTGTCACCTTTCCTCGATTCTTCTGTTCAATATGCTTTAGCCGAACTTGCTCCTCTGCTCTCAGGAGTTGAGGATTCCCACATTCCGGTTCGCATCTTACACCAATCTTTTCGCGATTTTATTGTCGATCGGATCGATCCCCAAATGATCAACTTTCATTTCACCCCCATATCAGTGGGGGCGGAGAATGCCAGGGTTGCCCTGCGATGTACTGAGATTTTGAACAAGGATCTGTGCTCTGTAAAGGGCTTAGGGTTGATTGAAAACTTGTTCCACAAAGATGAAATGCCGCGCATTCCTCCAGAGGAGTTATCGGAGCACTTTCATTATGCATGTCGCCACATCATCCATCACCTCAGTGGAGTCCAGGAACGGTCTGAGGAGCTTGCTGGGCCAGTTACTATGTTTCTGAGTCAGGAAGCAACTCGGTGGGTGGAAGTCTGTGTGAGAGCGGAAAGCTATGTCAGTATCTTGTTACTCCCTGAATGGGCTAAGGTATGGGTTATCAATTGTGTCAACGAAACTACCTCATGATCTTCCAGTTGGTTGTTGACCACAGGGCTCTCAGTGCACTGGCTAAAGTGCTTACCAAGCTTCCGTGGAACCTGGAATTTTTTTCAAGATTCCAGGAGGCATATGAAGCAGCAAATGATTCTGTTGTACTCTGCCGTTGCCTTTTTTCTGTGAACTCAAGTTTATACACCCCGCATTTGGCTGAGTCACTCGACAGTTTATATGTCGCCCTTTCCAAACTCGGACGGCACTCAGAGGCACTCCCATTCATCGAAGAAAGTGTCAAACTCCGGCACCAATTGGTTGCTGTTAACCCAGGATCGTACACCCCAGATTTGGCCACCTCACTCAACTATCTACGTAATGCTCTTTCCGAACTTGGACGGCACTCGGAGGCACTCCCATTTATCGAAGAAAGCGTCAAACTCCAGCGCGAGCTAGTTTCCGTTAACCCAGGATACACCGGGGATTTGGCCATGTCCTTCAACAATCTATATATTGCTCTTTCCAATCTCGGACGGCACTCGGAGGCGCTCCCATTCCTGGAAGAAAGCGTCAAACTCTACCGCCAGCTAGTTGCTGTTGACCCAGAATCATACACCCCGGAGTTGGCCAGGTCATTCAACAATCTACGCAATGCTCTTTCCGATCTCGGACGGTACTCGGAGGCACTCCCATTCATTGAAGAAAGTGTCAAACTCCGGCGCCAACTAGTTGCCATTAACCCAGGATCATACACCCCGGAGTTGGCCACCTCACTCAACAATCTATATAACGCTCTTTCGGATCTTGGACGACACTTGGAGGGGCTCCCATTCATTGAAGAAAGTGTCAAACTCTACCGCCAGTTGGTTGCCGTTAACCCAGGATCATACACCCCAATTTTGGCTGCATCACTCAGCAATCTACGTATTGCTCTTTCCAACCTCGGACGGCACTCGGAGGCGCTCCGGTTCAACGAAGAAAGCGTCAAACTCTACCGCCAGCTAGTTGCCGTTAACCCAGGATCATACACCCCGTATTTGGCTTTGTCACTCAACAATTTATGTAATGCTCTTTCCAACCTCGGACAGCACTCGGAGGGGCTCCCATTCATCGAAGAAAGCGTCAAACTCCAACGCCAGCTAGTTGCCGTCAACCCAGTATCATACACCTCGCATTTGGCGAGGTCACTCCAGAATCTAGCTGCCGCACTTTCCAAACTCGGACGACACTCGGAGGCGCTCCCATTCATCGAAGAATGTGTCAAGCTCTACCGCCAGCTAGTCGCTGTTAACCCAGGAGCGTATGCCCAAAAATTGGCCCTCTCACTCGAAAATCTACGTAGTGCTTTTTCCATCCTCGGACGCCATTCCGAGGCACAAATGGTCCTCATTGAAATCTTCGGCATTTCATTGGCCTCATCACCTGCACATGGCGGGCAAGCCTGAATTGGATATTCAGCTTGAGAACACCCACAAATCCAACCTCCATTTTTTGATTGCAGACTATTGATAAAAGATCTACAGAGTTCACTGGCTGCGCTACACCTATAACAAATCACAGTCGCATCTTTCAATTCTAACAATATTAAGGGTATTCATTTCTTTCTCTAACGCAGTTTTCCTCGCATCGCTCATCGCTGATGTATTGATATATGTTTCTATATATGACGCCGAGGTTTCGATCGATCGATGATACATGTTGGCACAATGGAAAGATGAAATCGACAGGTCGGCACTGTTCGATGTATCGCGTTAGGGGTGTGAAAGTTGAGAATCAGTGGAAGCATAACGGTGTGCAGTGACGGCTTGGGGGTGTCCAACTCCGATACGTAAGAGACACATCATGCTTTGACTTAACACTTCGATAAGCAGTACGCGTGTCGAATCGTCGTCACATGTCTTCGAATGGAGCGAAGTGTGTGATACCAATGGCATTAGAGTGACGTCAATCTTTGCGAGTATCAGATTCGATTCGGCAAACTCACAACCAACTCCAGCGACCAATCTGCATAGCCTACCCACCTCTATGATCCAACCCCCACTACCAGCTATTTATGTCCTTAATTCGACCGATGTGTTGAGCCCGAGGGCTAAGACGACGGGGATAACGGAGATGAAGTTTGGTTACACATCCAGCGCGTTTTTGCCCCTCTTTGGCGTTGCGTGTGCTATCCCCCCTTCCCTTCCTCACACCCTTTCCGCTTCAGGATGTTCGGGACGTAACTGATCAACGCTCTGAGCGCAAAAAGTGGATTCGCTGTTTTGGAACCGTCGCCTCCATCATCTTTTGCGCGGCCTTACCGGAATAAGATCAACCATTGACCGAGAATCCTGCTCAGAATCGGATGAAGGAGCCTCCTTGTGCTGTTCGATTCCGTGGTAAATCCAAGGCAGTTCTTTTTGACAGTATCTGAAGCTTATGGAGAAGATCAAGGCTGTAGCGGAGGGACAGGGCAGTGCGAGTACGAGTGGCGCGGGAGGGCGGAGTGGGAGGGCGGGGTTTGGATCAATGAGGATGTGAGCGAGCGGAGTGTGAGGGGTTTGGGGAGCAGTTAGAGTATGTTTTCGGAGTATACTCTACATGATCCCGGCATCTTTAAGCGCATTTTGTAGTATCGTCTATTTTTCCGCTGCGAAAACGAGTCGGATCTACGGTCAAGAACAAGAACCGGAGGCATTTGTGAAGCATCAGCGACAGCAAAGCAAACAAATGCACGAGTATCAGCCGCCTGGGTCAAGCTAGCTCACCCCGCTCGCCTGCGAAAACCCCCACAAAATAAACTTGGATCGCTGGCCGCCATGGGTTCTTAACTCTTACTCGTTACCGGGTCGTGCACCAAGAGACGATCTTCGTTTTCATTTTTCAAGCACTGCAGTCGTGAGCTTCATACGATCCTAAACTCCGGTCCATTCATTCATTTCATTATCTTTCCTTGGTTCTGTCTTGCGTTCAGTGCTGGAGCTGACCGTGAGGTGCCATATTTTTTTCACCTTTCTCTACGACCATGACCAGCCATGTAATAATTGTGTATCGATAACCGTCCTTTGTCGAATTTACACCAGATCTTGTTCTGGTAAGTTAGAACGCTGCGTGCAAGCGTACACTTAACTCTGCAGACTACATGTGCACAACGTTTGGATTTGAGTGCCGTACCAATGCAAATGAAGACCTATTGAGCATGCAGTGCCGAGTTCTTTCTTGATGACCACAATCGCGCCGTTCGCTGGATCAAGCTACAAAACCCGTATACATTGTATGACGGTTCTACATGCACAACTGTGTGTGAGTTACTAAAGAATATGTTTAAGACTGGACAGTTATAACAAAACACATACAAGTGAGCTGCCTTATGAGCTGAGTGTGATACAGCTCCAGTGAACGCGAATCAGGCTTGGAGTCCCGAGCTGGTTGGAAAGCCGTCCAAGTGCAAATTGTAATAACTGATAATTAACCAGTGCGCGGATGTCAAACGTCAAACGGCCACAATACTGTTCAAGTTGGCGCAACCGCAAACAGCACTAGCGGAACAGCTCCACAAGCCCGGAATATGAAATGAGTTACTGAAAAGAATTTCTGCATTTGCATGCTGTCCTTTGCTTGTTGCATACTTTGCAGACATTACATACTTTGCATGCTTCACACACTGTGGCAACTTCCCATAGTTCCCACACTTTCCATTTTCGATAACAAACAAATTGCTTCCGATACAAGTCACGCTGTGGGTTCAATACAAAAAGTCACATGCTACAGAGTGTGGCTATTTCCGCAGGGTCAAACACAAGCCCGATTGGGCCAGGTTAATGTTAACTAATTTTTTTCTGGGTTGGGGAGATCAGAGCTTTAATGGCTGGATAGTGATGAAGCACAGCCATACTACATTTTACAAAATTCCGGAAAAGGTGGTTACTCATCTCATTTCGCGGAATAGCCACACTCTGTAGCATGTGACTTTCTGTATTGAACCCACAACGTGACTTGTATCGGAAGCAATTTGTTTGTTATTGAAAATGGAAAGTGTGGGAACTATGGGAAGTTGCCACAGTGTGTGAAGCGTGCAAAGTATGTAATGTCTGCAAAGTATGCAACAAGCAAAGGACAGCATGCAAATGCAGAAATAACTGGTGGACGCTGCCTGACGCGGCAGAACCCGCTACTCTGATCACCTCCTGCCAATCTCGCACCGTTCTAAACGGTCTGCAGAAGCACTTCAAGTGAAATCCATTTAGTCCGTTACAGCGATTACAGTCAATACAAAGACCACGGAGGTCCAACTGAGCCATCAACAGAGGAATCCCAAACTTCAAGTGATCTGTATTTAGTTTGTTCCGGAGATTACAGTGAATACAAAGACCATGTAGGTCCGACTGATCCATATACAGAGGAATCCCAACTTCACTCAGTCGACTCCAGTTGTTTATGCACGGTGTAACGGGTCTATCGCCTAGACTCGAGACAGAGAGAAGGGGGAGGGTGGTAGTGTGCACGGGTGTGGTTCGTTGGGCCGGGTCTTGGTCCGTGGGCGCTACTGAGTCTGCAAAAACCTCAAACAAACACTCACCTACGTCTCTCTTGGACGTCAAGGCTGAGTATTATGATGTGAGGGGTCTTAGACGTTATCAACTAGCTCAATGGGGGCGTTAGGGTCGTGGATGGCGTCTTTGCCCCTTGGATGCAACTTCTGCTTGTCCCTTCACGGGTCTATTCAATACTAACTTGTTATGTACAAGCTGTTATCTAGTTTATATATGTTGGAAATGAAATGAATGGACTGGGGGAATGTAAACGGGCCGTTAGGCAACCGTAAATGATGAATATCCAATTGGGAACAAAGAAACAATAAAAGAAATATGAGTGAATGGGGAAAATGTGACAACGGGTCCGAAATGGGAATTGTGAAGATTAACTCCGCAACAGTTCGCCACAGCACCCGCCTATCCTCCCGTCAGCAACCTCCTCGTCTCCAGCTTTCCAACGAGCCCTTATTCATCCCATTTGGTGCAGTGGTTCTTGAGATGTGGAGAGGGGGTGAAATTGGCGGCGTGGTTGGGCGTGGGAATTTGGCTTGGGGCTGTCGGGAATGATGGGGAAAATAAGGAAAAATATGGAGTGAGTGTATGGAGTGTTGGATAGTGATAGAATGAGTATCGGGAGCGTCAGCGGATATGTACTGCGTGTTAGTGACCAAATTCCGCAGAATCCGACTTTTTGCGGTACACGGAGTTGTCCCCACAACAACGGTAGTGTTTCGGTCACTGTGAGTTGGCACAAATAGTCAGACTAGGGTGAAATGAAAGGGAAAGCAGCGCCTACCTGAAAGGCATACTCAAGACATGGAAATGAGAAGCGCTGCGTCTTTGGCGCTCTTCGACAATTCTGTGGGCCCAATCGAATGCGAAGGTATCACTGTCAATATTCAGGTTTCCCAGAGTTCCGAGATGCAATGTAGCACTCACCTTGGCGCAGGGCGCGGGGCACACAACCAGATACACAGCTGATGGCTGAACTTGAAAGTGTGTAACCTCATTGGGGAGGTGCTAATCAACACGTGGTAGTGCGTGCACCCGCGACCTTGAGGTTCTTCAAAGAAGCGAATCATCTTCGGGTGGGGGGACCAAGTCTTCTCTGAACGGCATTTAAAGTAAGAATGGAACCCAGGTTAACGGTCATTGAGCGTCAATGGAAGGATATAGCAGCATTGTGAACAAGGGGGTCATCTGCCAGGAACTGGGTATGAACGAGAGAACCTATAACTTGACCCAGGACGGGCAGACTCAGGGGCACTACTTGCCGACGTATTGAGGCTACCATTCCGTCTAATGGGCAGGTATTGCCAATATCGCGAGAAGAGTGCATATGAGTTGAACCCAGCAGCAAATGACAATTCATAAGTACGCTAGGTAAATACATACAGTAGTTCGGACAGAAGATTCCAACTTATGTGCTCACAACTCGGCTGCTCAAAGCCCTCGAAAACTGACCCGGAGGTGAATCGCCAATGCGTCACAACTACAAATCAACCCAATCCTGTTCATCAGCCTTGCTCGTGGTCGAAGATGTAAATGGGTGCCTGGTCGAAAAGGGGAAGGCGAATGTGAGTCGTCCATTGTGTAGAATAGTTGTGGGCAACATACATCACTTCATCTTCAATGACCACCGGCTCTTTGACATCGAGCGAAGTATCCTGTTTGGAGTCCAGCTTACCTTGTGTGTAGCCAGACAGAGCCTTAGATGCGACTTCCTTTCCTTTCCCATGATGATCCATAGTGAGCAGTTCCTCGACGGGAGGCAACAGAAGGACCTCTTCATTGTTGGACCCACAGTCCAAGGAGGAATCCTCTCTTTTTTTGTTGTCACCATTACGAGTGAAGAAGGGACCGCACTTGGGCGGACCCAGCAACTCTTCTTCAGCAATGCGTTTTTTGCTGCTGGACGCGATGGCGATTGGTTCCTCTTGCAGTGCTCCAGCCCGACCCACTATCTGAATCACAGTCCAGTGCAATTGAAAGGAGTGAATTTCACCCCTCACCGTATTTCAGGCTCGCGTGCTAGTACACAGGCCAATCAGCCAACAGAACAGCTGTAGCGTGGTAGACAAACAGGAGGACGTACAAATGCAGAGACACAGTGCCGATGACTGCCATTCCTTCCTTAAAAATCAATTCCATTCCGTCGCACGAGACATCCATACCGTCGTCATCAAAAGCGTGGAGGTCGACATGGAACTTAAAGTCTCTTTGCATGTTGGGAGATGGGAGCGCACGACGATAGTGACCCTCGGGATCCCACTGGGGATGAGAGAATACAGAGGGAGTGGCATCGTTGTTGCTTGTTGTCACACTAGCTGGAGAGGCCGGATCTGCGGGCAATCCGTGAGCAAAACAATGAAGGCAAGACTATAGGGCTGCAAGAAGGAGTACGAACCGGATTCTAACGCCAAAGACACGTTTACTTTTTTGCCCTCCTTGAGAGGAGAAGCTCTGCTTTCCAAAAACATAGGGTGAAGGATCCGAAGGAAAGGACAATTCTGATCGTCCAAATATGCCCATCCAAACTCGTTCTCATGAATCTCAATCATGTCCTCTGTACGGGTTCAGATGACGTTGCGAAGAATTTAGTAAATAAATCACCCACCTTCGCAGTGCACCCCCAAGCCAGAGGCATTCTTAATCCGGTTAAGAGCCCGGATTTGATCTGCGAATAACTTTTTCACCATTCGTGGAGCCGAAGAAGGCATGCTGAGGTGCATTTGGTATCTGGTTGCGTTAACCTTTGATCGCTGACCAAACAATTAAGATCAGTACTAAGGCGAAAGTTGGAACCCAAGCACAGTACGCACGCCTTGCTCACGCCATGTGTTAAAGGGAGCGGACCGTTGATTTCCATAAGGACCCACCTCAGTCATGGAGATTATGCCGAAAAGCGCAAATTCACCCCACACATTGCGTTTCTCTTGTAAGACCCAAGACCCACAAATGCTTTGCCCATTTGAGGATGCGGCACTTTTGTATGACAAAGAGGAAGCATCAATCGATCCCAAAAAATTCTCAGCTTGTGTGTGTGCAAGGAGACGAGAAACAATGGTGGATTCCATCTTGAGTTTGCACGAAGAGGGCACCGAGAGTGAGAGCTGTCCATCGAAGCAGCTTTTATCCATGCCCAGAACTCGCGTGTGAAAAGAGGCGGAAAACCTAGCAGCATAGAAAAGGATGAGAATGATCTCTGCAAATTGAAACCCCAGCACATCAGATGCTAAGGGGAGGTTTGGAGTCGTAACAAATCTAGGAGCACAGCCAAGGAAGAGAAAGATGGTCAATTCCGTTTTGGATCCATCTGAAATCAAGAGTGAATTGACACCCTGGTGCCTCAGACCCCAGGGGATTTCCAACATAACAGCAGATGGTCTCAGAAGTCATTCGGTACAATGGAAGGGGAGGTTTGGAGATGGTGGGTCTTGTGCATGGTGTGCGGATCCGGACCCATTGGAAAACAAGTGTTGGGGACAGGTTTGGAGATTGATCCACTGGTGGTTCTTGTGCCTGGTGTGCAGATTCGGTGCCGTCAGAACACATGTGTTAGGACGCCAATTGGCTGTGGGTCTTGTTCAGTTCAAGCCTGAACCGGATGATGCCAAATTGGATGGAAAGTCGACCAACTCAGTTTTGCATAGTACTAATCAGCTGGCGGAGGGATCCAGTTATTTCAATTGATGCCAAATGCAATCCAACTCATACCACTGATATTGAGGAGGGAGGCATCAAGCTATTCTAACCTCCTTCTCTTACTCCTTGGTGGATCATGTGGCTGGTGCAGGGCACTCTGCCCTATTGAAAAAGATGAGTTGGATCAACAATAGTGCAACCCAATTGTAGGGTAGCCACATACCTGCTGTTGGAGAACTTGCAATTTCATTTTTAAGGCCATGGCCTCTGCATGACGGAAGTTTTGTGAAGTTGTCTGCAAAATAGTCTCGCATTCTAGAATTTGCAGGCGAGAGTGTTCCTTGCGTAGGTCTCCATTCATGTGAGACATAATACGTTTGGGGTTGAAAGGGCGCAAAATCAGCAAGTTTTCCAGTGCTGTAGCGCGTGATATCATCACATAAGCTGATTGAATGGAACGCGCACTTTCAATGTCAAGGATCACTTTGGGCATTGTCCTACCTTGAGATTTGTAGTCAGTAATACAAAATGCTGGGAGCAACGGCAGTTGGCTTCGTTTCACAGTAACCGATTGACCACTGAATGGGTGTGAAACTTTGAAGGATAGCGTTTTCAGCAAAATCACACATTCATGAGGGAGCAGCTCTGTAAAAGAATGTTCACTGGAATCTTCAATTCTGACCACACAGCTGGTGGCACACCATGTGCCATGATCATCTGTGGTGTAACGCACTGATCTGAGTATTCCTTCACTGCCATTCACAATACCCCCTGACACATCGAAATTGTCACAAACCATCACTGGCATCTGAGGCAGTAAAGGCAAACGGCCAATGGTGTAACCAGTCTGTGAGTCAGATGTGAGATTCAAGAGTAGATCAATCAGTGCTTCATCCTCTATTTTCTGATTGTGGAGATAGTGGGTGGCTTCATATGTTGAAAGAGGCAGTTGATGACGAGCAGCAAATGTCTTCACTGCTGACCAATTTAATGCATCTTTCACAGCATTGGAGGCTGTTACAATGGGAGCAGTTTCCCATGTGTTCGAATGCAGGTCATTTGGTGGGATGGATTGGAGCAGGCGGCTATTCAGCAAAGATTTATCAGCCAGTGTACATGTACCAAATCTCAATCTGGACAGCAGATCTCGAAATGCGGTGTTGTGGGCACCTTCTTGACGCATAGACTGCTTCAGAAACACCACTGTGTCAACCAGTAACCACAGCTGAGATCCCTTAAGTTTCTTTTGTCTGCGGTCTGATATAGAGTCGGATGGCTTATTTGTCAACATCTTAGTAGCTGTATAGAGTCTGGTGTAGCCGACAGGGGGCAGTTGACAAAAATCGCCTGCAAAAATCACACTGATTCCACCGAAAGCATCAGTTGATTCTCTTGCCAGTGATAGTGCAGCACTAATGTCTGCCAATAGTTCGCAACCAATCATAGAAACTTCATCAATGAATAAATAGTCCACTCCACACCAGAAGTGAATCAGATCAGTGCAACTTTGAGAGCCATTGGATCTTGTCATCAGTGGCAACTGAGACAAATTGAGGGCTGAGTGCAATGTGCAACCATTGATGTTTCGTGCTGCAGCGCCAGTGAAAGCACATAAATGCAGTCGACGTGACTGGTTGATTGAATCAAAGAATGCTGATAATGCCTTAATCACTTGTGATTTCCCAGTACTGCCTGCACCACCCATATACATGTACAATGGTTGCCAAAGATCAGAAGGCTGTATGGCATGATTGGCCACCAGAAGAAAAGCATGCTGTTGTTCTACATTCAGTGCAAATTGTGTTGTGACTGCATTCAGCACCTCCTGGATGGCGATCGGTGGGCTCAGCGGTGGGTGACTGATGATCTGAGGCAGTACAGAACTCCAAGTAACATTGGAGTAAGATTCATTGAGTATGAGCATTGCTTGCATTGAATTTTCTGAATTGAGGAGTTGGTGCGAGGAAGAAGAGTTAGTCAGCGTTGACTGTTTCAGAGCCTCTTTTGCCACTTGTTTCCGTGTCTTATAATCATCCAACCACCTTAATTCTAAAGCACCATGATCTGTGACTGGCTGAGCAAAGTTGTTGCCTGCGGATGGTTGAGAAAGGAGAGCATTCAGCGTGAGGGGATCCAATAGAACATCCTCGGTGACAGTGTCAATGAATAGCCCAGCATCTATGGCATGGTGAACAGCATTCTGAATGTCCACATCTTCCCGACAATGTTTGGTGGTACTTACTTCTTCCATGTCCAGAAGCTGATGAAGAATGGCTTGATCAAGTTCAAAATTCAAGTCAGCACCTTCTTCTGCATTGGCGACAGCATGGGGATTGTTTGTAATGAAATCAGTGTCATGGCCTCGCCCTCGACGCCTTGCATACTCCATATCACGACTGTCTTTGCATTCATGTAATATTTGAATATTGTCAATCAGTTGTCGGGTATGGACAGAAACTGTGGGCAGAAATGCATTGAAAGTGACTGACCAGGAGGTGTTGTCACCTAAAAGGTCAAGTGGAGAACGCCATGGTTTAAAAAGTGTGAGCATGACACATGAATAATACTCCAGGTTGGCACTATTGTCACGATGGGGAAGGCTAGGGCCAATTGGAACAGCAATCAGGCGAGAGTGACGATGCCTCAAAAAGTGTGTCAAATGATGAGGATGACTCTCATTGAGGCTGGAGCGAGGCAATCGATGTAAGTGAACATTTCCATCACCTTCATCTTCAACATTGGGTTCATTGACTGTGGTAGTAGAGCATATACGTACTTTGTCTACCCAGGAAACAAAATCCCAAACATTCATCTGCTCAAAAAGTTGGGACCGATCACGAGCAAGATAATTGGTGAGTTGATTTGGTGGGCGTTCAATATGCCCAGAAGATGGGTTCATTTCCAAAATGTAGGCATCTTCTGTGTTCGAGTTGTCTTGAACATACAACGCACCAGGTGGAGCAGGTGAACTGCCTGTGGAAGTGACTTCATTCTGTTGTACATAAGACACAAAACATGTCCAAAACAAAGAGCGGAATTGGTGACTGGTAAAAAAATCATCATAACCAAGTAGGTAAGAAGCCACCTGAGGTGCAGCCAGCTCTTGCTTGGCAATTAGAGCATTTGCACACTTAATCAATGTACTTTTGGCACGATCCATTGTGTGCAGTGGTTCCTCATGATTTTGATGCAATTTGGCAACAGCGGCTTGCAGTGCACCATATGCCACATGTGTTTTTAGTGGGGTTTTGGTAATGTAGTCTGTTATGTAATACAAAATGGCCTTGGCAGAAGTGCCTGACCCAATGAATTTAATGTCCATGTTGCATCTGACAGCTTTGATGATGGTTTCACAGTAATTGTTTATCAACCCATTGGAAACTCGCAAAGAAAGTTCCCCAGTGTCCATGTCCATAGAGCTGGAAGCACAAGTGCGTGCAGGAGATAAGCCAAAACGACACTCTGTGTTGCTATGTTTATAGCAAGTGGCTGTATGTGTATGCGATTGGCATTTGGTCACTAAGTTATGCAAGTCCTGTTCACAAACCATGAGGGGATGCTGGAGTGGATGACAGCGAACACTGCATGGATGGAAGTGGTTGGAGAAACAATCAGTCTCAGACTGATGATCTGGAATTACATTTCTGATGGTGTCGTCTAAAAAGTCGAGCAGCTTGTCACGCCATAGATAGTCATGGTCCTTCAGAATGCGGTCTTTGATTTGCTGTGGATTCAAAGCACCTTGGATCCACACCAGCATATGACAGTGCAGTGTACCTCGTCCTTGTGTTTCTACTGTACCATAATATGCACTGCAAGGCCCCAAAATACCATCAGAACATATAGCATCAGTCTCAGTGTGACCCAGGATAGCAGAAACAAATGCATCAATGACTAGTTTAAAAAAATGCGCAGCCAGAAAGGGGTTTCAGGCCACAGTACATGCCTGCTCCCAGTAAGATGGAACTTGTTCTGGTAACATATTGTCAATGTCAATGTCCGCACCAGACAAAAATTTTACAATTGGATTGTAAATGTCTGCTGGATTGATGGTTACAAAAAAACTAGGAGGCCCTCGGTCAAAAATGAGCGCTCGGATTTCATTCCTCATCTGGGTGTGTGCACTTTGAGACCCCGGCACTTTGGAAGTGATGACAGAGACTTCTTTCATCAGTTGGCACACAGCTCGTTCATCAGGACTTTGTGGGGGAAAGTGATTTCCATGAGATAAACAGGCAAGGGTAGCATCAAAAGTAGCAGATGATATTTCAGAGATAATATTTGCAACTCGATCAAAATTAGCATTGGAGGTTTTGAGTCAGCTGTGAAATGATGTGGTTTGTCGTTGGATGATGTTGAAGATGAGGAAAAGAAAGGAATAATGTTCCTGAAACCTTCGATCGGACAAACCAAACAGATGCTTTGCAAATATTTCCAAGCTAAGTGGGGAGGAACGGCTATAATGAAACCCTCCAATGCCATATGGAAACAAAGTTGGATATAAAAGTGGCAGTAAGTGGGGATCAGAATAATGATTGACAGGATCAGGCAAATGACCCACTTGAATGTGGCCCCCTATCTCCCCGTTGCATCATTTGAGGTGGCGAATTGCTGCTGCACTCATTTCAGCTGAGTTTGACCCACGCATGTCTATATCAGTAACAACCACACTTTGCAAAAGGCTGCTGAGTGGTGGAGAGGGTTCAAGTGGCATTCTGACATCATTAACTGGAAGGTCATAACGAGCCCCTGGTGCATCACCAGCCACAGAGCCCACAGCTTGCTCAATGGGAACCGGTGCTATGTCATGAAGTGGAATCTGGTGTAGATGATCTTGATGCAAAATGACATCACTATACAGTGGATTGTGACTAATCAGCCATTCTAATGCAGACCACACTTTCTCTCGGCGAACTATCAAAGGCTGTGCATTATTCAATAACCACTCCTTAGTTGGCATGGTTGAACCAACAAACACGATGCACATTGGAGTGATGACTTCATTCAAAGCTGGAGGCAGAAAAGGAGACAGTGTTTCCGGGTTGGTAGGAAACACAATGATATGGCCCTTTAGTGCTCGTTGAGAAGTAGGATTGGCAGAGGAAAAGGATGCACCTGTTGTATGTGAAGCAGGCACAGAATCATCATGCAAATGAATAATCCAGCTTTTTGCATGGCATCTGGCTATCAGAGCTTCTTCAATCAAAGTCAGGTCAGAGAGCTCAGGAGGGATGGGGCCAAAAAACAAATCGTTGGCAATAGCAGTGTTAGGCAAGTGCCGGCGTTTTAATGAGGCATGACATTCTTTGCAAATGCGAATCAATATAGTGGTGGCAGTTTCAACCACTCCAAGGGGGGACAACATAATGTGTTGCAGAAAAGGTATGGATGGAAAAGGATGAGGTGCATGGGGGGGTAATGTCTTTCAAGTAAGGAGGTGTCATAAGTTTGCAAATCAACGGGATCCGGTATCATCGCATCTTGAAACCTGGCTGCACCACAAACAGCACAAACTGATGAAGCCAGGTGTTTGGAGCTAAGCAATGAATAAAAGCCATTGAGTAAATGGGCTTTGGACTCTGTCGACAGCTTTTCCGGCCATCATAAAGCACATTGCTGTCTCCATTCATTGTACCGGGCATCAGCAGATGGAACCAGCGTTGGGGAGCATTCATTAGCATGCTGAAGCAATAAGTGGTGCAAGGTAGACATATTCGCAGAAGAGTCAAATGGCAAGTTGAAATGAGAGAGAATACGATGGAGAGCTCGCTCACGGATATTGACTTTGATGATGGAGCGAATTAGATTTGCACGGTTGATTAGTATTTGGTCTTCAGGCACAGGGTTTGCACTGCAATGCATGTGGAAGTCAGAGACAGAGTGTTCTTTGAACCCAAAGTTGCATGGGGAGTCGGAAAGCAAATGAGCAATGAGGGTGGATTGCAATTGTTCACGAGTTAGACTTGAACTGTGAAGATGACATGCAAGTTGATGAAAGCGGCAGATTGCAAGAAGTTCAAGACGAGATAAACGTTCAAAGCAATGGAAAATGCTGAACCGGTCTGGATATCGGTACTGAATGGTGGAAAATTCAGTCAATATGAGGGAATAGTCATTTGGACCAGCACGATATCGATTAGAATCTGCAACACCCAAAGCATTACATACAAGTTTCTGGAGTTCATGGGAAGCAGAAGGGGAAAGGAGGAAGTCAAACAGAAATCGGAGATAATCATCGATATGAACAAATTTCGCGCAGGTGTTGGTGCATGCACTGAAGGCACTCAAGTAGCAGTCCCCATTGACAATATGACACAGAAACGTGAAACAGGGATCATTGATTGTTACAGGATGTGTAAAAAGTCCGCGCTTGAATGCTTCATTTGCGATGGAGGGAGGAGAAGAAGCGGAAGTGGGGGACAAAAAAGCGAAAGGTGAGAAAGCATGGGGAGCAGCACTGTCTGATGGAGCAGCCATAGGAGAGGAAAGAAGCAAGTTGAGGGGTAACTGGAATGTTTTAAAAGGCAAGGAAGATTGGGCCAACTCAGGTTTCAACACACGTGCAATGGTAATAGAACATGAAAGGGAATGGTTAGGACCGAAGAGGACCTCGGGAAGCAATGGAATATGCAATAATAGAGGACCTTTTTGCACGGCAATTCAGGCTAAGCCCACAAGACCCACTACAGAGTAGCGGGAATTCTTTTTGGTAACTCATTTCATACCGGAACCCAGACTCGTACCCAGTCATCGTCACTCCGTGGACGTGCACTGCGAACACGTGATTTCAAAAATTGACTAAGTTACGTTTGTATTGTAATACATAATAAGTGGTCATGTTGCGTATTGAAATACATCTGATCACATGTTGTGGAGATAAAGTCATGTCCGATCACCTACTCCGAAAACCAGCGCGCGACACTTCGCTCTGACGACTGGTGTAAAATGGCAGTGGCGATGTCCACGGCAACTTCCGGGACCAACGGAAAAGCTTCTCTGAGACCACCTCCGGTTCCTTCACCACCCCCCACACTATGAATGCACCTGCAGATCGTGCAGAAGATGTACTTAACTGCATGCTAGCTAATGGATTCACCCTTATATCATTTCTATCAATGATCTTGACCTCGATGCGCTTTGGTGACAAACTGCGAGAGATCCATCTCCATATTCTCAGCCCCAACAAAAACTCTGGCAGTGCTGTCATTGTGAAAAATTGGATCCTTACAAGCGCTCAAGCAATTTACATGGAAGAAATACAAACACTTATAGAGAAGGAGAGTGGGCTCCACATGAACGCCTTCAATCTTCATCCGGCACAGCTTGATGCAGGAAGGGTCAGTGCATTGGAGCCGATATTTAAGTCCAAGGCACCAGCACTTTGGCGCCTGTTCCAGCAGCTACTTGTAGTGGAAAGCAAGGTGCGAGCAAGGCGTTGGGCAAAGCCAGTGCCACCAAGTGTGGAGCTGAGTGATAGAAGAGATGAAGCCGATGGTGGGGATCATGTCAGTGTGGGAAGGCAGTTGAAGGGAAGTTCTTCAGAGAAACACTACGCTCTCCTCAGAATTGTAAGGTATAACATGCCCGAGAAGTATGGTAGATGACTTACTCTTGTATAGAAAGGAGTTGTAATCATGTCGATAATTGTGAATAGTTGCAATGGTCACTGCAACGCATTGCAAGTGAAAAATTCATTTTATTTGGCCGCATCGAATACATCAAAATCGGTCCGTGAGTGGGCTGCCCATTGCAGTATCCCCCCATCGATCAAGAAGCTTTGAGTGTCACTGATAAGAAACCAAAAGACCTTGAACAAAGGCCTTGGACTCACTCATGTTGTCAACATTGCATATGATAATTGCGACTTCAAGTTCGGTGTTGGTCAACCAACAGACCTCAAGGACCAAACATTTGAAAGCATCACGATGGGCCTATTCTTTGCGCCACCAAAGGAAGTGCTTCCTGAGCACTTAGAATATGCTGAAAGGATATGGAACACTCACCCAAACAATCCCAATGTCATTAATATGCCACCAAGGATTGGCCTTGCCGATGTTCTGCAGGCAACTGAACCTACAATCAAGTTGGCGGAACATTTTCAGTGGCATATTACATCAGCATTGATCGAAGATTACTTCCCTGAACTGCGATCAGAGCTTATTGACCCACCATCGACATTCCGACTGCTGCCACAGCAAACATCATTTTTGACTGTGGAGGCTGTGTATGCGAAGGCATCTACTATCGATGGGAATGTCGAGGCGATAATGTCACTTCTTGAACAAAGCAGTATCGTGGATGCGAGAGTTTTTGAGAAGTATGTAATTCTTCTCCATGGGGATCTTGGGACAATGGAGAAGATTGAGGGCATTTTGCACTCACGGAGAATTGAAGAAAGCATGTTGGAACGCATGCATTATCTTCTGCCTATACCAGGGCTCTTTCACGTTAGAATGGCATGCGTTGATGCAATAAACAGGATCCATGCAACTGGGAATGACTTACGAAGCGACCCAAACGGATTCTACAAGCGCCTCTGTTTGCTCTTTCCAAATGACCTTTCCAAATTGAACAAAGCAGTCCCTCCTTTTTGGATGATGAATGACGGAATAAACTACATCACCCGATGTATTATTCTTGATGCATGGGAGGAGAGTGTGGGCAGTGACCTCCAGAAATTCATTTCTTCCAAACCTACTTTGGAAGAGATTAACCGGAAAGCTGAGGAAATCACGAGGGCGCATTTTGAAACGAAACAAGATGCAATGAATCAGTGGCCACAAGAGGAACAAGATCAAAGGAGAATGAACCAACTTTTGTTCAACAGAGATGCGATGTATTACCGCGTCCTTGTGCATGCGATGAACTATGGGATGGTTGATGTGATAATCGACGTCCTTTCATTCTGGGTTCCGATCTTCCAGGCCTGCCGAAAACACAAGTACGCAACATACCTTTCAAATTTCATCTTCAAGTTGCAACGGTACCCACTACCACTTCAAGAAGCCATCATGAGGTGCTGGCTCTGTAATCCGTCAGGGAATAATGGTGGATTTCGGGCAATCGACTGGCTGGTTGAGTTGATGAACCTCTACACGAAGGTACAGCATGTAACCCACTGGTGATTCTCAAAGTACCTAATCGTAGTACATGCGACTAGGTTATTTACTCGGGGGGAGGATCTGGGAAAACAATAGAGTATATTGTCAGTCAGTTATCGATAATTCAGGCCTATAGAACGTGCATTGAAGACGTCAAGGATGATTACCACATACCAGACAAGACCCTTCATCATGCAAGCCCTGACATCGAATCTAGATTACTTGCTATAAGGAATGAACTTCGTAACCTTCGACCTCACAAGTATGAAAGGGGTCGCACTGTGCCTACTGTGATCGATGATCATTTTCGGAAGGGCCTGGAGCTGTTCCAACATGGCACCATGTGGACATCAACCAATATAAGTCAATCATCATCAACTGATGACACTTACGACATTGAGGTGGCTGACTTGGGTGCCTAATTAACGAGGTCCTGTGCCGAGGGACTGACATGTCATATCGAGTGGCGGCATTTCCTTGTTTGGACAGCGCTTCTCTAATTTGGACCTAATCTGTCATATTTGTATATAAGTTTGCATGTCACTTACTCGTATGACCAGTCTGGTTACAACTCTGGCATCGCTCGGAGCAAGTTCACACTATCCCAGAGACACCAATTGGTAAACATGGGAACAATTAAAATAAGCTCACCATTGTGGCCATGTTTGCTGCAGTTGCTACACTTTTTCGTGCGAGGGAGAACTGCAGCATTAGTTTCCACTGAAGCAACAGGCTGAGCACACAGGTGCTCAGGTAATGGGAAAACTTGGTGAATGATCGGCAACAACACAGCAGCATAGCGGCTCCACTCCTCCCAATCAATGAGCTGTATGAAATCTTGCTGAGTTGAGAGCCTGTTAGAATTTGCATGGTAGACAATATCCTCAATGATCAAGTCCCCAAGGACTATCCAGTCTCCAATCCACATGCTGTCCAGTCGGTTGGGATAACGCCGAGAAAACTCTTCTTTTCGCCAGTCCCGAAGAGCATCGCCTAGCTGAGAAGAACGGTTGATGTCTTTCTTGTAGTTGGGTTTTGCATGCTGAGGTAGCCACTTGACAGGCATCTCTCCAAGTGAGTGAGTGAACATTGGTGTGGTGAGACTTGGCATATGGAGATCACAACAAGTCATGGGTTTGTACAAGTCACAGCGTTTACAGCATTGACGGGGTTTTGCTGACATAAGACTCAGTACATGTCAACGAGATAACTTCAAACACATACGGATACAGTCATTACCAAAGTGAGCATCCAGCACTTTCCTCCGGCACCCATGGCAAGGGTCATCTTTTGGAAGCCAATGGGCATTAATGAAGGCATCCAATCCAGGGTCAACATTCTCGCGATCCCCTGGGTTCCTTTTCTTCCCCTTTGACCCCTTTGACAGCTTTTTTGTGGTTCTGCAGACACAGGGATTGTCATCTTGGTCCATCATGTTCATCACACCCACTGTCTCTGGTCGCGTCCTGCCATCTGTGGTGAAATTGTAAGCTTCCGGTGGGGATTCTTCCCATGGGCCACTTACGTGCTCGTCCATTTTCGATGGCTTCCAAACTGTGATCCTCCCCAAAATCAGCTAACCTGTCATCCACATCCCCCTCAACATCATCTAGGAAAGCCTCAAGGTCCGTTAACGTCAAGTCATCCCACTCACCCCACTCCTCTTCTGGGTTGGGGCGATCTTGGTTGTCATTGACATGTGCTTTTTCGAATGGAGGTTCCAGAGTAATATCAATGTCGCTGGATGGCCATACATCAATCCTGGGAGGCAAGTTGGGGTCTTGACGATGGAGTTCGAGTAAGTGATCATCAAACTCTTGATTTTCGGGGGCAGTTATGACATGAACTTGATTTTCTGAAGGTAGCTTTGTTTGACACTTCTTCGCTGGCCTCCGCTCACTGGAAGCTGTGGAATCAGCTTTCCGTTTCTTGTTGTCTGCCGTCTTTCGTGCCCTCTCCTCTCGCTGGCGACGTGTCTCTTCAAAATAGTCTTTTGGTGCAAGAAGAACAACGATTGCTGAAATATCCGGACTCCGAGCAGCTCTCCCAAAGCGCTGAGTTAATGTGTTTAAATTGTCTGGTGGCCCAAACTGAACCAAACGGGTCACATTTGCTAGGTCATGGCCCTGTTTGATCTCAATCAGATAATCAATGCTGACATTAGATGCAAGGATAGTCACCAGTCCCAATGATTCCATGCTTGTAAGTCCAATGAGGTTCCCTTCCTTAAATAACTTGACTACCATCAACTTATGACCGTCTGACATCCCAGAATGCACCCAGACGATTCTATCTTTGAGGGGTGCACACACTCACAACCTCAGGAAGTTGGCGCTGCGCTCAGCATCAGCCCGGGACTCGCAGTACACGAGAAATGGGATTGGAGGAGGATCAGACTCTTGTAGGCCTAGCGGGATGAGGAATCCTAAGTCATTACAGGAATCTTTGCTGTATTGCATTTGGTGGATGCAGTAATGGAGATTTGGACGGTCATTAGAACGATGCAACCATTTTGTTGTCTTTCCACCGTAAGTGCTATAGTATGGGTCCAACCCAATCGCTGACAGCACTTGCCTGCATGTCCGAGGATCCAATGTTGCGGAAGTGAGATACCATTGGCATCTGTTTCGGAGGTATGAGTAAAGCCATGTCAAGTTCTTATAGGATGTGCGGAATGACAGCCACTGGACTGCACAGTGCACCTCATCAACAATGATGCGGTTAATGCTACGGACAAAGTTATCCTTCATCCAGAGGGCTCAAAGGAGGTTCCCTCGGAGCAAATCGGGCCCCAGCACAACAAACTGATACTTCATGTCTCCGATTGCCTGCTTGGCAATGTTGAATGTATGCATTAATGGTTATCTATTGATTGGTACATGCCTTTACAGTTTCCTTGTTTATAGTACCTGCTTCCAATGCTATTGCTGTAAGCCCTAAACTCTTGGCACTTTCCACATGCTGATCTGCAAGTTTCCTCAGTGGTGCGATTATGAAAGAGATTCCCGGTGTATCTTTTTCAAAAAGGGCAGGAAGGAAAAAAGTGTATGTTTTCCCTGTTCCTGTTGCAGCGGTTGACACTAAATTCTGCTTTGGCTTGCAAAGGAGGAACTCAGCAATTTCAGCTTGGAACCAGCATGCAGGTCGGTTCCATTTGGTTTCACTCAGAGCCCTTATTTGCTCAGCCGAGGGTGTCTGAACACGATCTGCAGGTGCATTCATAGTGTGGGGGGTGGTGAAGGAACCGGAGGTGGTCTCAGAGAAGCTTTTCCGTCGGTCCCGGAAGTTGCCGTGGACATCGCCACTGCCATTTTACACCAGTCGTCGGAGCGAAGTGTCGCGCGCTGGTTTTCGGAGTAGGTGATCGGACATGACTTTATCTCCGCAACATGTGATCAGATGTATTTCAATACGCAACGTGACCACTTATTATGTATTACAATACAAACGTAACTTAGTCAATTTTTGAAATCGCGTGTTCGCAGTGCGCGTCCACGGAGCGACGACGACTGGGTACGAGTCTGACCGGAACCGTCACTTTGCACAAGTGTCACACCTGTCACAAGTGTGATTGCTGTGGACGTTATGCGCTATCAGGACCCCGGCATACTCCGGAGGCCCCCCGATCCAGGAAAGGGCCGAAAATCGTGCACAAGTGCCTGAGGTCTGAGTCAGGGAAGGGCCGAAAATGTCTTTTTGGCGCAAAATGATATATCCAGGGGAGGGCCTTTTAAGGAAGGTAGGCCGAACTTTGATCTGGAAGAGGGCCTAGACGGTAACCTCCGTTCTGCAGCAAGATGTGTCCAAGTTCGCCAGTGGCACCAGGACTGCAAGAAAAATTCTATGGGGTTCCAACTTTTATCTCGGTTCTCCCACCCATACCCATTTTCAGAAAGAAGGACAACTATCAGATGGGCTTCCCCGTGGACAAGCCTTCTCATGTCCGGAGAGAAAAAGGTACTTACCTCTCGGTTACCCACTCTCAGTTCCCTGGGCAGCACTTCCCTGTGGTTCTTTAGTACATTCCTCAACTCTGCATGTCGGTATTCACTTGACCCAATAACCACGGAGTGGGGAACCAATCAGGCCCGAAGTCAGTGATGAGGGTAACAAACATGTTCAGACATTGGGGCTGGCTGCCGTTGCCACTAACTTCCAACACACAGAGTGGCTACCGCTTGTCAATGCTGGTTTGCTTCGGAAGATTTGCATCAAATTGAGGAAAAAATACTGCTGGGAAACGTCAGCCCCTGCGTGGACTTGGTTTTTGTCCTTCACCTTGGAACAATATTCCTAACACATCTGGCATTGCGCGCTACTGGCACTAGCTTAATGATCATAATTTATCGATATAATGGTCAAAACCTGCCACACCACTATGCTGAAAGTGTTACATCAATCGGCGCCCCTTCATATCTCAGTGTACACCTGTTCTCGCCCTTTTTCTTGTTGGCATCACAAGATGCCGGTCACTTCTCTAACTTTGTCCCAGGTAGGAATGACCCACCTATCACGAAGCCGGGATATGTGCTCCTAGTGCTCAATCAGTGTGGTGAGTTCCAGTGGAGATGCGATGCAATGCCGTCAATGCTCCATTCACTACAAATTGATATGGTGATCATTTTCGGAGGCCATGTGTGTTGTGAAGCTCAAAATCGATGGCAGCAGAATTGAGATCATGATCAAGAAGTTGCACGATGTCTTAAAGGGTGCTAGTGACTCCGGTAGAGCACAAACTTCATTGGTAGAACACTTGTTCCCTGTATATACATGATTTTATTCGCAGCGCATCATACAGCTTTTTAATGAATGTCCGAGCGTTTTGAGGGCCGAATCAGCTATTTTTGGAAGGTCCGACTCGCCAGAGGGCCCAATTGGGATACCAGAGCTCAAATTTTGAGGGCCAAATTAGAGAATCTCGGATCGGACCTCTGTCGGTGTATGCCGGGGTCCTGCGCTATGTAGTTGGCCCCTAATCAAAGGGGAAAGGAAATTGGTTGCAGAGAACGATTTTAGCCGGACTTGAAAAAAAGGTAAGCCCTATACTTATCCAGGGCCCGTTTTTTATCAACCTGCGCAAAGTCAGCGCCCGGCCACTTACCGGCATCCTACTAGTAGAGCTCGCATGAAAGCTCATGGTTGCGCTCCAGGACACTGATGGAAAGATCCCAGCCTCCACTGACGTATGTTGCGAACGCGGGCCCTGGCACCGCGCGCTTATCGCCGGTTCTCTGTACGATGCGAACGTCGTGACTGGTGCCTCAGTATGACATAGTCCTTGCTCGTCCATATCTAGTTCTCAGTCCTAATCACATTCATCTTGCTTCCGCTTCTAGGCAGCACTGTAATACTGGCTCTCGTGCAATACTAGGCTCACGGTAATGTCATCATCCGTATCAGTTACCTAACGAGTCCGGGTCATGCCACCGCTAGAATCCGCCGCTGATAGCACTGATCAGTGCTCCGTGTGGTGTCGACCAAATAGTCAATGCATATATCATATCCTTCCGCAACCTTCCATAATCAGACCACGCCCCGCGGCTCTAGCTTCTGAGCGTTAGGGGCTCACACGTGCCCAAAGCTCTCTCCTCCATCTACTTGTCCACTATCAACCATGTCGTTGCGGCAAAAGGCTGAGGCCCTCAGGCAAAAGATTGATAATCTCCTCGTGACTGGAGGCGAGATAGCGGTTCCAATTCTCAGGATCGTCAATGCTACCGCTGATTGGTGTCGCCCTCTAAAGATGGTGACTGGCGGTGCACTCTCCATCCTCGACGAGGTTAAGGTTGGTGGTGATTCCAGCTTGATCATGAGTCAAAGCTCACGCTGGTTTGCGCCGCGTAGAAGTTCAAGGAGAACAAGAAGGAATGGGCTGATTTTGGTGGATACGTAGTTAGCACTACGGCCAAGGTAGTTTCAGCCATAAAGTCTTATGATGTATCAGCGAAAGAGGCAAGTTCATGGGTGGAGGGTGTCACAGAGCTTGGGAGGTACGTTGTGTTGTTTTTTGGTCGTTTCCGATATCATACTTACGTCCAGTACCAGCGCACTGCAGGAAATCCAGTCCGAAATTGAACGAAGACTTCGAAAAGTAGAGGAACGGTCAGCTGTAAGGAATGTATGGTCCCACTACCGAGACCCTGGAAGAATTGAGGGCCTAAAGAGATATTTTGGCGAAGCGTTGGCATCGTTTGAGGTAACTTTCCTCATAGCACTGTCCCTTAATCATTCTGATTTTCGGACGGTGTAGCTTAGGACGAATTTAACAATTGGTATCAAATTATCGACGATCGAGGACAGCTTAGACCGTCTGGAGTGCGACCCAATCCTCAATAGTCTCCGATACCCTCAAACCGCCCACCATGATTCAACAGAGGCGTGCCTAGAAGGCACCAGGGTTGATCTCACGGAGCGTGTTATGGACTGGTGTCGTAACACTGGGGATAACGAGAACCGGCTGATGCTACTGACCTCTCTCGCTGGTGCTGGCAAGACTTCGATTGTGCACACGATTGCAGATAGATGTAACAGGGAGGCTATCCTATTGCTGTGCTTTTTCTTCAGAGCAGGCGAACAGGCACGGCCGGACTGTTTATTCAGCGGCATTGCTCAAGCTCTAGCGAGCCGTGACGCAGATTACCGTACTTCCATTATCTCTGCCCTTCGAAAAGACCCCACCCTCTCAACAGCTTCATTCGCGATGCAGTACCAGGAATTGGTATCTTCACCTCTTCTTCATAAACCTCCGCCTCCCAGCCATCCTATGGTGGTCATCATCGATGCTCTAGACGAATGTGACGAAGAAGCATATCAACCCCTTGCTAAGATTCTCTGTGAAGAAGTTCCCAAGTTACCGTCTTCCATCAAGTTTTTCGTTACTTCGAGACATGTTGATCTTGTTAATCGCTCCCTCTCACGCCATTTTCCTATCGATCACCTCACCATTGATCTCCTGGATGACACAAATATACATGACTGTGCTGCGTACATCCGTTTCCAGCTACAAGAGCTTAAGAATTGGCATCCCGATTTAGCGCATAAACTCCAGGACAAGGATAGTGTGGTGCAGGAGATCTTGGAACGAGCGGGTGGCTTGTTTATTTGGATCAGCACCATCTTTCGCTACATGAAGAAGCCTAGGAAGAATCCTATGAGAACACTGGAGAGACTGCTCGACACCGGTACCAAACGATCAAAGGTGCCCACTGAGAAGATGATGGATGACCTGTACACGAGGATTCTGAAGAAGTTTGATTGGGAGGATGAAGATTTTGCACACGACTACCCGATTGTAATGGGAGGGATCTTCGTTGCTCAGCAGCCTCTATCCATCACAGCCTGGGACGCAATTTTGTCACCTTTCCTCGATTCTTCTGTTCAATATGTGTTGGCCGAACTTGCTCCTCTGCTCTCAGGAGTGGAGGATTCCCACATTCCGGTTCGCATCTTACACCAATCTTTCCGCGATTTTATTGTCGATCGGATCGATCCCCAAACAATCAGCTCCCATTTCACTCCGATAGTGGTGGGGGTGGAGAATGCTAGGGTTGCCCTGCGATGTACTGGGATTTTGAACGAGGGTCTCTGTTCTGTAAAGGGCTTAGGGCTGATTGAAAACTTGCCTGACAAAGATGAAATGCCGCGCATTCTTCCAAAGGAGTTATCTGAGCACTTTTGTTATGCATGTCGGCATATTGTCCATCACCTCAGTGGAGTCCAGGAACCATCACAAGAGCTTGCTGGGTCCGTTGTTGTGTTTCTGAGTCAGGAAGCAACTCGGTGGGTGGAAGTCTGTGTGAGAATGGAAAGCTATGTCAGTATCTCGTTACTCCCTGAGTGGGCTAAGGTATGGGTTATCAATTTTGTCAAAGAAACTACCTCATGGTCTTCCAGTTGGCTGTTGACCACAGGGCTGTTAGTGCACTGGCTAAAGTGCTTGACCGGCTTCCGTGGAACCTGGGATTTTTTTCAAGATTCCAGGAGGCATATGAGGCAGCAAATGATTGTGTGGCACTCTGCCATTGCCTTTTTTCTGTGGACTCAAGTTTCTACACCCCGCATTTGGCCGGGTCACTCGAGAGTTTATATGTTACCCTTTGCAAACTCGGACGGCACTTGGAGGCACTCCCATTCATTGAAGAAAGTGTCAAACTCTTCCACCAGCTAGTTGCCATTAACCCAGGATCATACACCTTGCATTTGGCCGACTCACTCAACTGTTTATATGTTGCCCTTTTCAAACTCGGACGGCACGTGGAGGCACTCCCATTCATTGAAGAAAGTGTCAAACTCTACCACCAGCTAGTTGCTGTTAATCCAGGATCATATGTTCCAAATTTGGCTGGGTCACTCATTAATCTATATAATGCTGTTTCCAATCTCGGACGGCACTCGGAGGCGCTCCCATTCATCGAAGAAAGTGTCAAACTCTACCGCCAGCTAGTTGCTGTTAATCCAGGATCACACACCCCAAATTTGGCTGGGTCACTCAACAATCTATTCGATGCTTTTTCGAATCTCGGATGGCACTCGGAGGCACTCCTATCCATTGAAGAAAGTGTCAAACTCTACCGCCAGGTAGTTGCTGTTAACCCAGGGTCATACACCCCAGATTTAGCTAGGTCACTCAACAATCTGCATACTGCTCTTTTCAATCTCGGACGGCACTCAGAGGCGCTCCCATTCATTGAGGAAAGCATCAAACTCCAGTGCCAGTTAGTTGCCGTTAACCCCGGATCATACATCCCAGGTATGGCCAGGTCACTCCACAATCTATCTGCTGCTCTTTCCATTCTCGGACAGCACATGGAGGCACTCTTTTTTGTTGAAAAAAGCATTAAACTCTACTGCCACCTAGTTGCTGTTAATCCAGGAGCATTCACCACACAATTGGCCAACTCACTCAATCTACGTGATGTTCTTATCAATCATTCCAAGGCACACATTTGAGATGTTCTCTTCATCCTTGCATTCTCCACACAGCTGCTTGGACATGGTAAGCAAGCTCAAATTGGATATTCGGCTTGATTGATCTTACAATTTTACTACAGTGTGGGATGCTAAATTCCGACACCCAGTTTTGCTTCTGAGAAACTTCGCTTTCAGATTGTAAATCTTCACTTTTAAACTCCTTAATTAGCTGGAAAGCAATGTTTTTGCACTCCTTTCAAGCTATCGGGCCAATTTCTTGTTAAATGAGCTCTGAGAAGAGTTGGACTCACGAAATTGGCCATGTCAATTGCCAAATTAGGAAAGGGCCTTGTTAAGACAGTGTTGGACTGCAGGGATGGATGGAATTATCATGTGGGAAAGTTAGTGCCCAAACCCAAGATGCCTGCCAAAAATGCTTGTCAGCAGCAGGTGAGAGAGCAGGAAAGAAATGCTGCAGGCACCTTTGGCTTGAGGATGCCACCTCTGACTCCAACTTCAATTATCAATATGCCTCAGAGATGGTAAGTTCCAGATGGCAAAACAATGTGCCATTACTTCCAGAAAACTTGGTGATATATGAGTGTGTAGAAAATTCTCTATCAGTTTACTTCTCACTCACAAAGTTCAAACAAGGAATGGATTAACTGGGGCACAGGCAGAATATGCTGTGTGTGTCATATCCATACAGTCGCAGGAAACTCCAGGGCCCCACTATCCCCTGGAGTCCTCCCCCATTTCCCCAAGTCAAGCCCCAAAGGCAGACAAAGGGAAACAGAGGGCAGAACCTCTGCATCAGCTATCCAAAAAACTACTGGACTTGTTCCAGCTCCCATCTGAATGGAGGATGGAAAACGAAGAACAACTTCTTCTTAGGCTAAAGGCCCAAGAAGGCACAAAGAAACGCCCTGAGAGCAGGATCTCTCAGAGTGCGGAAGCTCACAAAGAACTTCCGCTGTTTACACTACCCCACGCCATGCCAGACAAGGCAAGGTCGCCAACCTCGGAGGAGGTCTCTGAGATCATGAAGAGGAGGCGAACTGAAATGAGGGAGTTCGCTGAGGAAGCCTTACAGAAAAGTAAGGAAAAACCAGCGAACAGACCCCTCCATGAAAGGGAAGCGCCCTCTGCAACAGCCTCGCCTAAACAAAGCGAGTGTGGAGTCTTTACTCCAAGAACCCCTTCTGGAACCCCCAGAAGCGGCAATGTTAACTGGGGAGAGTCACTACTTGCCCAGCCAAACTTCCTCCTGGAAAACCAGGAATCATGCATAATAAATGCAATAAACTTGATCCAAAAAAAGATCAAGGAAACAAGCCATAATAGCACAGCTCATCTAGAGATAACTCTAGAAAGAATGGCCAACGCAATCGACACATTGACTGATAAAATCAGTGAGCAAACTGACTTGCTGAAGGAAATAAACTTCTCACAAAATAGTGAGGAAACAAAAAAATACCCCTGGGCCACGGGCCAGGATAAAACCAGAACTCGTGAAAAATTCACGAAAAGAACAATCAGTGAAAGTACACTGGAGTATCATCAGCGACTCGACAGAGATGCAGAAGAGATTCTTCTCCCAAGGATAGGAGAAGACAATGCCAAAAGGAGGCACCACTCAGAAATCAGGAGGAGAATCGGCACGTACCAAAGGTTGGGCCAAACCTCCACCTTCGACGAGCCTCTCGAACAGAGAGGTAACACAACCACACTCTCTCAAAACAATGAGAGAGTTCCAATACAATTTCAGGTGAAATCGCCTGAAATGAAAGAAACGCTGCAAGAAAGACTCCCTCCAGTGAAAACCCCTCCAAAGGAGAAATATCCATTGGATAGCGGCCAGCTTTCCCTGACAAGAAATGGTCAGGGGAGAACGACATGGAGTCGTTCTGGCAGTGGTTCACAGAACTACTGGGATTCCTTGCCTCGTGAGGATGCAAAGGTCCCCAATTTGATGAAGTCCATCTGGACTCATCAGGAAACCCCTGAGGCCGATTGAAGTGGTTGAGATCATTTCAACCTCACATGATTTACAATCACTTCAACTGGGTCCCCTGATTGTAATCACACCAATTACGGGGGTGATTGAGCTGATTCAGTGATTGTATGGTTGGTTGTATCGGCACGCTATCACATTCTCTCCCACATTGAAGTTTATCAATAAAGTTTATTATATTTGAACATTATGTTGCATACATACTTGGGAAAAGAACCCAGATACAAGTTATTACAGTAGTACCCAAACACAATGTAATGCAAAATGAAACACAAAATAAAGAGAAGAGGAAAGTGGGTGAAAATACAATGTAATCAAAGAAAGCAGACGTGCACCTCCACCACTGAACCCTTTGGCACCAAACCCGGCATAAAGGTAGAGCTAGTTGTCTTCTATCGAACAAGCCTAAGATCGCCGGAAACGGATGAGTGGTTGCTGAGTACATGTGGTAAGAAGTTGGGGATAGTGTCACACATGAGAAGTTTGGTTGGAGGTTGGAAATGACATGGAAAAAAACATACAAAAATCATGGGATGGGAGGGGGATGTATCAGAGGGTATTGGGGAAGGGTCAGGCAATTGCGGAATGGTGGTGGCTCATGTAAACAAGCACAAGAGGGTGATTAGGTGGTCAGTTTAGCAACAAACACAGTGAACTGCCATACTTACAACTCGACATACAACAATATTTGGGTGGCAAACCCCCCTCATTCTTTCTTTTTCAAGTAAGAAACATCTGGGGTGGAGTAAAAAACATCGCGTTGTGAATGCAACTGGAAAAAAAAAAGAAAAAAGAGACACACATCATCATGTTTGTTCATGCAGTTCCCACAGCTGGGTATTGTGAGTTGTTGATTTGGTGTTGCATGTGAAGAGAGAGTGGAGTGGAGTAGTGGAGTGCATGAGTTGGAGCAAAGAAAAAACTTCTAAGTTGCAAACCCATTCATTTGAAACTGTACAGCACCTGGATGCAAATGATGGACTCACACACATGGATGTATCCGTGTGTGGTTGTGGTGATTGAGATGATTGAGAGTAGTCGATTGGGCAGATTGGGCAGATTGAGTGATTGAATTGCTCTCAACCACTTCAATCGGCCTCGGGGGTTTCCTGATGCTGCTTGATTTGCAGATTAGGGGGACCTGTGTTTGACCTTGGAATAAGACTCCAAGATGAAACTCTCCTCAGAGGAGATGAGGGCATGTTCCTTGAAGTTCTCAACATACTGATGAGAACTTTCATCAAAGCCTCTGCCACGTTGAATGCAACAAAGAAATACCGCAATGTTAAATATGAAGCAGAAAAAGGCCTAAAACAGTTCTACTGTCAGAGACCGGATCGAGATGAAGGATTTGTCTCTGTGGCAGAGGGCTTCAGCCTCAGTGACTCAAGCCAGGGGCACTGTGCCAAGTTACATGTCCATGCCCTAATTTACTTGCTGGCAACGAGAACTAAAGGGGGATCAACTCTAGTCGATTTTATCACTGAGGTGTAACCTATGTACAAGTTAAGTATATATATAGTTACAGTGAGAGCAGGCCCGTGAATGGTGGGACCGAGCGGAGCGGAGCTAACGGAGTTAAACATTAGCCAATTGAATATTACCGACAAGTCAGGTTATGGGGTTAGCAGAATGGCAGGCGATAACCCAGAAACAGAAAGGAGGGATAGGCCCGAAGGTGGGCTTGCAGGGCAAGCAAGTGAATTGCCCAGCAGAGGTGGGAGTGCGCTAGCGGACATCAGAGCGGTCCAGAAGCCTTTGGGGCTCTGTACTTAGGTAATATATTGAAAAGAGGGGGTGGTGACCATTGAGGGAAGTGGAGGTGATTGCAGAATATGGGAGCTCCAAGGTTAGTGAAGGAGGAGTGGAGGTAGTTGAAGTCGGTGGCTGTGGATGGATATGACATCTACTTAGAACTGTCTAAAGCAGCATCCCAGATGGTGACGCTGCCAGACCAGGCATCCTTCAACACCAGGTTTCTAAACAACATTCCCCTTGAATGGAAGAGGGAAATGATCGCTCATGACAGAATCAGAGTGGACTTCTCCTCAAATGAGGAGATTGTCATATCCATCCATGGCCATCACCCTCCACTACCTCTGTTCCTTCCAGATCACCTCCGCTCCTTCATCACTAACCTTGGAGCCTCTGGATTCTGCAACCACCTCCGACTCCTGATGGTCACCACCCCCTCAATTCAATATATTACCTATGCCTCCCTAAGTACAGAGCCCCGAAGGCCTCCGGACAGCTCCGACGTCTGCTAGCGCACTCCCACCTCCACTGGGCAATTTAGTTGCTTGCCCTGCAAGCCTACCTTTGGGCCGATCCCTCCTTTCCGTTTCTGGGTTATAGCCCATCACTCCACTAAACCTGACTCGTCAGTAATATTCAGTTGGCTAACATGTAACTCCGTTAGCTCCACTCTGCTTGGTCCCATCATTCACAGGCCTGCCCCCCATGTAACTATAAATATACATAACTTGTAGATAGGTTACACCCTAGTGATAAAATCGACTAGAGTTTCCCTCTTTTAGTTCTCTTTGCCAGTTAGTAAGTTAGGGCACGGATGTGTAACTAGGCACAGTGCTCCTGGTCTAAGTCACTGAGGCCAAAGCCCTCTGCCACAGGGATGTCTCCCTTGTCCTGCATCCGGTCTCTGACAGTATTTTATCACTCCCTGACAGTACACGTCTTGTATGGCACCCAAAGTTCCCTGCACTTGTTCACAACTATGCACATTAGTTCCTAACTCAGCCTCCCCATCTCCTGAACCCTTGCAGCCTGGTCCTAGTCATCTGGAAAGAAACCCAGTTGAGTTTTGAAGCTTCTCTAATTTAGAAACCCCTCTCCTGTTGACTCCGATCATGTGCCCTGCTAGGGATCGATCACCTGTTGTAGATTCCGACTTCGGAGACACCACTGAACAACCCATAGATCCAGTCCACTTCTTTGGACTCGGCTCCAAGGTCCCCAATTTCGTCAACCCTCCTCCTGATGATCCTCCTATCCCTACTGTCCCAGT